CCCAAGCCCCAGCCCCACGTTACCTGTGTGGCTGTACTCAATGATGGGGGGCAGGTAGGTGCCACTGCTCAGCTCCACCGGCACGAAGGCTGTGTATTTACTGATGACATTGCAGGCCTTGCTGGTGTGGACGGCGTTGAGTTGGTATCGCCTCCCTGGCCCTGCATGGGACAGACAGCAGCATTAGAGACCTCTGCATCCTCTCTGAAAGAGCAGTGATGCGCTGGCACAGCTGCCCAGGGAGGTGGTGGGGTCACCGTCCCTGGAGTTGTTCCAGAACCGTGGAGATGTGGCACTGAGATGTAGGCATGGTGGGGGTGGGTTGATGGTTGGATCCCTTGATCCAATGAGGCCCCTTCCAACCTGGGATGTTCCATGGCTCTATGGTGCTACATGAGGCCGAGGCTCCGTTACCGTGCTCGATGTCGCGCTCCCTCTCGGCAAGCAGCTCCAGGTCCCTGATGACGGCCCTGGCTGCCAGCTGGTGGAAGGTCTCACTCCACACGTCCTCCTCGCCCTCCTCCTGCCCGTTCTGCTCTCGGAGGAGTGCAGCGAGGTCGAAGGTGATTTCCCACTGCATGGGCTCACCGCCCCGCAGCCCCTTCACCACCGCCTTGCAGGAGGCGCTTGGGGAGCGCGGGGAGCCCCGGGTGGCACCGGAATCCCAATCCTGGGGCTCCCAGTCTGAAGAGGTCTCTGTTTCAAACGTGAAGGATGGATGTTGGGCAGCCTCTGAAGAGAGAAACACATAATTAACCACAAAGCCATATTTAACCCTCCCCAGTTGGAGGCACTGAGCGGTGGCACTGAAGGATGTGGTTAGTGGGCACGGTGGTGATGGGGAGGTGGTGATCTTGGTGGACTCTGCTGACTTTGGCGATGCTATGATTCTGTCAGTAGGGATGGGTTGAACTCGATGATGTTAGTTTGTCATTTCCAACCTCAAACACTGTATGATTCTATTGGCAACGCCACCCAAATCCCTCTCCCACATTACCCAGCTCCCCAGGGCTCCGGCTGTCGGATGAGGACTGCAGGCTGGCATCGAGAAGCCCTGAACTCCATCCCACAGCCACGTCAGGTGCTGGTGGGGATGCGGGGCAGTGGCAGGAGGACACGTGGCTCTGCTGCAGCAGGGAGGGCCGGCGGGTGCCTGCACCACAGATCCAGGTGGTGGAGATGTGTGGGGTGGCAGTGAAGGGCTGGGGAATGCAAAGACATTGAGCTTTACCCCCTGGCTGGGACAGACCTGGAGGGTGTCCCTGAAGCACCAAGGTCCCAGGGGCTCTTTCCCTATTTGCACAGGAGGTGAAATATGGGTTTCAGCCCTGCAGACATTTTAATGGCTTCATTTGGGAGACAAGGGAAAGAAGAGAGATGGAAAGATCAAGCACCAGTTACTTGGTAACAGGAGGAGGAGGGTGCAGAGGATGGGGAGAAGGGAGTCATTTTATTTTATGTTTTAAACAAGGCTGTTTCTCTACTTGCAGGATACATGAATCTCCCCTGCAGCATCTCTGATGCTGCATCCAGCACGGAGAGCAGCAAGCAGCCAGCCTCCATCACTCACCACCGAGGGTGTGATGCTCTGTGAACTCACCAAACAAAACAGGGAAGCAGAAAACTGTGTGTGTGGCCCAAACAACACCAAGCACCCCAATCTCAGAGTCAGTCAGAAGTGCTCCATCCCATCCCAAGCTCCATCTCCATCCTGAGCTCTCCTCCCAGAGGGGGAAGAAGCCAAGCACTGAGCCGCCCATTGCCAGCCCTGACCTTTCCATCCCAGCACGGCATGTGTGGAGGCGAGCAGAGGGCTCACACTCACGGCCCAGTAAATGTCAAGCCCTGGCAGCCAGCCTCGGAGAGCCGCCAGGAGCCCTCACAGCACAAGGGACAGCAAAACCAGGCTGCAATTAATTACGAGCAGGATGCACGCTGGTAATGGTTTACTGCCCTCCAGAAGGGAGTCATTTCCATCTCTGCCTTCATGCTGAGCATCCCACGCACAGGCAGGATGCTCTGCGGGCCTCAGAAGTGCAAGGAAGGTCGCAGGTATCTCCCAAACCCATCAGCTTGCTTCTCCTGTGCTTTTTGTCACCCTCCCTGCTGCTGCTACAGGACAGAGGCTTCATTCCCATCCTCTCGCCTCCAGCCCCCCTTCACCCCAGTGTCAGCAGAAGAGAAATGAGACCCCAGCATCCCTCTGTGTTTCCATGGGAACAGAAGTGCACGGCCGCTGCACATCCTCCCAGTGCAGATTTCAGCACTGGGCATCACAGTTATGCTGAGGACAGGAGAAAACCCATCCCCACCCTTCCACAGCACAGCTCCAAGCCCTTTCCAAGGACTGGGTTCAGCCTGTGGGTCGTCACATGCATCCAGACCCCAGCCTGAAGCTGTGCTATATGCTTTGGGTCCGACCTGGGGACCTTGGAGGGCACAGATGTGCCACGGTCAGATTATACACCATAGCCAAATGCTGGGGAGATGGGCAGGAGGGAGCCTGGGGATGAGACAACAGCAAAGCTAAACACAGACCACGCAGGTGTGGGAGGAGGAGAGGAATTCAGCAAACAGAAGCAGGGAGCAGGATCCCATCAGCATCCCATCTGTGTTAGCCACATGCTTGTGGCATGCTGCAGCACACCCACCAGGGCTGGCGTGACCCAGGCTCCTTCTCTTCCACAACCCAGACGCTCCCAGTGCTGTGGGCTCACCCTATGGCACAGGGAGCACCTCTAGGGGTAACCCACCTGGAAATGCACAGGCTGTAGCTCAGGGCTGAGCTGCTGCAGGTCCTGCAGCTGGGTTTTGCGGAGGGGGTTCCTCAATAGCGCGCTGCCCGGGTCGCTGGCCGTGGGCTCCTTGTAGAGGGGCTGGTGGTCAGAGATTTGGTTGGCACTGTATGCACGTCTCCTGCAGGACACTTTCACATCTGAGTGGGGGAAGAAAGGGTCAGCATCAGTCCTCCCGAGGAGGATAAGGACGTACTCAGCCCTGCTCGGTTCAAAGCAAAGCAGCAAAAGCGCAGAAGAAAACAAGAGCCTACACTCAAACCCCAGGGGATGGCAGGAGAGCTGGTTGGGGAGGCTTCGTCTGAGCAGTTTTCAGCCAGGAAAAAAAAAAAAGAAAAGAAAAGAAAAAGGAAGGAAAAAAAAAGCTGACTGCATTTACCCAAACCTTCCTGGAGAAGACAAAGGGTTTACTAATGAAATTTCATTAGTGCAGACATTTTCCTGTCAGAGCAAGAGCAAAATTTCATTTGGAAACGCATGATTTCTCATTGTTTTTGACAAGGCTGTGAGGATGGGCTGCGCAGTTCCTCTCTGACTATCAGCAGAGGATATCCCACAGGTAGCAGAGGTTTCCCCTGCAGCACGGGCCGAAGCTGGAGCTGCTTTGGAAACCTCTGGGGAAGGCAGATCTCCAGGGCTGCCATCGGTTTCCTGACAGCTTCGGGTAAAACATCCGAACCAAGCAGCCTCGTCGAGATGTGTCATCCTCCCACAAAGCCCTCTGACACTTTGCAGCTGGGGAGATGGAGCTGTCAGGCGAGCAAATCGGCAGAGCAGAGATGAAAGCTGGTTAGGAAGACAGGGGCCTGACCGGCATCCGTGTCTGATTCTCCGCTGGGGTCCCTGCCTGCCACCAGCTGATCCGGGGTGCTGCATCCCTCTGGGTAGCTCCAGCTCTCAGCACCAGTCCCCTCTTCTTGGGAATGAAAGAAAACGGAGCTGCCCGACTCCTGGGAGCGCATGGTGCTGTACCGTCGTCTCTTGTCCTGGGGAGAGCAGAGATGGGTTTGGGTTTGTGCACTGATGCCAAGGGGATCTCAGCCACGCAGAGAGCACAGCGACGGTGGGAGAAGCGTGGCACTCACAGCTCTGGGCTTGGAGATGTACAGCGAGGTGTCACAGATGATGCTGTAGCCCACCAGGCGGTCCCCAGGGAAGAGGCAGCTGGTGTTGAGAGGGGAAACCAACACCTCGGTGCTTTCAGGGAAGACCCACTCCACTGACACATCACTCAGCACTGGAGCCATCGCCTTCTTCAGCGACCTGATCACCTGGGGTGGGGAGCAGGAGGAGGAGGAACCACACCAAAAGCTGTGGGGCTGAGCCATGAACCCCAAAGCCTGTTGGGTTTGGTTGGGGTTTGATGCCAGCACAAATAAATGGAGATGTCAACACACTGCCCAGCGCCCCGATGGGGAAGGCCAGCATCTGTGGGGACACGTGGACTGCAGAGCCATCCCTGCACACTGTGGGATGTCAGCACTAGATTCACAGCTTTGCATCTCCTGTGTTCCCTATTGTTCCCACTGCTTTGTCACCGGCTCTGGAAGATGCACCAGGCTGTTTTATAAGGCTATTAATTGATGCCTCAGACTGCTGAAGGCAAAGCACTATATTAATAGCTCTATTTAAAAAAAAAAAAAAAAAAGAAAAAAGAAAAGAAAAAAGAAATCACCTCCCTTCACTGTCTTTGCTTTTAATTTACATCAGAAACGGTGATGCTCTTCTGTCTTAGAGAGGATTCTGTGTGCTACAGGTCCCTGCAGAGGGACAAGGGCTGAAGCCCTTTGAGATGGAGGACGCAGAGACAGAATTTAAGGACATTTCTGAGCTGAGGACCTGATTGTCTCACGGTTTGTCACTCAGTGTGCATGCTTTCACCAGGAGACGGAGCCCACAAAGGACCATTCTTACAGCACAGCCTCAGCCTTCGCGGGGAGAGCGAAAACGAAGCTCCCTCATTTGCTTTAAAGTCAGCTTAATAAGCAAAGCAACTGCAGCACGCTCCCCTCCCTCCAACCTCGGGTACTGCTCGCCTGAGCAGCGCCAGGGCTGAGCCTGACTTCAAAACTAATTGGCTGCTTTGATGCCGGCTCTCTGCCCTTCCTCTGCTCTGCGGCAGCAGCTGCTTTGAAGCCGGAGCGGCTGCACGGCGGCTATCGCCTCTCCCATCCCCGCGTGGGATAAACACCTCCCACTGCCTCCGCCAGCGGAGAGGAGGATGCTCCCATCCCCTCCTGCTCGTCCACCTGCTGCCGAGTGGGAGCTGCAAAAGCAGCAGCAGCAGGAGGAGGGGGAACGGGAGTGCAACGTGATGGTTTGGAGAGGTGATGGCACGCGGCCGTACCTTGGGCTGCAGCCTCTCGCCCTCCGCCAGGAACTCAGCGATGCCCCTGGACACAGCAGCTGCTCCCTGCACCAACCTCCTGCAGGCGTGGGGCCCAATGCCGAAGCTGTAGCATCTGCAAAGGGAAGAGAAAAGAGCTTCGTGTTTGCGTGGCTGGAGCGGGGCTGGGAGCTGCCCGCCCAAGGCCGGGTTGGATGGGGCTTTGGGCAGCCTGGGCTGCTATTAAATGGGGAGGTTGGTGGCCCTGCACGTGGCAGGTGGTTGGAGATTCATGATCCTCGAGGTCCCTTCCAACCTGGGCCATTCTGTGATCCTGTGATTCTGCAGAAGGCATCGCTGCCCATAACATGGGGTTGGGATTGAATGGGTTTTCAGACCCCTTCCAACCCAAACCACTCTCTGATTCTCAGGTTCCATGAAGGAACAACACTCGGGGCTTGCCAGCAGGATCCCCAACTGCTTGGCTGCCAGGTCAGCTCCTCTCCCCACTGAGTGCCTGCGGTCAATAGCATTAAAGAGCTAGTAATTATCTCTGCTCACAATTAAAACAAACATTTTCTCAAGGCAAGAAGAACCAGCTGGGTGAGACTGCTGCCATCACACAACTCAGCAAGCCAAGGGCTGCAAACCAGGGGCAGGCAGAGGGAGAAAACACCCTCAGCAGCCATCTGCATCTGCACCAGGGTGCTTTTCTCTTGGAGATTTTAATCCCCAGGTGGCTGCAAATCTTCCAGAGATTCACACCCTCTTCTGATCTCCCTTTGAGCTAAGGGCTAAAAGCCCAGATTCCAGCACCAAGAGAAGGGGACAGGTAGTGCTGTGCTGCTGAGAAGCACTCAGTCCTCCATGGATGAAAGAAAGGAAAGAGCAGCTTCCCTGATCAGCCCTGGACTGGGGAGGAGTAAGGCTTTTTAGTGCTTGATTCATTGGTTGGCAAGCCTAATGGGTTTGGAACTAAATGATCTTTAGGTTCCCTTCCAGCCCAAGCCATTCTATGTTTTTCTCCCATTTTCCTGATGTTTCATCTCTCTTAAAGAGATGGAAAAGAAACCAGACCGTGATTGTTGGGGAACAGGCTGGGAGCTCGCCGCATTCATTTCCTGCTCATCCCATTGCTCTTTTTCAGCAAATTCAATTCCCGTCCTGGAAGCAGCTGAGTCCGAGCCCAGATGTGCTTCAAAAATAAAAAAAAATTTAAAAAAAGGAAAAAAGGGAAGAAAAAAAACCAAACAAAACAGCAAGGAAGATTGCTGGTGTGTCAATCTCTCCTAGCAGGAAGCACCAGCAGAGAGCCTGTGAAGCTGTCAGCCCAATTCTCCTGTGCTTGATTGTTAGAAAAGCATCTGAACTTCTGGGATCTGTTCCAAACCCTTTGAGGTTCTGATTTCCTGACATGGGCTCGGCTGTGAGCTGCAGCCCCCCAGCCCTGTGCCCCATACCTGGTGGAGCAGGCGTGGTTCCTCAGCAGCTCCAGCACTGTCCCTGTGTTGCCCACAGCCTTGTGAGCCAGCAGGAAGAGCAGGCGGGGGTGGCCCCTGCGGATGGGCTGCCGGAAAATCCACTTGAGAGGAGACAAGATGTTGGGGCTCCCGGTGTCTGCATGCATCCTCCTGATGCTCTCACAGGCCACGGCCAGGCTTTCCTGTGGGAGGAGTGTGGGATCGCCCATCTGACCCCCAGCTCCCATCCCGTCCACCCAGCACTCACCTCGCAGTACGTCCTGCTGGCTGGGAATAGGATCTTGAAGGTGGAGCTGAAGGTGATGATGTTGAAGAGGCACGCTGGCATCAGGCTCTTGAGGGCCACCAACAGAGCATCCTGATGGAAAGAAGCAGTGGGTCAGCACACCGTGCCTCTCCTGTACGCTTTGGCTTCATAGAACAGCTGGGTTGGATGGGATCTTAAAGCCCACCCAGTTCCAACCCAATGCCATGGGCCGTTTGCCACCCATGAGATCAGGTTGCCCAAACCTCACCCAATCCAGCCCTGAGCATCCCCAGGGATGGGGCACCCACAGCTCCTCCCATGGCAGTGCTCAGGGAAGATGTGGCACTGAGGGATGCGGTCAGCGGGCACAGTGGGATGGGTTGGGGTTGGACTTGGAGATCTTGGAGGTCTTCTCCAACCTTAATGATTCTAAATCGGTTTCTTTCACATGATTTCCTATGCTGAGAAATCTCTGCATATCGCTGCTCTCTTGCAAGTTCCCTGATGTTTTTTTGGGTCCTGATGCAGCGAGGATGGCGGGGTGCTTCCAAAGAACAAAATCCCTGTTTGCTCCAAGATGGTGAATTCTGTGCTCACCCCGCTGCACTGCAGCATGGAGTTGGGGGTGAGAAGCAGAGTGTGAAGCGGAGCCGTGCGACACATAATGCACTGCAGTGCCCGAACTGGCAGAAATAAACAAACAGCTTTGAGTCGCACAAAAGGAGAAGCCTCCCCCAGCCCCAACTCCCTTATAGCTGGCACAATTAAAATAGCAAAGAGAGGCTGCTTCCAGAACTTGTCATTACCAGCAGTGGTTATCTAACTCGCCTGCTCCTGGGCTCTTACATAAGAGGACAGAGCTTGGAGCTGCTGGGACGGCCACCGTGGTCAACTCCACCAGCAAGCAGTGCTGCAGGAGGGGGAGCAGAGAGCTGGCAGAGCTGTGTGTGCTCTGATAAAGGCAGACTTCTGCCTAGGGCAGCAGAAAGCCCACAGCCAGCCCTGGGAGAGGAGCTGCCAAGGTCACACCGGCCGCCTCCTGGCTTCATCCCAGGGCAGGGCATGGGCAGAATGCTGCGTGGTCCACGAGTGGGGCTGCCCTTTAGCAGCTTCACAGCGAGCTGTTATCTCAGCCCTACAGGGATGTATTTATATCGCTGCTCCCAGCAGGCTCTGGGGGTTCTGGCTCCTGCAGATCTGACATCGCGCCTTGGAACTCGTTACAAAGATTAAATAAATTATTAAAAAAAGAAAAAAAAAGGCATAAAAAACCACCCAGATTTCCAAATATTTCTGTTAAAGCACTTCCCGAAGCGAGCTCCCAAAGCCTGCCTTCTGTTTCATCAAGCAGAAGGATTTATTGCTTCTTGCAGTAAATATTGATCCTGATCCCATTGCACTCTCTATCAATACGGCGGCTCAATAAGAAGAGATGTTTGCCTCCAGAGAAGTCAATTCCCAGTTATTTTGCCAGCTCAAGCAGTGCTGACGCAAGCACTGTCCCTTCTCCCTGCTGAAAGGGATCAGATGCAGAAAGCCTTGAACTTCCCCCCAACGGGGTCAGATTAGAGACCTCCTGCCCAAACCCAGCCCAAGTCAAAGAACCCAGAGTGGATGCTTTGCAGCAAAGGAAAAGGGGGGGGGGGGACCTGTGGCCTTCCTGGGGCTCGGTGCCATCCCTCAGGGTGACAGCACACTCCTCATCGCTGGAGGTGGATGTCCTCAGTCAGTTCCCATGGAAACAGGAGGAGGTTGGGAAGGAGATGGGCTCGAATGCTCCCTGCCTGCAGGCAGAGCTGCTGTCGGAGCAGGGATGCGGTGGCTCCGGGTGTTTGCACCCAAACCTGGTGGTGGTTGGGTTAGGGAAGGTTGTGATCACATCATGGAGCCTCTGCATGCTCAGCCCAGCACCCAAATGCAATCAAAGCCCTGAGGGACTGTACAGTTCCCTCTCACTCTCTGCAAGGAATACACTTAGGGCAGAGTGGATCCTGCTCAGGAAGATGTGATGTCCATTAAGGTCTGGGGCTCAGTTGGCCCCTAAAACCAAGAGAAACTCCACGCAGAGCTTCTGCCAGAGACTGCAGCTTCTCACCAACACCCGCCAGCTGGCAGCCAGCAGACACCAGCCTGCCTCCAACGAGTCAGGCAGTGCTAACGATAATTAAAGTTCCCGCAGTGCTTTCCCCTTCACCAGGTCCCCAGTGGGCTCAGAAACCTCTCCAGGATCTGTGGGCATAGGATCTATAGGCAGCAGCAGCACGAAGCAGAGCCAGGTCCCAGGAGGGATAAATAAGGGCTTGTCCTACAGCCTGGACAAACCTCAAGTGGTGACAGCAAGGGGACCTGGCAGCTCCATGGGAACCCCAAAATATCCCAACCTTCCCATCACCCCGAGCTCCCAGCACGCTGCTCATAACCCCACACCAGACCACAGGTCCTCGTTTGTGTTTGAAAAAGGGATCCTGGAGGTGTCTGCAAGGGCACAGCCAGCGTTTAGCCCTACAATTGGTCTCTGGATGCCTCAGGGCCCCGGGCCCAGAGAGCTGGAGGTTCATAGAACCACAGAGAGCAGTCCAGCAGCACAAACCTTGGCACGGCGGATGCTCGTGCTGCTCCCACTGCAGTCCACCAGGAAGATGAATTCTCCAGCAGCTTTCTGCAGGTCAGCCGGGGCCGTGCTGAGCTCGGGGCAGAAGTTCAGCATGAGGACAGGGTGGTGGGGGATGTCCTTGTGCAGGCGCTTCCGGATGATTTCCGTCTGCAGAGAAGAAGGAGAGGGTGTAAGAATTCAGGAGAGTGATTTTTCTGCCTCCTTTTTTCATTAATTGGCTGCTGGGTTTTCCCAGGCTCCCCAGGCTGCTTGCTGGGACTCAGGATCCATTCTGCGGCACTTGGGGGGGATGTGGTTTATGGGCATGGGTTGGCAGCTGGCCTGGTGATCATAGAATGGCCTGGTTTGAAAAGGAGCACAACGCTCATCCAGTTCCAACCCCCTGCTGTGTGCAGGTCACCAACCAGCAGCCCAGGCTGCCCAGAGCCACATCCAGCCTGGCCTTGAATGCCTGCAGGGATGGGGCATCCACAGCCTCCTTGGGCAGCCTGTTCCAGTGCCTCACCACCCTCTGTATGAAAAACTTCCTCCTAATATCTAACCTATTTAGATTAGTGGTCTTTTCCAACCTTAATGATGCTGTGATTCTGAGCAGCAGAAATCTGCCCCAGTTGTTGAGGGCTTTATCCAAGGTGAGCACCTCACCAAGGCTTTCTGCTCTGTTTCTCATCCTCTGTGCAGTTTCTGCCCAGTCCTCCTGGGGCACAGAGGTGGCTTTCCCACAGGGAAACGATTCTGGAATGATCCTCCTCATGATAACCTGACATGCTAAAGACAGAAATAATTAGGGAGCCATGTGAGCCGTGGCGTGGGAGGTTCATTTTGTTCCACCTGCCTCACGCTGAACGCAATTAGAGGAAGCGCCTGCCGTGCGAGCAGCCCGTCCTCATCACCATGCTGCAAGGGGAAGGGAAAAGAGAAGGGGCTGCAGCAAAACCAGGAGCACCAGCAGCATGGGGAGAAACCACGGAGCATCACCAGGTGTGTCCAGACAGCCCCTGCTTCAGGGCTGCAAGCACTTCAGGGACCTCCCAGCAGTCCCCTCCTCTCGGCCTGCTGCATGGCAGGCAGGGAGCGCTGAGCCGTCACTCAGCCGGGGCTGCTGAGCCATAAATCCCAGAGCTGAGGTTTTTCTATTTGCTCGTCAGCAGAACAAAGAGAAGTTTCTACTACCTTGTCTTCGGCTGAGCTCGTTATTCCAAGCCAAATCGCTTCCATCTCTCTGACAGCTTATCCAGAAACGGTAAACATTTACGGAGCAATTAAAAGAATACTTTATTCAATGTCACTGCAATAATTATAATACTGTTAATGCTATAATAATGTACCTACCTAATTACGCTATGCTAGAACAGCACTAATTATACACACAATACCCATCTCGCAGCTTCTTCCACACCCGGTTCATCAGAAGCAGTGCAGAATTTTCCCCTCCTCCTCCACACAAACCCCTCTCCAAGGGGGCATGATGCAGTTATGGACAAGCACTGCGAGCAGCCAACCACGTAATCACCCAGCTGAAGGAAAGCCTCGGTGCCACTCACCTTTTTCTCAGCACTGGGGTCCTTCTTTGTGCCCTTAATGAAATCACTCTTCCCCTTCAAGTGCTGTTCATACTCTGCAGGCGTCATATCACCTTCTTCCATTAAGATGTGAGGCATGTGGGGCTCTGGAAATGCAGGAGAACCCCACCTCAGCTCAGCTCCAGGTTTGGAAGAGCTGCATGCACCCACTGTTGCGATGGCTTTTGAGGGGATCTGGGGTTATCTTGTACAAGTCTGACCCCCAGCAGTGTGTGCAAAGCAGGGGCAGAGCCCACGTACCACTCGGGTGGATGAGGATCTCCACAGGTCGGTCAAACGTGTGCCTGTTGGCCAACGTGATGACGATGCTCTTCGCTGAGTGAGCGGAGGGGTCGGCATCTGCTCGGATCTCGTGCGTGGGGCTCTCAACGCCTGCATGGAGGGACCAAGGGGTGGTTAGGGAGGGCCAGAGCACCCCACGCAGGGGAAGGAAAGGAGGAGGATGAGCGTGGGCAGCACAGGCAGCCCCGTACCTGCCAGCAAGCATGGCCCCCGGATCTCCAGGTGGAAGCTGAACTCGTACTCAGAGGGGTTGGTTACCTCACTCTGCAGCAGCTGGGCCAGACAGAAACTGCTCCCAAGCTCTGGGCTCCCCAATGAGCAGCACTGCTTGTCCCTGCAAGTGAGGTGAACCCCAATGAATGCCTGAGTGCTGTCTCCCTGCACCAGTCCCAATCAGAAGCCATCCCGTTGTTCCATACATTCTCAGCAGGTGGCTGGAAAGGCTGCTGGTGTTTTCCAGACTGGGCTGAGGGACCCTGGGGACACACACAGCTGGCAGGAGGACCCGCACAGCCCCGCTGGGCAGCGTCTGCAGCTCAGAGGAGGTGCTGATGAAGATGGAGACGCTTTCCAAGGGAGGAATCATGCCCAGGTTGGCCACAAAAGCAATCCTCTCCAAGTCCTCATCCATCACAATCCTTCCTGCAGAGAGAGACAGCTGTATTAGGGTGTCACAACCACAACAAATGTCGTTCCCTAGGCCTCCCAAAGTCACCCCCACCCCGGACCAAATGCCCACACCATCTCTCCTCTCTGGGGAGCCCAAACCACAGCCCTCTGCATTACCATTTTGGCAGATGCCATATGGACATGAGTCCCCTTGACGCCATGACACATGACAGCCACCCACTCGCTACCACCTCCCCTTCCCCTTGGCTCCCTGTGTTCCTCAAAAGGCTCCAATCTCTCTCACCACCCCCGTTGGGAGCTCCTCCATCAGGGAGGCTGATGCTGTTCAAATACACGTCGTCAATCTTGGCTTTGTCCTTTATCTGCACGGTCACGGCACGCTGGCAGATCACTGCCTCAAATCCCACGACGGTGGTGCCTTCATCCAGGGGAAAGATGAAGAGCCCTGCCAGCCAGGAGGGTTTTAGCAACACCAAGCCTTCATCCAGCACCCATCAGCCTTGGGTTCTCTGGAAGAGCTCAAGGCCAATCTGGATGAGGCCCTGGGCAGCGTGGTCTGGTGGGGGGCACTGGGCATTGGAACTGTGTGCGCTTAAAGATCCCTCCCAACCCAGCTCAACCATTCTATGCTTCTAATTCAAGAAGAAGAGCCAAGTGCTGCACTGGGGAGGAACAAGCACAGGATGTGCTGGGGGATGCAGCTGAAAATGCACGGCAAGGCAGGACCCAATGGACACCAAGGTGACCACAAGCCAGCACTGTGCCATTGCTGCCAAGGCAGCTAGTTGTGTTCTTGGCTGCATCAGGCACTGCCAGCAGGTCGAGGAGCTGACCCTGCCATTCTGCTCTGTGATGGGACACAGGGACACACAGAGGTGGTGGGATTGCCATCCATGCAAATCTCCAAGAGCATCTGGATATGATTCTGGGCACCAGATCCGGGTTTCCCCGTGGGGGCTGGGTGGGATCAGAGCCATTCTATGATACCCAAACTCACACTTCTCCAGTCGTACCCTTTAGGCCCACATCACTTTGCATTTACAACCATGGGACACAACTCCCACAAGCAGCACGTGCTTCACTTGCCTTTGCAGGGCTGTGCCTGCAGGTTGCAGTAGGTGAGCGATGCTGTCATGCCCAGGGCATATCCACTGACACAGGATGTCACCTCGGAGGCGGTGAGCAGCAGTGGGCAATGGGAGCTCTGGTTGATCAGCCCTGGCATCTTCACCACCACAGGGTGCTTGGGAAGGAAGAACCCACGAGAGGAGCCTGGAGCACCACGCGTCCTCCTTGTGCCTTCACAGCCCTGAGGACAGGAGAGGTGAGTCCTGAGCACCACATCTCTGTCTGCACACCTCAGCTGCTCAAGCTGGGGCAGAATGGCTCAACTTCAGCCTTCCCTCCACGCTGCAGTGCCTCGGTCCCCAGGGAAGGATCTGCCCTCCCTCTCCACACCGTGACTCATCTCTGGCTCAGCAAAGCTCAGCTGTAAAGCTTCTGCCAAGCGCCGCAACCCTTCCCCTGGAGGTTCTGCTCTGTGCTCCCATCCCCAGCGTGTTTCCTCCCCTTCCAGCACAGGCACAGCGCTGCGGGAGACGCAGCATCATTTCCAGCCAGCTGACGCATAGGTGCTCGGGGCGAGATAACGAGGACTGGCTGCACCGCAGAGAGAGGCAGAGGGCATCGGGATATTGGGAAGTAATTAAGCACCAGATGGGGGAGGAAGGAGAGGGAGCCCTTTGCCTTAGGGAAGAAAGGGAGGAATGAGCAGGGGAAACGAGGAATTCATTTCTGAGAAGCCCTGGAGGTGAATTCAAGCCCCAGCGGGGGGACAGCAGCAGTGTCCCCGTGCTCCCGCGGAGGTTGGCACAAGCGGCAAGCCCCATGCTTGGGCTCAAAGTCCTGCTGGCCACAGCTCCCAGTATCACTGCCGCGGGTTGCTGCAGCCTCACAGCCGCTGGCCTGGCCCCAGCGGGGCGGATCAGAGCCGCATCAGCAGCACCGTAATCCCATCCGCGTGCGCTCGGATAGAAGTCACCACTCGTCCGGCCAAGCTCAGCCGCAGCGCACAGAGGTGACACCGCAGGGCCGCACACAGCGCCGGGATAACCCCTCAGCCCCCTCTACTTGGAGGACGGCTGTTGTGCAGAGGGTTCAAAATATTCCTCCGGCTTCGTTTGCATCAATCAACACTGACATCCAGCGGCTCGCAGCCCGCTTACAGCCTCGCAGCCGGCCGCCCTTTGCAGGGATGTGCGCGCACGGCCGGCCGGCCGCCTGTTGCAACGATGCGGTGTCGGGGCTCACGCAGCACCTCGGGGAGCCGCAGCGATGCCGTTCAGCCTGGCAAAGCCCGCACACGCAGCCGGCGTGTCGCTGCTCCTTACCTTGCCCGTGAGGAGGAGGAAGGTGGGCCGGGGTGGGGCAACTTCTCCCCTTCTCCTGCAGCTCGGGAAAGGAATCACGCAAGCAGCGCTTCACGCCGCTCTGCCTCTGGAAGGCACGGGGAGACGGAGACGAAAAGGGAGAGAGCAGGGGAGGAGGGAGCGGGGTGACCGAGGCACGGACACACGCAGGCGGACGGACGCAGGTCCGGGAGCCCGTGGCAGAGCTGAGCCGTGCGGAGGTAACCATGACGATGATGCTCCCGCACCGCCGCCTTCGCCTCCGCCTCCCGCGGCCCCTCTGCGGCCCTGGGGACACGATGCGGAGCCCGCAGGGACAAGAAGGGTCCGCGGGGTGCCGCGGCAGCGCCCTGCCCCGCTCAAAGGTCCCGATGGGGCTGCCCCATAAGCGCTGCTGTCCCAATAGGACACGTGGAGCGGGGATGGGGCGCGTGGCTCCTCCGCGTTCCGGCCGCTTCCATGGCTCCGTTCTCCCTCTCTGCGTCTCTATTTTGAGAATGGAAATTGCAAATGTCACAGCTGTGCCCTGAGCCCCAGCTCACACATGGACCCACTTATGGGGGAAGCCCTCCCTTCTGCAGCAGCTCAGCGACTGCAGCGCAAAACCAAACATCCCAAAGCTGCGCGTGCCCACCTCGCTCCTTTCTCTCGAGGTTTCCCCAGCATTGCGTGCCTCGGGAGCGGGGCTCATCCCGCACCGTGCAGAGGGGGACCCCAACCCCGCAGCACAGCGTGGGACTGACCCCACTTAACGCACAATCACTGAACAGGGCTGACCCTACAGTAATACATCAGGACAGGACCCCACACCCGCAGGGTAGGGGCACGGCCTGACCCCAACCCGGTGCTCCCTCCTAACCACCCCACCCCCCCATCGGGCGCGGGGCGGAACTTTGCTGCCCCGGAACTATAGTGCCGGTGTCGCCGCCCCCAACCGGAACCGGAACAACACCGCGCATGCGCCCTTCCCGCGCCCGGCGCCATTGCGGTGCTGGCGGCGCGGCCTGGCCCGGCCATGGCCACCGACTCGTGGGCCCTGGCCGTGGACGAGCAGGAAGCGGCGGCGGAGTCGGTGAGGCCTTCCCCCTCCCTACACACGCACATATACGCACACACACCCTCCTCCATCCCTCTCCCTGCCCCGCAGCCGGGCTCACCGTGTGTCCTTATTGCAGCTGAGCACCCTGCAGCTGAAGGAGGAGAAGGCCAAGCCCGACGCCAATGGTGAGCGATGGGGGGAGGGCGGGCCGGGCGCTCCCTGAGGTTCGCGAGCCTAAAGCTCGCCCTCCTCCCCCCAGGTGCCGTGCTGAAGGCGGACGACAACGTGGAGAGGACGGAGGATGAGGAGAAAGGTGGGTGTGCGCTCGGAGTCGCCGGATCCTTGGGGATCTAATGGGAAAACCCCACGTGTGGCCGCTCAGGTTTCATTCTGCTGCCGTTCATCCTCACCCCACGCAGTATTTTGCCCCTGGAACCTTCCCAAGTGCTGTTTCCTCCTGCTTTTCTTTCCTCGTCGGGCTGTCAGTGTCAACCTTAATGATGGTATGGAAAATAGGGAAACCTTAAAAGCCACCTGCTCCCACGTCAGCAGACAGCGGGGTGTTCAGCCCTGCTTCCCAGTTAGATGCTGAGCTGTAGGAACTGAAATGAGTTCAGCCCTGAGGTCTCCATTCAGCCTTAAAGCTCTGCCAGCTTCACTTTGTGAGGCTTAACGTGTGAACCCGTGGGATGTCCTGGCATTCAGGAAGGCTGGGCTGTCTGTGGGGGGGAATTTGGGTCTTTCCTTCCTTGGGTAGCACAGCATCAAACCAGCAGCAACACCTGCGATGGCTTTTCCACCTCCCTTTTGGCAGAGGACCGAGCTGCCCAGTCCCTGCTGAACAAGCTGATCCGCAGCAACCTGGTGGACACCAGCAACCAGGTGGAGGTGCTGCAGAGGGACCCCAACTCACCGCTCTACTCCGTCAAGTCCTTCGAGGAGCTGCACCTGTAAGTGCCAACGTGAGCTGTGTGTGATAGATTCATGGACTAAGAGGTGGTCGTGTGGGGTTGTTGATCATATGGGTGATCTCAGCTTTGTTGCAAGGGAAAACGGACCTGCTGTAACTTCACACTGGTTCTGCTTCCTTAACCTTAGTGGCTGGGTGTATCCCAAAAGGCAGAGCTCCTATAGCACCCGTCTGAGTAACTCCTGTCTTTCAGAAGGCAAACAGTCTGGGGGAGTTAGGAATGAGGCAGCTGGGCTGAGTGAGCCCTGTGTTGTGACTTGGTGCAGCCTTAGCAACTGTGTGAGAGCTGGGCTTGGTGCGTCCTTGAGCAGTGCAAGGTTACCTCTCAAAGGGCTTTTGTTCCAGCCTTCCTCTGAAAGTGATACCGTCTTTTCAAGCAGTGTGTTGTGCTGAGCAGTGGGAAGTGGTGGGCAGAACAAGTGCAACCTGTTTTGAGTAGAGCACTGCTTACTGCTAGGAGCTCCCTGCTATGTGACCTGAGATTCAGGTTGGATTAGAGGACAAGATTAGTGGCCTCTATTCCAGGATGGCCAGGATTGTCTGGAAAGCTGCTTTAGAACATGCAAGAAGCACAGCAGCAGCCTCTGGAGCTGTGATACAAGGTTTTCCATGTTGAAAGGCAAGCGTGCAGGATGGCTTAGTAAATTGAAGGTTGGTTTTTTTTTTTTTGGTAAAGCTTCTGTTCCAAAGAGCACTGCGCTGCTGCTTGCAGCTTCCTGCCACTGATGGTGGTCATGCAGCAGTGCAACCCCAGCAGGGATGCAGGTGTCGAGGTCTGGCTGCAAGGGTTTTCTTGCCCTTTGGGATGGTGCAGCTCCTTGCCTCTGAGATATTCCAAGGCAAAGCTTAAGAGAGAACGCCTCTGTTTCCAGGAAACCACAGCTCCTGCAAGGAGTCTATGCCATGGGCTTCAACAGACCATCAAAGATACAGGAGAACGCCCTGCCCATGATGCTTGCTGAACCGTACGTACGCGCGCCTTTCTGCGTCCTCACCGTGTAGGAAGGGTCTGAAAGATCCTTTCAGAGAGGGGAGGACGGCGCTGGGGCTGTGGGGAAAGGACGGAGCAGCAGCACGTCTCAGAGCTGTGGGAAGGCTCAGCCTGCACTGCTCTCCCCCAGCGTTGTGGGGTGGCTGGTTTTCCTGAGCTCACGCTGATGTTGAACCCCGCTGTGTGTCGCAGCAGCCCGCAGAACCTGATTGCACAGTCTCAGTCTGGTACTGGCAAGACAGCTGCCTTCGTCCTCGCCATGCTCAGCCGTGTTGAACCTGGGAACAAGTACCCACAGGTGGGTTGTAGCTCCTGAGTACCCACAGGTGGGTTGCAGCACGGCTGAGCCCTTCTGTGGGGGTTTGGGGTGGTGCAGAGACCCCCTACCGAAGGGCCTGAGCTTCTATGGAGGCTTTTTAAACCCAATTTCCTTGTGAGATAGTTGAGCAGCATTACTGAGGCTTGAATTCTTTCCTTAAAAACATCCTGTTGGTGTTGGTTGTCTCATGCTCATTGTTCCTCTGTCTCCTCCAGTGCCTGTGCCTTTCCCCAACATACGAGCTGGCACTTCAGACAGGAAAAGTGATCGAACAGATGGGGAAGTTTTACCCGGAGCTGAAGCTTGCATACGCTGTCCGAGGCAATAAATGTGAGTAAGCTGGAACACCACCAACAGACTGCAAATGAAAATGATTTACCTTGGGTTGAATAGAGCACTGGAACGTAATGGTTTTTAAACATCTGTACAGAATATGAATTTGATGTAACGAGAATTAACTCAGTGGGTGTCCTGGGGCAACGATGAATGCCTGTGGTTTATTCCTTAGCTCAATCTGAACTCAGTATGAGTTATATTGTGGCTGATCTCAAAGCTTGACGGGTGGCTTTCTGTCTGGACAGTGGAGAGAGGTCAGAAGATCTCAGAACAGATTGTAATTGGCACACCTGGCACTGTGCTGGACTGGTGCTCCAAGCTGAAGTTCATAGATCCCAAGAAAATCAAAGTGTTCGTCTTGGACGAGGCTGACGTGATGATAGCAACCCAGGGCCACCAGGATCAGAGCATCCGCATTCAGAGGTAAGCATTACAGCTGTTGTGTAACATAGGGGCAGCAGGGCTACATTCTTGGCCTGGTGACTGCCACCACAAAGCAACGAGATTCAGACAGCACCTTTAGCTCTAGTCCTGGCAGCTGGTAGAGGCAGAACGCTGTGGAAAGATAAGCAGTCGTAATTTTCTTCTGGAATAAGCCCCAGAGCATGGCTTTATTCCCTTTTTTTTTTAAGAATGTGAGCCTGTAAGATGTGGGAATGATCAGGTGTGGGTGAGAGAAGTGAGGCTTTGCAGCCACTGAAATAACTGGCTCTGAGGCTGTCGGTCTGCGTTGCCTGGGGCGTCCATCCAGCAGCAGGTTCCAGGGTGCTGCGTGGGAACGCTGCTCACTTTGCTCTCTCTTGCAGAATGCTCCCCAGGGACTGCCAGATGCTTCTGTTCTCAGCCACTTTCGAGGATTCCGTGTGGAAATTTGCTCAAAAAGTTGTTCCTGACCCAAATATTATCAAGCTGAAGAGAGAGGAGGAGACGCTGGACACTATTAAGCAGTATTACGTTCTGTGCAATAGCAGAGATGAGAAGTTCCGTGCTCTCTGTAACATCTATGGTGCTATCACCATTGCCCAGGCCATGGTCTTCTGCCACGTGAGTCCTTTTGGGGAAAGTTACTTCCAGCAACCCCATTGGCCAGGTGTCCTTTTCAGAATGGAACTCAAGGAAGGGATGGGGAAGCCTTACAGTTCAGCTGATACGTAGTTATTCCTGGCCCTCACATTTGGTAATTGCTGTCATACGGAGCTCTGTGAGCTACACCAAAGCTTTTCCCTGGAAGCCACCGTAGATCTGAGAAAAAGCAGTGCAGATAGCTGTGCAGAGCTCTGCTGGTGAAGCTCAGACCGGGTGGAACGTGTAGGTTCAGTCTGCTGCAGCAGCCTGCTTTTCTGCAGCCTCCTGGCGTCAGCCATCGTCAGAGCTCAGGAAACCAATAGGAAACAGTTTAATTCAACACTGTGTAGAGCCTCTGTTGGATTTCCCAGCTTCTTTCTGCTCAAAGGTTGCCCTTTTCCAAGCTGAGTGGCTTTGTTGTAATGACGATGGCTCTGAGACTTCAGCGTATGGGCATAACGCAAACCTCGCTTGTAAAGTGGAGTAAAACTTCCTCCCCAAGACAGGCTTTGCTTTGTGTTTCAGACCCGGAAGACGGCTGGCTGGCTGGCAGCGGAGCTCTCGAAGGAAGGCCACCAGGTGGCACTGCTCAGCGGGGAAATGATGGTGGAACAGAGAGCCGCGGTGATAGAGCGCTTCCGAGAGGGCAAGGAAAAGGTGCTGGTGACCACCAACGTGTGTGCCAGAGGTAAGGCGAGGCAGAGCTGTGCCGAGGGGCAGAAGCAGTGCTTTGTTCACATTGCTGGGCGGTTTGCAGACAGCATTTCTATCCTCAGCTTCCACTCCAGACAGATGAGGGTCCCGAGGTGACTCTGAGCAGTTCAGGCTGTTTTTCATTAGCCGTGCTGGTGGGATTCTCTGTGCTGATAGCTGGATGGCTTCTATGTCAAAGTACCCCAGAAGTATCTCGTGAAGAAGGTTTATTTCCAGCTGCACGTGTGGGCTCTGTGGTTGTTGCTGCTTCTTGTGTTGCTTCAGAGTTTGAGACTGGCTGTTAAATCTTCCTTCAGTCTGGGGTGACCACGGGGCAGCTGTCTGAGTATCTGTTGGAGGCTCTGACCAAAACACACACGGGTCAGGCCACAGGAGGCTGATCCTGCTACAGAATCGTGGCATCTGCTGCTTTCTTTGATCAGGGATCGATGTGGAGCAGGTCTCTGTTGTTATCAATTTTGACCTTCCTGTGGACAAGGATGGAAATCCAGACAATGAGACCTACCTGCACCGCATCGGGCGCACGGGTCGCTTCGGCAAGCGAGGGCTGGCGATCAACATGGTGGACAGCAAGCACAGCATGAATATCCTCAACAGGATCCAGGAACACTTCAGTACGTGTCCTCAGGCTTCTTTTTTTCCCTAAAATTAGGGATAATTCTGAGCTTCTGTGGATGGGAGCAGATCTGACTGACGGCTGTTTGTTGAGCCCGAGCGGATCAGTGCAGCTCCTCAGGAGGAAGCAGCTTTCCCTTTGCTGCCCTCTGCCGTGGCGTCTGACTCGTTTCTTGTCTTCCACAGGCAAAAAGATCAACAGATTGGATACTGACGACTTGGATGAAATTGAGAAGATAACTAACTGAAGGACAGCTGCTGGAACCGGTGCGTACCCTGCAGTGGAAGCTCTCCCACTCCAATTGGATCAGATTGGCACGCCTCCCAGCTCGTCCCGAAGAGGACTCCTAAGATACGAGTACACAAAAATTACCTCATTTTAAAAATTGCAGTTGGACTTTCAAATGTGCAACTAAAGGGGGGGGGAGGAAGAGGAAATGTTTACAGAAGCTTTTAACATTTCTTAGTCTAGCCTTAAAACGGGGGAGATCTTTTGAATGCTAAGAAGTAAACTTGCCACCAGTGGGCAATGCGTAATTACTGAAAACTTATCTGGGGGAAGAAAAAAAAAAACAGAAAAAAAGCTTTATTGCTTTTAATTGAAGCAAAGTTCAGCGTAAACACGATCAGTTAAAAGACAAAAAAAGAGACGAAACCAAGGCAGCTGGTTTTTAGGTAAAAACTCAACTTGTACAAAATAGGATGTCAACTTCTGAGCTCTTCAGACTCATTTCTGGCTTAATGATGGATTTGCCCAGCTTCTCGTTAGGTAAATTGCCCAGGGGGGTCTCCAGTAAGTCAGAGTCTCTAACACAGGTGCCGTGTTGCTTTTGCTGGGCAGTGCTTTCTTTTTACTTTGTCCTTGATCTGTTAGAGCAGCCGCTGTGCAGTGGTGACAGTGCTGAAGTCAGTGCTCGAGAAATTCACCTGAAGCATTTAACCTTGCCAAACGATTGAGGGGTGGGTAGGGAGGGGGGGGATGGTGTGAAGGGAACTGTACTAATTAGTTTTCTGAATAAATTTGCCTCTGTAAAATGCTAGCATCCATTGGAGTGGGGGTCAGCCACCTTCAGGCAGGCGGTGCTGGTTCTGAGATGCTGCTGTGTGAATCATGTATACAGAACTGCTGGATTTCAGATTTCACTGACCAATAATAGAAGTATTTATCTGGCTTTAAAAAAAAAAAAAGGAAAAAAAAAAAATCCTAACTGTGTGTTGACCAAAAACAAAAAAAAACCAACCTCCTTTTAGAAATGCCAAATTTGTACCTGTGATGGGATGCTTCAATATCAGAGGTGGAGGAGAAGCGCTCCCCGCTTCCATGGCGCGCAGTGCAGCTCAGCCGTGCCCCTGCCTGAAGGTGAGCCATGCCAGAGAAGGGACGAGCAGCAACTCCTGTGGCTTTGAGTTGGCTTGGGACCACTGCAACACACAGGGAAAGCCTGCAGGTTGCAGCCCCAGCCTGGTTTGCAGGAGATGGAGGCTCCTGGGGATGCGCGTGAGCAGCCGCCGGCCGCTGTAGGAATCACTCCCCAACAGATGCACACAGTGTAAATTTAAAACTAGGAATTTATTCTGGCCGTCATATTCTGTTCAAAGACAGGAACGTGGATCCTTTTACCAAGTAAAAAAAAAAACAAAAAACAAAACAACAAGAGGCTCGTTTAAAATGTACCTAAAATTTTAGGAAACCGTGCACCCTTTTATCGATTTGTATAAAGGCTTTGGGGGGGGGGGGAAAAAAAAAGAAAAAAAAGAAAAAAAATCTGTGAAACTCTTTTGTATTCTGGGGTGTATCTATTTTTATTCAGTTGGAAACCTATTTAAAGTGGCAGGTGAGTGAGTGCTTGCGTGCAGAGTGGAAGACTTGTTGCAATCACCTCCTTTCGTGGTACAGCTGAACGAGCTCGTGACAGCAGTGAGTTGAATTGTCATGAAAGCTGCTGCTGGGCCTGTGTGCTGTTTCTAATGTACTTCTAATTGGAATAAAGAACACATACCGACTGCTGCCTCAGCTTGTTTCTTAACGCCTTCTTGTTGTTGGAGAGCCGTAGGTAAGGAGCAGCCCAGCCACGAGCTCTGATCCGTTTTCTATTCAGGAACATCTCAAGGTGATGCTTCACCTCCTGCTTGTACAGGGACCAGTTTGCAAAGGGCAGAGGGGGGAAAACTGGGGCAGCAGCTTCTTCCTGCACTGCGTTTGCCTAGATGGAGATTTGATGCACTTTCCTGTAGAAAAATACACTTCTTTGGAGACACTGCAGTCCACAGGTCGGTCGGAGGGCTGAGCTGTCTGATCCAGGCCATCTCTGGAACATTCAGCTCGGTGAAGAGGATGCCGAGCCTCCAGCAAACAGAAATCATTGCCAGTTCAAATTTTAGCTGAGAAGGTTTTATTGATTATTTTTTTTTTTTACCATCACACTGTATGAAAATACTCTGACAGCAGCAGTGACATCACACACACGCAGCAGGCACCAGTCCCTGCCTGCTAACGCTGCTGTGCTCTTCTTCTACCACCCACATCCGTGGTCCTGAGCTGCCCACGTTCTCAAGGCTGCTGCAAATATCACAACAGAGCGGCTGTGAAAGGTCTGATGAAAGCATCCCAGGTCTCGTGCTCTCCCTGAAGATGCTGGCATACCTACAGCTTGCTCACCAACTGCTGCAGCAGAGACCAGGACCCTCGAGCACTGACTTTGGAATGAGATTCAACATTCTTGGTCAATACTGGAATGAATTTTCTACTGTTATCGCTCTTGTGAGCTGCTCTGGCAATTCTGCTGAGCTGAAAGCCTGGGTTTTCCTCACGATGTTATAAAATGAGCTCAGCTGTGTGGCAAGCTGTCCATTTTTTTTAGCACAGACATACTAAGTTGCCCTACTCGCGACTTTTGACAAAACAACTTTGCAAGAGCCATATTGGTTCAGTAAAACAAAAGTGCTGGATGAGCCAATTCCTCTCCCAGAGCCAATTAATACAGAATTGTAAGCAAAAGAAACAACCAAACCTCCCACTGCAGCACTTGGCCTGAAGACTAATTCATTTCAGCATAAAAGCATTAAATGAAGTATTTTGCAGCATCCCACCTTGACTGTCCAGCTCCTCTGATCTACCAGTCGTCAAACAAGAAAAACTGAGGAGAAAATCCCACTGCTCACCAATACAACCACAATCCAGCTGAGTTTCACAGAGTAAAACAGTTCTGCTGTCTTCCCAAATGCTTGATCCCCTCTGGGAAGTGGCACCTTCAGAGAAGAGGACGCAGAAGAAGGTTCCTGCTCTAAGGACAGAACAAACATCTAAGAAGGAAATCCTTAATTTCAAAACCAAAGTTGGTGGCACTCAGGAAGGAACTTGTGGATAAAAGACACTGTCCCTGCAGTCAGCCTAGGTGGGTACACTTGAAGCAGCACTTCAACACGTGCTTTTGGTAACCACGAGTCTGCTTCAAGGGAACTTGTAGAAAGATGAAGAGGACCAGGCTGCTCCAGTGCTCGGCTCAGCTTACAGGTCGGCGTCCTGCTGCTCGGCCTGCCGGATGCACAGCACAGACTTGTGGGAGATCCCACACTCCTGCAAGGACCTGCTGAGGTCATGGAAGCTCCGTCTGGGCACCTCCGTGGTTTCAATGCTGCAGCGTTCATATTTGGCAGCTGTTTGGTGTTCTGCTATAGCAAGGACTGTCTGGAGACTGTCTGTGGGCTTGAAGTGATGTTCAAACCGTTGACCGGAGGGAGACCGAATAGCAAGCAGCAATCGTGACTCTTTCTGCAGCGGTGCTTCCAAACTCAGAGTTGATAACAAAGAGCTCTCTTGCCTCATTTTCCTTCCTGGCTTCTCAGGAGCACACCAGGCTTCTTCATTAGGGACATGGCTTTCTGGTGACCTGCAGGCAGATCTTTGCTCTCCAGAAGGAACCGCAGTTTTTGGAGCACCCTTCTGTCCCCAGCTCGCATCCAGACGGCCGCTCTGCTCCGCTGCACCCTCCACTCCCTTTCGGCCAATGGAGGGGAGCACTCTGTATTTGTTCAGGGAGGACGAGCTCCGCAACGGCACCTGCTGCAGGAGCTCAGGGATCTCCTCTGGGGAGATCTGGCCGGAGGGGAACACTGCTTTCACAGATGATGCCCTCCGGCTGCTCTGTAAGTCATGTGGAGCTGCTGGCGATGATGGCACTGCACAAGGAAAGGTGTCTGTGGTCCCAGAGTAATTGAAGGTTGACCTCGTGCGACCCTTGGCAGATTTTGGCCGGGTCATGTGCATGGTGATGGCGTTTGGCTGAAAGACAGAGAGCGCCGTGCTTGAAGGGAAGTAGCAGCAAAGTTGTACTGGGTTCAGAAGAGCTGCTGTGGCCATTGCTTCCCAAGACACCTGCAGTTGGGAAAGCAGAATGAAAAGTTACAGGAAACGGCCTAAAATGGCCTTAATTTCCCTGCTGATTTTGTGCTGCATATCATCTAATAGCAAAGATCTGGTGCGTCACGGACTGAAACCTGTGGCTCAGTGCTGGCAGCCAGAGACGAAGGAACACACACCACTGTAAGTGCACAAATTGCTTACAGCTGACTGGTCTCCCCAAAACAAGCAGAAGGAATGGAACAACCACTCAGTGCCCATTCGAGGCCGGGCTCTGAGGAGCAGCAGAACACACGCTCCTCCTGCCAACTGCAGTCACACGGGGGTGTTTGATTGACTCCTGCCAACAAACGTGCTCCAAGGCAACAAAGAGGAAATTCTGAATGCATTGCAGCACTTATATACAGACTTATATAAACGTTTAGATACATGGTTACATCCCACACAACCAAAACGCCCTCAGCCACCACAATGAGACTCCTCCAAATGAGAGTCTCCAGACCCCCAGCACCGCACGTGTTGTCAACACAGAGCAGTTTAACTTTGGGTGCCCGAGCTGCTCCACGGGGTTGGGACAGAGCACTGCAGCACCCACAGGGACCCAAAGTGCTGTGCCCCATGTCTTGGGGTGGCAGTAGGCCCCGTTTTGGGGGTAAGCCCCAGCCCCGCAGTGCAGCCCAGCTCCCTAGCAGAGCCTTTAGTGCCCCAGCCCCACAGCTGAGCCCAGTCCAGACCCTCAGCCAGTCCCCAGCCCCACAGCTGAGCTCAGTCCTGCCCCCACAGCCCATCTCTGACCCCAGTCCCCAGCCCCACGGCCCGGCCCCGCCGCCTCACACCTGCCACCCCGGTGCCGCCCGCGCCCGCCGGTAAACACAGCCGCGTTGCCACGGCGACCGTCCCACTTCCGGCTACCACAGAGAGGAGCGGCCGCGCTGGGCAGAGCGCCCCCTTGCCGCGGTCCTCCAGACGCCATGTCACGGCCGAGGCTCACCCTAACTTTACTGTTTTAACCCCAAAAACTGACCTGAGCCTTCTGCTTTGCTCAGGATGAGCGTTTAAACCCCGGGAGCGTGGCAGCAGGGCGACCACACAGCCCCACTCCACTGGGTAGAACTGGAACAAACCCCAAACCCATCCATTGGGACGAGAGCTCCTTCCAAGAGCCGCCCAGCACACGCACGGAGCGCCATAACCCAGTGCCTCCACAAAAGGCCCCGACCCACCTGGTGTGGGGCAGGGTGGGACCAGAGCTGCCTCCAGCCTCACCCCCCTCACTGTGCACACAAAGCACCATTTTCTTACTGATAGATTTCCTCCCTTGGAAGCAGGGTTAATTACCAAGGGTGGAGCAGTGCCTATGAATACAGGCAGAGCCTGCTGTCTGTTTGCTCTGGGCTGCCTGGCTGCTCGGCAGTGATAGCAGCCTTTGTGTGTTATCTCCTCAGGTGCTCTGCCTCTCTGCATCACGTTGTGGCTGCAGTGATTCAATAACCTGTGCTCCAAAGGCATCCCCGATGGAGCTCTCATGGCTTCCAGCCTGCTTTGCCCACGGTCTCATGTTGCAGAACCTTTGAGAAGCCTCAGGCTTCTCCCACACGCTGGTTGTACCAGATTTGGCGAAGATTGCATGGGAAAGACTGAAGAGCAATCAACTGAAGGGCTGCAGAGGACAAGCTGCTAACAGTACCCACTAGCTACACTGCCAAGGCTGGAGCACCGTGTCTGTAGCCAGAGCCTCCACCTGACCAGATATCTTTAGGGCACAAGCCACTTGTATCCCTACAGCAAGCAAGGTTTCCTGGTTTTGTGCAAGGGGCACCGGCAAGGGACAGGGGGAGGATCTCTCCCCTCTTTATCCATATAAAGCAAACCCGCCAAGCCCCAGAGCCGCAGAGAGAGGAGGGTGGGATTTTATTGCCCCCATTTCATCACCAGTCCCAGAGTGCTGCTCGCCGTCCTCTTCCTCCATCGTGAAGATGAGGAATCTCCTGCTTGCCCTGCTGCTGGCTTATGGTGAGTCGGCTGGTGAGGCTGGGGTCTCAACCCCCTGCATGCAAACCATACAAACTCACAAGCTTTGAGTGTCTTTTGTCCGAGCTTTGCCATCTCCCTGCCATGCTCAGTGTGGTTGCGGGGGGTTGGGTGATGGGCCACGTTGATGCCACTCTGTCCCCCCATCCCTCTCTGCAGGGCTGCCTCCGGCGCGTGGCAGCTTGCTGGAGCTGGAGCGCATGATCAGAGTGACCACAGGGAAGAGTGCCCTGCTCTCCTATAGCTGGTATGGGTGCTTCTGCGGCATCGGGGGCAGAGGGACCCCAGTGGACCCCACTGACACGTGAGTACCTGGAAAATCATGCTGCTGCCGGGCCACGTGCTCCTCGCAGTCACCTCACATTTGGGGCTGGCGCTTCTCTCACCTCTGACACATCTCCTGCAGCTGCTGCCATGCCCACGACTGCTGCTACAGGCAGCTGCGAGAGAGCAGCTGCAGCCCCCTGATAACCCCGTACCAATTCGATGTCACCGATGGAGACATCACCTGCGGTGAGTGCCAGGGAGCAGATTGCCTGGCGAGGCGGTGAGAGCACGGGGATGGCACAGCAGCACTGGGGCAGAGCATCACGTTTTTCCCCCTGCAGGTGATGAGCAAAGCTGGTGCAAGAGAGAGACCTGCCTGTGTGACAGGGCCATGGCTTCGTGCTTTGCCAGAGCTCTGCCTTCCTACAACGTGTCCTACCGCTTCTACTTCAAGCTGAGGTGCAGAGGGAGCAAGCTGCAGTGCTGAAATCTGCATGTCTGCCTGTTTTGAGTGCCTTTCCTCGTTGCTGTGGGAAGGACAGGGTGATGTGAGTGCTGAGAGGGGCTGCAGCCCTCCTCCCAGTGAGGTGATGCGCAGGGTGAGCAGGGCACATGCGATAGCTGGAGATCCCCAGCTCCCCAGAAGAGTTGTTGTCCCCTTATTCTTCTCTTTTCTCTACTGATTTTGTTTTCCAGCAAAAAGGAATTGAATAAATGGTGTGAAAAATGCTCTGTGGTGTTTTGCTGTTGGACCGGTGAGAGATGGGTCTGTCCCACGCTCAATACCCAGCATTGAGAACTGGGGACAAATAACATGCCACCAAGTAAAACTCCCTGGGGTTTGTCAACAACACTTCCCTGCAGCGAGCCTGGGGCTGGTGGCCTCTCCCAACATCCCCCTCCTTCTTCTCTGAACTCACTCCCAGAGCTAACATGCAGAGCAAACTTCATATTTTGATGGTCAGGGGATTCATCCCTTCCTACTGCAGTCAGAAAAGCCATTTTTTGCCAGTATTCAAGGATTGCCTGCCCCCTGTGAGCCCTTTTTAGGGCTTTGATTTACACCTTCGGAATCAGGGCTGGCTATCCCACAATACAGCACCAGCAGGGCCGGTAAAGCAGTGGAAAACACCCCCGAGCTGCTAGGGCTGGGCAGAGTGTATTGCCTTCCTCCTGCACTGGAAGTGACACCGCTTTGCTGTCATCACTGCTGGCATGGATAAAGGCAGGGGGATTTTCCTGCATTCACATTAAGGGGAAGGATGGTGCTTTCTCCTTTATAGAAAAGCCCCACTTCCAGAACTGCATGAGTTGAGTGTTCCACAGGTTTGTGGAAGTGAAAGCAAGCCCTATATAAATGGAGCCATGCCAACCACGTACCCATGAGCGGCAGAGGCTTTCCAGAGGTGAGCAGGGTTAGAGGAACACCTTCCTTCCTTTCCTACCTTAACCATAAGCTGTACTGCAAGTGGGGATGGAGGCACAGGCAGAGAAAGCAGTGCTGAGCAGCAGAGCAAAGGCAGTCTGAGACAGCAGTCCAGAGCTGTGTCCCCTCAAGGGCTTCAGCTTTCTCTACATTCTGCTTTTTTTCCTGCTCTCCACCACCTGCTGCTCTTTACTGTTCCATCCCTGACACCGAAAATGCAGCATTTGTTGCCAAAGCTGGGCTGCAGGGGGCATTGCCTCCTTGCTCCATCCCCAGCTGGGGAGCAGGAAGGAGAGAGGTCCCCTGCTGCAAGAGGCTTGGTGGTGCAGTGGGGAGATGACCTGGCGTTGGCTTCCTCTTCCAGGGCGGTAGGAAAGATGAATGCTCTCCTTGCACTGGCCATGCTGTTTGCTTCAGGTAAGTGTCCTCACCTGTGCTGCCAGGGCAGCCACACCTGCATCAAACAGAAATGTTAGAGCTGTGGCTTTCTCAAGCTTTCACTTTCCACCACCACTTCCCCAAAACACTTAACAACCCCCCCAGATAACAGCTCCCCTGTGCTGGGGACGAGTTTCCTTTCCAGCACAGCAGGTAAGACCGTGGTGAGATGACTTGGTGGTGGAATATAGCAGGGGATACCAAGGGGATGACAAAAAAGGGGAGAAAAGTGTTTCTGTCATCACACTGATTCCCCTCCAGGCTCGTCACCGGCTGCTGGGAGCCTCTGGCAGCTGCAGCAGGTGGTCACAAAGCTGACGGGGAAAAACGCCGTGCTGCATTACTCCTTCTATGGCTGCTACTGCGGCGTGGGGGGCCACGGGCAGCCCAAGGATGCCACAGACAGGTAAGCACCCATTTAAAAATCTCCCTGCTCAAATTTATTCATTCAAATCTGAGGGGTGTGGGAAGCAGGGGGGAAAATCTGAAAGCTCAGAGCCCTGCGCAGATGCTGCCAGCTGCACGATGCCTGCTACGACAGCCTCCAGAAGTACCACTGCAACGCCAAGCAGCAGCACTATCAGTACAGCTGGCGCAGCGGCCGCCTCACCTGCAGTAAGTGGGGATGCTGAAAAAGGGGCTCCTCCCTTCTCAAAATGAAATGAAACGCAATCAAAATCCGTGCTGCTCGCAGACAGGGACTTGTGGTGTGCCCAGCTGTCCTGTGAGTGCGACCGCAGCCTGGGGCTGTGCCTGCAGAGGAGCACGAGGAGCTACAACCGCCGCTATGTTCTGTACCTCAAGAGCAAATGCAGGCGGTGAGCACGTGCAAAGCAAAGACTCTTTGGGTTTGGCTCTCTGCTTTGCTTCTGGAGCTGAGTTTCTGCATGGACCCACATTCGTGTTGGACTGAATCGATGTGAAAATAAATTATGTGCTTAAATCATCTTGGTCCTCTGTGAGCTGGAGCCCAGCACTGCCCTCCCAGTGCTTCCCATTACATTCCAGAGCCTCCTAGCAAACACGCAGTACCACCTTGTGCTATGCAGAGCAGCCCAATAACCTCACAGCGCTCTCAAATGCTGCCCAGAGACCCAAAGCATTCCCAGTAACCTCCCAGTGTCCCCTAGTGTTATCCAGAGCCTTTCAATCACCTCCCTGTGCTGTCCAGAGCCTCCTAACACCCTCCCAGTGGACCCCAATCCTTGCTAGAAATCCCCAGTATGCTCCCAGTGCTGCATAGCACCCCACAATAACCTCTCTATGCCTTCCCAGTGCAGCTTAGTACTGTCTTGAGCCCTCCAGTCCCCTGCTAGAGCTGCTTAGTGTAAAAGGTTTCCCAGTGCCTTTCCACTGAGTTTCAGCATCGCCCAAAGCCCTGCAGTTAAATGCCAGTGCTCTGTGGTAATGTCTAGAATCTCCCAGTTCCCCCCAGTTCAACCTACAGACACCCAGTACTCTTCTAACGCCTCACAAAATGAGACTTTGGACACTCAGCATGGGGCTTTAGATCAACGAAATTGGGTTTGGGGAGCTGAAAAATAGGTTATGGACCCTGAAAATGGGCATATGGAATGAGAAAAGATGACTTGAGCCGTCAAAAATCATGACTTGCAGCCTATAACTGAACTTGTGAACCCAAAGAATAACTCCCTAGACTGAAGAGTCTGGGCCCTACAAACAGGATTACAAGCCCCTAAAGTTAGTACTTGGATATTCAAAAAGGGATCTTGTGACCAAAAATCAGGATGGTTAGAACCTCCAAGTGGCATTTTGGAGTGTAAGATAAAGAATGAAGCTCAGGACCCAAAAAATGGAGATGGGAGGATGCCTGGGGTCTGTAGGCAGTACTGAGAGCACTGAGAAAGTGCTGAGGGCATCTAGAGAGCAATGGGGGGAACTGGGAGCATACTGGGAGGCTCTTGGGGGTTACTGGGAGGGCATTTGGGGGTCTCCAGATAGCACTGGGGCGTACTGGAAAGCTCAAGGCAATACTAGGAGACAGTGGCAGGGTACTGGGCTGTTGCAGAAAGCTACAGGGAGCAGCAGGGGGTACTTGAACGGTGCCTGGGGGTCCCCGGACAGCAGCGAGGGGCTCCAGGCTGCGTCACACCAGGCTGTGGGTTTGGCCGGCAAGGGACGGGGCGTAGCAGGACGGCGTGTGGGGACAGGCGAGAGGCATTTCTGCACTTCCAGGCAGGAGCTGGAGGCACAGGGCAGTGCTCGGCCAGGAGCGAGGGATCGGAATTGGAACCGGTGCCATTTCCCGGTAAGAGACCCCAGCCTGACCCTGCTGCTGCTGGGGGTCATCGCATTGCAGAAGTGAAAACAGGGCTGGGGGGTTGGGAGGAGGGGGAGGAGGCGGCACGCTGAGCTGGTTTTTTTTATCTGCCTCGTGATGAAGTGCTTTGAGGGGAAATGTCAGCTGAGGAGATGCTGCTGCCAAGTCCTCTTTGGTGCGAGGGGCGGTGGGACGCGAGCTGGAGGGGTGGGCGGTGGGACAGCACGGGAATGCGCTTGCTTTTGGCCAAGAGGCAGCAGCACCGTGAGAGGGAGCCCTCCTGCCTCCCTCCCTTCAACTTCTGGAGGAATTCGACGTGATTTCAGCTGGGCAAGGTTGGCAGGGCAGCGCCCGTTTCTCCCCCAGGTGCAGGCGAGAGGAAGATGAAGGTCCTGCTGATGCCGGCGCTGCTGCTCGCCTGCGGTGAGTGCAGCTGCGACAGAAAAGGAGATCCCAGCCAAAGCTGCTCCGCTCCGCTCCAGCCGACCGGGGCTTGTTTATCTCGCTCACAAAATCCCATTTTCCGGTCGCTTCAGGCATGCTCACAGCTCGTGGGAAGCACCCGCACACGTTTGCTCCGGGGCTGGAAGGGAGCACCGTGGGAAACCTGACTGCCCATGGCTGTGGCGCGGGCTGGGGCCGTGGTCGCGCTGCCTTCATGGACAGGTACAACATCAGCAAGCGGCAGCAGAAGGGGAACAGGATTTAGCGAAAGTGAGGCAGTGCTCTCCCCTTCCTGCAGCCTTGTCAAGGCAGAGAGCACCAGCTGAAACGGATGGGATGGCAGCACAGGGCAGGGCTGGTCTGAAAACCAGGGTGCAGAAAGGCTGGAGCCAGCAGTTGGACGCGGGGATCGTTATGGGTCACTTCCAATCTGGGCTATTCTAGGGTTCTGAGAGAGGCTGCAGGGAGAAAAGCTGAGAAGAGGTGGGTGTGTGAGCAGCGGGAGCAGGCTGAGGATTGCCCTGGGTGACTTAGCGCTGGGGGCCGGTTGGAGAGCAGCTAGCAGGCTGTTTGGGTCAGGGCCAGGCTCTCGTTCTCCCTGCAGGTGCTGCCTGCTCCGTGCCTGCTGCTACGCCAAGCTGGCCGCACGCCGCTGCCGCGTGGGACAGACCCAACGCCTCCCTGTGCCCCAGCCGGGGGTCCCTGCCTGCAGTAAGTCCCCACGGCCACGCTTTAGGATCCTGGCACCTTGATAAAGTCCCCACTGCCACCCTGGCAGCTCGCTGGGTTCTTCCTACAGCCACCATCCCAGCGCCGTGCTTCCCCTCGCTCCCATAGGCTCCGGGACGTGGTGCCAGCGCGCAGCCTGCAGGTGTGAGCGTTTGGCTCAGCTGTGCCGGGCTCGCAGCCGGGCGCTGCGCAGGTGTCGAGGCAGGCGCTGCTGATGGAGAAAGGCTCCTCGTCATAAACCCACCTCCATGCTGGTAAGCAAAGCGGAGCTCGGCGCGGCGCCAGGAACGCCTCCCGATGCTCTTCTTCGAGGCTTTTTGGTTACGACAGGAGGACAGCCGCCCTTTTGTGAAGCTGCGTCATCGGACACTGGGTGTGAGGAGGGCAGCGCAGATGGAATGTTTCTGCTCAGAAAAACAAGGGAGGAGCAGACACCTGTGCCTTGTCACAGCAAAGGGCGAGATGATGGAAGCAGTCTTGCTGTTGGCGTCCACCCCTTTTGGCTCAAGCTCCCCATTGGTAAATCACTGCAGAGATGTCGGCTCCCTCAGCTTCTTGCTTCGCTGCAGAATCTTGTATGTTGCTCCAAAATAAAACCAGAGAGCACAAAGCTTCGGTCTTCTGTGACTTCACTGTGTTCAGTGACAACCCCTAGCACTGAGGGAAGCTCATCTGTTAGCAGGGCTTCCTGTGGAGACACCAATAAAAAAAATCACCCAGCCCGAAGGAGCAGAGCTGAGCAGCAGGGTCCAGAGCCCGCTTATATTGCTGCCCAATGGCACCATCCCCTTTTTGCAGAAAGGAGAAGCCAGTCCATGCTCCCTGAAGGGTGCTTTATCCCCCATGTGCTCACTGGCACCCCTCAGCCTTCAGCTCCCTACAATTTGCAGCTTCCCCGAGGCAGAGAAATGGAAGCTGCTGTGAAAGTCAGTGGGCAGGCAGGATGCTGCAGGAGGGCTGGCTGCCAACGAGCTTCGCTGCGATGGGACGGCGGGGAAATCACACTTGCCTCACAGTCAGAGCAGAACAAAACATGTTTCTCATCAGAAAAGAATGTTTGGGCCTTATTTTGCAACAATCTCCAGCATGTCCCTTAGGAAAAGGCAGTTCAGGCAGCAGCTGCTTCCTCTCACCCCAAGCATCCTCACAATGGCAGGTTTTCTGCCCTGCAGGTAAATTCAGCACAGCTGACCTCATGGGAGAGCCTGGGCAGTGCTGCAAACCCCGTGGGGCTCTGCAACAAAGCACAACCCCCAAAACAGTGACAAAAGCTGGTGTCCACACGAGTGCCAGCTGCAATTCACGCTCTAGCTTGTCCCAGATGTGATGAGTGGTACTGGGAAATACCCATTGAACAAGGAAGCATCCCTGAACAAGGAAGTGTCCCTTGAATCAGAAATGCCCCCCACTGCTGCAAACCAGGCACCCACTGCTTAGCCCTGGGGGGGCACGAGCACCCACTAGGAAGGAGAGCGCAGCCCTGCACCAAGCAGCTGCTGTTTGCAAGGTGTAAATCAAGGATCGTGTCCTTGTCAGGATGGGACACAGAGGTGATTCAGCTGACAGACTGCACACCAGGATGAGTTGCAACACTCTCTCTCTGCTTAAATTTGATATATTTTTCTGCTGGGACATCCGGCTATACAAACCAGCTTACGTGGAGCTCCACAGGCAGCTCTGTTAGCTCAGGTGCTGCACAAGTGCTGAAAGCAGCACTGGAATTGGTGCACAGGGCACGGGGGAGAAAGAAGGCAACTCCATGTAAACATGCCAAACTCATTAATTATTACCAGCTACCCCAGCCAGACCCCAAGAATGTTGTTACAGCACTTGCTGGGGCACAAAGATGTGCAATGCTTAGCATCACTTGGGACTGAGCACAAAACATCTCTGCATCTCACCCACGTCAGGACAGCAGAAAGGGAAGATACTTGGCACTCTGCATTTTCTCCCTGTGCAAGCAAGCAGGGAAACAGTAAGAGACAGCACGGTGCTTTCAGAAGCCATCTAGAGACAACACTGCTACGGTTTTCCCCCCAGTTCTCCCTATTTGTGGAAAGTACTGAGATAATCAGAGTCACGCACAGACAAGACTTCACTCATTTCCAGTCCATGTAAACATCCCCTGCCCTCCCATCAAAGCACATCCCGACATTCACAAGAAAGGGAACTGCACCTCAGCAGGCCTCCAAGATGCCAGCAGCAGCTTGCACATGTAACGGCACCAATACGAGGACTGTCAATATTTGCCCACTTTGGAGAAATCAAAGGAGGAATCGTGCTGAGCGGACACACATTGGCTATAAAACGTGCAACTGGGCTCACACTCAGCACCCTGGGATCATCCTGCTCCAGTGCTGCCCATCACGAGGCCATGAAGCTCCTGGTGCTCCTCATCTGCTGTGAGTACCCCTCGCACAGTGATGGGGCAAGGCTGGGCTGATGGCTCCTCTTTTTCAGTCCGTTTTTAGGGGGTTCTCTTTCCAACGCCACTAACAGTGTGTCTCCAGTTGCAGGGCTGGCCCCCGCGGGCTGCAACGTGGCTCAGTTTGCTTCCATGATTAAAGAGAAGACTGGGAAGTCTGCACTGTCCTACAACGGCTACGGCTGCCACTGCGGACTCGGGGGATCCAGGAGGCCGGTGGATGCAACCGACTGGTAAGTGAGGAGGCAGAGGGCTCCCAGAGCTCAAGGCAGGGTGTAGCCGGGGCAGGCAGAGCAGGGAAGAACACGGGGCTTTTCCTGAATCTTAGATCATTTGTCTTCTCTGCCTCTCCCTGCGTACGAGGCTTGGAGCTGAGGTAGCAATGCCAAAAGACAGTGTAACCTGAACGCGTGCCTTTAAAAGCTGCTCAGCAGCAGCAGCTCACACCATGCTCACCAGCTTACAAAAGGAGGACGATCCCTGAACAAACCTGGGCTAATTAAGGCAGCCATTTGGTGTCACACCAAGTTGCTGAGGCAGAAAAATGGGAATGTTCAGGTGAATGAGGCTGATCAGCAAGCACTGCGCTGCACCCAGCGCACACAGGTTGTGCACCACCACCGTTTCCCCTCTGCTCCCCACTCTGCCCTGATCAGATCTCACATGACACCAGGTGCTGCCATGCCCACGACTGCTGCTACAAGAAGCTGTCATCCTTGACCTGCGTTCCCCACCTTGTCCTTTACACAGTCTCCATCAAGGGAGGCCAGATCACATGCGGTAAGAGATGGCACAAGGCCCAACCACTCACACTTCCAGGGAATCCCTTCCTTGGTGTCCTTCAAACTAACCTGGCTGGGAAACCACTTGCTGGGGAGTGGGGTGGAAGTGAAGGAAAGGTGCCAGGAGTGGTGCTAACCTACCAGCTGGAGCCGTGGTAAAGTCTAGAGCTACAAAGGATGGGGGTTCCCCTTCTGTAGAGGCCAAATATTGATCCAGCAAAACTGGACACAGAACACTCGAGGTTTTCTAATCTGGATGGGGTCACCCTGATGTCCCAGCTGTCCCTTGTGCCAATCCGAAGCAAAAAACACCATCTCTGGGTGAAGGGACCAAAACCAAGCACTTCCTCATGACCAAAACAAATCTCTATATAAAGTAAACTGAACGCTCCCTCCAGGGTCATTATTGGTTTGTAGCCACACAGTTCCATGCCCCAGGGGGAGGATGCTGGCAACAGGACTCATCATCAGCCACCCTAGGGTTCATGGGGATGACCTGAAGATAACTCCAAGCTCTCTCCCTCCCCTTCTTTTCCTTCAGGATCTGGGAATTCATGCCAAAAAGGTACCTGTGAGTGTGACAAGGTGGCAGCAGAGTGTTTCAAGAGGAACCTCAAAACCTTCAACAAAAGCTACCAGAATTATTTAAACTTCAAGTGCAAGGGCTCACTTCCCTCTTGCTAGAGATGCCAGACTCAAAACCTGACGGAAGTGCTTTAAATTGAGATTCTCTTCATGCAGTGAGATGGAGCAAGGCACAACTCCAGACCTACTCCACCAAAAAGGCACTTGGAACTTCTCCGCCAAGCCTGCCAGACCCTCAATTGGTGCACAAGGAAGGCTTGCTCCTCAGAATTAAATAAATCAAAAAATCTTTGCAAATAAAAATAATTTTCCAAGACAACTTCTAATGTGTTGCTTCAAGACAGTGCCTGAGCGGGTGGGGAAGCTGTAGCAGAACTATTGGATCCAACACTACAAGGCAGCCAGACCACAGGTGCAAACCAGCCCTGTCCTGCTAATTACTGACTTACTAAAGCTGTGGGTACTGCCAGGGCTTTAGGGTTCCATTAGAGAGAGGACTTCAAGTTATACCCAAACCTCTCCTCAGTCAGAAATCTGAACCAAACATTTCTACCAGAAGGGAAAAATGAGACAGAACCTGGCTGGGAAAGAGCTAATCAAGTCAATGCTGCCCTCTAAGGTTTCTGAGTGCAAACACATTTCACTCCAGCCAACAGCAAAACATTTTTATATTGACATTTCTATGTTGGTTTGGAAGCTCCACAGAACATACAGATTATGTATAGTTTTGGGTTTCTTTAATGCTTCTTACTTTGAAATCATTTAATCTCTGCCCTGGTTGATAAGGTATCTCCTGCTGTCTGTTGTGTGTAAGTACACACGTGCTTTCTTCAAGCTGATGCTCAATACAAGTCCAAAACTTGACTGAAACTGAACAACTGCAAGCCATAAATCTGAGGCCAAGTCCTGTAGTGCTTCTACTTCAGTTCAAATTCCCAATCCTGTAGTGGAAAGCACCACGGGTTTGAGAGGAAATTAAGATTAAAACCCTACCCTAGAAAAAGCCTGATTTACAGGGACTGAACCAGGCATAGTTTCCAGTAAGCACTGCTGCTTGGAAGCCTTTTCCCTAAGCCTCTTGATCCATTGGTTATACTAATTTCATTTAGAGACTAATGACTATCAAGATCCTGGCTTGCACTAAAGCTCTGCAGTTCCCCTAAGGCTCCAGAGTATGGCAAAGGAGAAGAGACTGCAGATGTGCAAGTAACAGCACTCAGCACAAACCCCAAGTCTGCTCGTATCATATTTTACTACCTTGTTAGACCTCACCAGATTGAATGTATCAGCTCTGCAGCCACAGGAGTCCATTCCCAGATGAAAAAGAAAAGAGGAATCTTTGATAGTATTGGCTGATTTTTTTTTTTTTTTTAAAAAAAAAAAAAAAAAAAAAAGAATTTTGGGACTATTCCCTTATTTTTTAAACTTAAATAAAAAAAAAGCACATTCCTGAGTTGAGAATTGTTATCACTTTCCCTGACAGTAAGGTAAAATAAATCTCCTCCGTAGTAAAAAGTTGCCATAATAAATCTAAGCACATGAAGAGATCTCAAGGCAAATCTGACGCTGCTGTGTAATGAAAATTCTCACCTTCATCACCATCACCATCACGATAATGAAAAGCAGTCCCTACTTTTTTTTTTTGTTAGGTTTAAAACTCTTCTCTCACACACGTTGCTGTAGGATTACTGAACAACTGCCTGCCCTGCAAGTGAAGAAACAAAGTGCCTACGTGCTCAGCAACCTCCACACAAAACAATTTCACAGCAACAACAGATGCTTGGAAGTTTGCTTAAGAGGAAATTTATCTTCATCAGTATCCTTTGCTTTTCTCACCAGGACGCTCAGAACACGTTCAGTCATATATTTAGAGCTGCTATGGTCTTCACCAAGGTTATTTGGTTATCTGAGTCCACCTCTGTCCTGTTGCTATCTGCACAGTTACTCCTACTGGCCAAGACCTTCTGTCGGTGCCTTTCTTCCTGCCGCTTCTTCTTCTCCAGCCGCTGCTGTTCCTTCTTTTGTTTTTTAAATACCTGAGAAGGGGAGAACAAAAACAAAGCTGAAAGCAGACATTCTGTGCCCAGCCGAGGAAAAATAACACGGTGGAAAGGAGACAAGCAGATACCAAAGCAGCTGCCAGAAAATGTTTATTCCAGACTATTTATCTGAACTTTGTGTCACTGTGGGAAGAGCACCGTACATCACTACTAAGAGCTCGTCTTTGTTGCTGCTACAGCTGTGGCTTTTCTCACAATCCAGTAGCTGGAAGTACTTTTTAATTAAAAGGAGAAAATAATTGCTGGTTAAGCCATCCTAAGCACTCCCCTGATCTTTAAAGGATGTTTCAATCACCGCCAACCCACCATGCACGTACCTTTAAGTTTTTATTAGCTCGACTCTCTTCATCAGGTCTAGCCCGTGCTTTGGTATTTTCTGTTTCATGGTGATGCAAACTCTGACTTCCAAAGATTCTTGAACTGCTTCCGTTATCTTCACACACAGATGAGGCACACAGCTTCTGACCTTCGCTCTGGGGATCACTCTGCTCCTCAGCACCTACCAACAACACAGTTTTGTCTCAGACACTCTACACAGAAGCTGTCTCTGTCAGCCAATTCTTTCTTCCAGGCTTTCTGGAACAGTGATTTTTTTTGGAAGCTGGATCAAATATGGAAAAAGACAAAGTTCAGTCTGCTCGCTTCTGTCTGCTCTTGTAGGACATGTTTGTCACTTGCTGCAATGCAGAAGGGGGTCTCTTCACACTAACCCAGTGACATGCTCTTATTTTTCAGAAGCACCAGAACAAAGCTCTACTGACAAGTGCTCGTAACTTCACAGGGGAGACACTACATCACAAGCAACAAAAAAGAAAAGTCAGGGCCCTTAGTGCTCAAGAACTGGGTTACACCTGGGTACATCAGGCTGTCCAGAGAATAGATCTAGGACAGAACATGCCCAGGGATGTTGAAGTCTGAAAGCACAGTTATCTGGTGAGGAGGCCACAAGAACGGCTCCAGGGATTACTGATCTCACACAGAGCTTTTCAAGATTTTAGTGGGGAACAAATAGGATGCAGTATGCTCAGTGTCACAGTAGGAACTTAGTTTAGTGCTTTCAGCAGACCCTGGTCAGTCTCACAACTGGCATTGCTACCAAAGACTAAACAGGAGCACAAGATCTGCCCTCCAAACTTTTCTAAGTAAAGAAGAGGCAGCAGCACAGCTAACAGGAAGCTCCTGCTGCCAATGTCCCTGCTGAACTGCTCTTCACAGTGAACATTAAGGTCAGACAGCACTTTTCTGAGGCACTAAGTGACAAAGTCCACGTACTTACTGATTCTTTCCACTTCCTGCACTTGAAAGATGGCAAATATTGCAGATTCTACGTTGCAGTCTTCCACTTTCAGAACCTGGCTTACCAACTCAATGTCCTGTCCAAGAGAAAGATAACATCAGAGAGTTCAAACCAGTGACATACAGACATCCATTCAACAGCCACCTGCTGCTGCTTATGCTGCTCCCATTAGCTCATACTCAATTTCTTCAAGAAAGTGAGGGGAAAAAAATAATTAAAAAAAGTCCTGAAGATACCAGGTACACTGTTTCAGCATAAATATTTCACTCTTGATCCTTTCTGTTCTCTGCATCTTCAGTAACCACATGTCATCTAGTGACCATAGCTTAATTTTGTGGAGTATGGGATGTCCAAATTTAGCCAAATTTGGTTTTAAACCAAGGTGTTTTTTTTTTTTTGAGAGAGAGATTGTAAGACAAAGCTTTCAAAACTATTCACTACCCATACAAAGTATGTACCTGATTGATTCCAGGATGCTGTGCACCCTAATTGATGCCTGCAGTACTGAGACTGTCCAGGACAAACACTTTTTCTCAAGGATTACCTTCGTGTATCAAGGAGTTTTGAACATGGAGCATTAAAAGGCACCCAATACTTACTGAACACCCAGTTGCACTGCACACTTCTTGTACAGCAGCTTCCATTTCAATTTCAGTCTCATCTTCAGAGTCACCCTTCTGTTGCTTCATTTCCTCCTCCTTATTTGAGTCACTTTTGGAGAGCATCTACAAGAAAAGCAAAGCCCACAGGCATGCATTAGTTTCGTCATATACAATTTGACACTGACATAAATTGGGTCATAACATGTATTTCTCAGAAAAATCAGTGGAAGTTAACAGTTTCCACTGTCCCTAACACAGCTTCCCAAGATTCATAAATTCTCCACTGAGAAAACTCTTATATACTACAAGATCATGCAAGCCAGTTAACAATCATTGGCTTTTTAAGTATTGATTTTATTATAGTTCCACACATCATACAAATACACACAGGCAAACCCTGCCAACAGGGCAGCTCACTCCTTAACAGGAAAAAGCGAGATATGAAGATTATTGGATCTGGAGGCTGCACTTCCATCTGTTTCCTCCCTCCCATTTGTTTTTGTATTTGAGGCGAGGAGCCGAATTGAGATGGTGTGAACTCAAGACTTCTACAGCCCATATATCAGTGCATCACATTCAAGAGTGATTTCTAGGCCAACAATTTAAGCACTTCCCATACGGCCTCAAGAAAAGGAGCAGCACTAATTAAAATGATCTCAGGGATTCTTCTATCCCCAGGATGGAACAGGGACCACGATCTTCTCTCAATGCAAATGAGAAAGTAAATCAACTGGTAACGTTCAGCTGTTACTTATCAGCCACAGCTGATGAGGGCACTGTGACACAACCAACCTCCATCTGAAGATATGCTGGGGCTTCAGAATCATCGTTGATTCTCCTCACGCTGTCGTAGTGCTCCCCGTGCCGATATGCAATATGCAGTTCCCTCACATTGCTTTTGTCAGTGCCTTGAATCTAATTGAAACAAGCAGACTGCAAATGAGGATTTGAGCTTCACTTCAGAGTCACATTTTTCTTAGCATTACTTGTTGAAGTAATGATTAACAGTGTGCTAGGAAAAAAAGTACGTAGCTGCTGAAGCATCTTTAAACAGGAAGCTCTGACCTAATAATCCAGATGTACCTACAGTAACAACACAGCTTCTGTCTGAAGGGCGAGATACACATTGCTGGGTCAGTTACTTCCTCACAAACAAAACACAGCAGGAAAATATTTTAATGGTAAGCTTAAGAAGATTTTCTAAGCTTTCTACAGCAGCAGTTACAGCTTTCTGATGACCTTTTCCAAACCCGTTTTCAGTGATGGTGTCCATACAAGACACAGTGCCTTTTTTCCCCCCTCAAGTGCAAGGAAAAAGAGAGTCTGATCAAATTGGAACTGCAGTAGAAACAGGCACCCATGGCAAGTTTTGTTCTGCAGTTGTGACAAGACACTGCTTTAGTGATTTGCATCTGAAGTGGATGCTTTGCTTAGAAAAGAAATACCAATGAAGAAAACCAGGAGAACTGATTAACTCAAGAGCACCATTAACAATCAAACCTTCCTCTGCTCTGTCAGCACCAAGCACTGCAGCTTCTGTAAGAGAACTCCCACCATGAGAATTTAGCTCCATCTATGAGATAAAAGCTAACAGCATTTCAACTCCTGCAAGGAATGCAGGATATTACACCACGATTGCAAGTCTCCTTTGCCCACCTGCCAAGCCAGACTTTGAGGATACGACACCTCTGCTAGAGAAGATTCCAGTAAGTACATGACAAAACTGCCTGCTTTAGGGCTCCTGAGTTTCCCAATCCTTTTACGTCTTTTCCCAGCTTGCAGAATTTACACCAAGTCACCTTTCAACCAAGACTGCAGTCTGTGCTGCATTAACAACGGATTTCACAAGAGATACCATTTCCCATTCACCTTTTTCCACACTTGTTCACCTCTGACTTCCAACTCAACACTTGGTTACGTTTAGCTCCTGCCTTTTACCCTGTTAACTTGTTCGACATGCTGAATCTCAGATTTCTCAACATTTCTCATTTATCAGAGCCTAAATGGTTATCTTACAAATCCTGAAGCTCTTAAGACTCAAGATGAGCCAATTTCTTTGGCTGTCAGTATTGAAGCCTCACTGTGTGCTCCCTCCAAAATACAATGGAATTTTAAGCTAAAGGTAGATGCAGATTAAAAAAAAAAAAACAGAAATACACTAAAAAAAGGTAAAGAGTTACCCCCAAAGCCAGCAAAATAACCCACGTGTCTGTGCTAACTTGGAGCCTGACATTCTCAGTCACTATAAAGTAAAAGATAAAGGTCACTAAAGCCCTAAGAAGCCATCACAGGGATGCCCAACTCCACAGAGCTTCTGAGTAGGTCATAGTTTGAGAAACAGCTGCAGGGTCCAAACACTTCCCCTGTTCACATTTCTGCAGCTTAGCAGATAGCAAATAGTTTTCTTAAAATTAAAGGATAATGCACCATCTGCTTTTGACTTGAGACCAAAGGAGGTATTCACACCATCTGCTTTAAGCATCTTGCTGATCTGCTTCTCTGGAAATGCTCTCTTTGTAATTTAATCTTTCCAGTATGCTGCTGGGACTCCAAAGAAGAGATAGAAAGCAATATATATATATTAGGAAGTATGAGAAAATAAGAAATTATTATGGCTAACATTAAGAAGTTGTCCTGGTTTAGTTGAATCTAGCAACTAGGAAAGACTGTCACCACAATGTGATCCCTCCAGAAGCTCCTCACACAAAACCTGCTCTCTTCTATGAGTTTCAAGGGCTTACAGACACCTTTCATTAATAAGACACCAAGCAGGCACACAAAGCAGATCCTCACCACAAACATTTACAACCCAGGAAAGGTCAGCGAGTTGGGGGGGGGAAAAAAAAAAAAAAAAAAAAAAAAAAAGGAGTTCGAGATTTTCAAGAGGATGTAAAAAATATGGATAAGAGTTAAGTTTGCTGACGTTAGGATCCGGTTCAGAACAGTAAAACATGAACAGCACTTCCACGACCTCCCCTGCAGGGTCATTGCCTCCATGCAGTCTTGCAGGTCAAGCAGATCAGTGTTCCTACTCATCCGTGTCACTGGCAGGTACAGTTGGTAAGATATTTATAGACATTCACATACATTAGAGATCTGACTGCTAATGGCTGCCATGTAAATGAGAGTTTAAATTTGTTTGGGTTCGGGAATCCATCTGAAACTAGTTTGAATATACTTAAAGCAGAGCAGAAGGGAGCTGATGGATGACTTGTTCCAGTCTCCCCCTGTAAGACGGAATCACAGGGCACAGTCCTTTCCAGGAGCTGATTAAATGACACCTTAGGGTTTTAAAGCTGCTTCTCTCACGCTGTTCTGGCTCCATATATTTATTTTCAACCATTTATTGCTGTCTTTAGTTCCCTATCCTCCTAACTGAAGCCTTGAGAGTTTTTCTTCAAGGCTGAAAAAGCGAGGACAGCTCTCCACCATGCCAAGCTAAGCATGGCTGCTGAGCAGTATTTCTGTTCTCTTTGAATGGATCAGAAAGTTTCAATAGTTTGTATCCATCAACCAGAAGCCAAGCCAAAGTACAAGCTTTCTTTCTCACCTGCCACAGCGGTGCGTTCAGCTGATGAATAACCACGTTCATCTGATTGTTCCTTGCAAAGGCCACAATAGCATCATTGCCAGCAAAGGTACCAGGCTTTGCCAAATTGGTAACTGAAGGAAAAAAATTCAAGAGATTTATGAGAGTTAGAGACCTGGTTTCTGACAGTTCCAAAAGCACTGCAGGGATAGCAAGTAATAAAATTTCAACAAGGAGCCCAAGAAATAAATACTGGAAAGGAAATCCCACTGTTAAATGGCAACTGCAGGGGCAAGAATCCAGCAGTGTCAGAAGTTTATGAGTATTAAATGACCACAGAGACTCCACAAAATGCAGCACACCTTACATTATGCAAGACCATCAGTTCTGCATTAGCTCTCTGGAAAGGTGCCATGCACTAAATGACCACGCTGCTTTCATGCATCACCTTCATGTCACCTGGCACAAGCACAAGGTTGTGAGAACAAAGGCTGCATTGGTCTCTGCTTTGGATCTTCCTCTGTATAAAATATCACATGTCAAGGAGAAAGAAATCGAAGGAAGTCAGCACTCAACGGCCACCAGTATTCTGGATGCTTCATTTTCTCAAGTGAAACCTCATGTGCTTTATTTTCTCCTTGTGAAAACACTAACTTTTCACTCTTTGCTTTTTTTCTTCCTTTCTCCAGGTTCCTCCTAAATTCAAATAAGTTCCAGGACAACTCTACTGGCTCATCTTTCTACAGAAACATAATAAATGTAAACTCAATGCTGTTACTAAAGATTAGGGGCTGAACATAACATACTGCTGGGATGAGGAATAGCTTAACAGGAAGCACTCAAATGAGATGTAATCATATCCAGAATAACCTCATCTATGAGCATCCTATGGAATCCATACCATGTTTCTCAAAGGGAACATCATCCTCCACGAAGGGTTCAAAGTCCTCTCGCTGCTTTATCATGTACTCCACCGTCTCCTGGCGATGCCTAAGGTGGTTCCGGGAGTGTCCCTCCAGCTGGTCACCCAGGGCACGAAACAAACAGTTGCTAACGAACAAGAAACCACCTGTGAGTGTGCTGGCAGCACTGCTGACAGAATGCACTATTAAACCAATGCAGAAGAAATACAGGCTGGACAGCGGGAACTGAGGTTAGAAGAACGCGGGGCAAGAATTAAGTGAACACATCATCAGCTCCTACAGAGCAAGTCAAAAGCTGTCCTGAACTGCCGCGGAGACAAAGAGCAAAGGCCAACCCAAGGATTCACGGACCAGCTTCTCAAAAGGCACGTGTCCAACCAACCCCGTCCTCTCACGCCCGCACCGCCGGGAAGCCCTCCGGCCAGCATAGCCCTGAGCCCGTCCGTGCCAGCGGGGGGCAGAAGGGCACAGACCGACGTTATCCGAGGATACGGGGGGAACGCCCGGATCCCTGCGGGGCGCAGACCCTTCTCAACCGGGAGAGGCAGCCCCTCAGCCCTCACTCCTCCGGCACTCACCCATCCCCCGGCACCTCCCGCAGCTTGAGGCCGAGGGCTCGGAGCTGCCTGGCGAGGCCCCCGCCGCCCTCTGAGGGCTTCAGAGCCGTGCCCCCAGTGGGATGCCGAGACCGCCGGGCCTTCTTGGGGCCGCCGGGCCGGGCCCGGGCCGCTTGCTTGCGGGACATCCCCGCCGGCGGCTCCACGCATGCGCAGCGGGACGGCACCATCGAGAGAGGCTTTGGGATGGGTAGAGCGCCGCCACTCTGCTCCCCCGCCCTCCTCTCCCCGGGAAGAGCGGCCGCCAGGGGGCACCGCGGGAGCGGGGCTGAGCCGTCCGAACCCGGGCTTCTGTTCCATCCGAGCCGGGGCACAAACGCACAATCAGGGTAAGCGCATGGGCGCTTTACAAAGGTATCACGACACGGTGTTCCAGGTGCCAGCAGGACTGCTGCAGTCCTGCTAGATTTCTCCAGTCTCCCTCCCATCACAGTAAGCTCTGCTAAGAGTCTGTTCCCTTTCTCTTACAGCCCCTCTAGGTGCTAGCCAAGGACAAAACCGAGTCAAAATTCGGACGGCTCCTTTGAACGCCAGCTGAGCATTTCATCAGTGCAGGAGAGCCACGAGAAGGCATTCTTAATTCAATCTGACCAATAAAAACCAGGCAGAGCCCGCGGTCTTCAACTGAAAGGTCGTCGTGCCCCTAAAACCTGGGGTCACCCAAAAGTCCGTCAAACTCTGCTGTATCTTCTGTCAGCAGAAACACAGCACAACGCCCTGACGCTTCTCTGAAGATTGCTTACAACAACTCTTTTGCCATTCCAGGCACAGAACAAGCTCTTCTCACCCCAGCCACGCTCCAGCAGTTCATCAGATTAGAGTCCTCCTGGATTCCTTCCCCTTTAATTGCGGTTGTTTCAGTTCTTTCTGCTGCTCCCCCCCTGTGGAGGGGCTGCTATGCAGTAGCACGGATAGCATTCGGGTGCATCTGAGGCTACAGGCTTGGTACTGTGTGTCTCCAAGCCCTCTGGGATCAGTGACCCTTCCTTTTCTACCTTCCTTCCTTCCATGGGATTCTTACTGAGAAAACCGTCTGTATTTTACCCTTCAAATAAAAGAGATTTTGTTCAGGCACTCATTTTTCAGAAGAGCTGAGAGCCACCTACCTGGGCATTACTGAGAGCACGAGGTTGTCCTGTGAATGCCAACAAGAGTCCTACCAAGACCATTTCCAGATCTCTTTTGTGGGCTCTGAAAACCTCATGGATCTCAAGTGATACTTCAGTTAGCACCTAAAACCAACAGAGGTGCTCCTATAAGAAAGAGCTGATAACAATCAGACACTGAACACTCAACAACTGAGCAGTGCTAAAGCAAGACAGGCTTCCTTATTGTCAGCCCTGCATGGAAGGCATTTGCGGTACCTGTAGGTAATGTTCATCGTTGTGGTTCTAACGCCAAAACAGAAGGAGAACAGAACAACTTAGCAAGGTGGTGCAGAAAGCCAGTGCAAGAAAGGAGCAGGACAGTTTTCCTGCCTTTCTGTCCCTCACTCTCTAATCAAAGCACTGCACTCAGTACACCAATTAGACAATTCAATTCTTTGACTGTCACTGTCCAATCAGGCTGTGCTTAGAACCCAAAGAAATCACCCTTAACAAATCGAGTGCTAATTGATTAATAATAGTAGTGCCATTCTCTCAGTCTGGCTGTCCCTGTGGAAAAAGCTGCAGTCTCATTACACCATGGGATCTCCTTCTGGATGGGAATTGCTCAGTGATAGCAGCCACTATAAAATGTCTTGGCCATGAAGTTAATTATTAACTGGCCAGCTCATAAAAACATCACACTGTGAGAGCACAACACACTTAAAAACAGCTGTCACTAGATGATGCATGCAACAGGAACACATAAAAGGAGACAGAAACTTGGGAAGTCCTTCGGCTAAGGGAAGACAAACTGCACTGAGGTTTATCTCCATGGAGAAATCCATGGACAAGCTAAGCAGTGAGAACAAGCGGACAGCTTCTGGAGCACCTCAGGCTGAGAAGGTTAGTCCTGCTCCCACCGCAGGGGCTGCAGGAATGAGTGGAGCAGGACCCCATGCAGAAAATGCTGCTGATGTGGAGAGACTGGCATTCACTGAGGGACATTCCAAAGAAACGGAGAGCTCTCCAGGCACAGAGCTAGACAGTCCTGATGCCTTGAAAACAGCGTTTTCAGGAGACGGTCTGAACTCAGCATCTCTTGCTATGGTAACAAACCCGAGCTCTCCTGAGGTATGCAGTTCTGAAAGGGACGACCAGCCTTCACCCACATCATCTGTCGCAGACATGGACTGCCTGGTCTGCTTCAACAAGTACAGCATTTATCGGGTCCCAAAGCTCCTGGGCTGCCAGCATGCTTTCTGTGCAGTCTGCCTGAAGCTCATCCTCAGGAAAGAGGAGAATACCTGGATAATCACCTGCCCCCTGTGCAGAAAAAACACGTTTGTGTCAGGAGGACTTATCCGCACGCTCCCAAACAGAGAAGAGATCATGGACCTCTTGGAGCACCCCGACTCATGTCATGAGGTACACGTCTCCGGCATCGGGCTGGATAGCAGCAGCTGGGCTCAGAGCAGCCAGGACATTGTAAACAGAGACCAAACGATCCCAGCAGACAACAGACTGGCTGTGCAGAGACTTGTGCTGCTCCTGCTGCTTTTGGTGATTCTCACCATCCTCATCCTCCCGTTCATATACTCCGGGATGATAAAATGGGTCATTTGTATCATGCTGACTTTGGGGTTGGTCATGTCTATGGTGCTTTGCTGCACTCCTAAATTTTACTGGCACTGCAATGGAAGCTCACTCAGGTCGTGCCACAAGGAGACCCACATTGCTGCTATTGCCTGAAACAATTTGAGATACCTGGAGATAATGCCTCGTTCCCCTTGCACAGCTCAGTGTCAGCAGCACGAGTCAGTTACTGGACTTTGAAAGCAAACACATCATAAATTCAAAGCGTCTGACATAGCCCTAAGGCTGAATGGCTATGCAGAGTGCTGCTTTAATATTACTGAAAACATAGAAAAACATTTGTATTCTGATATTTGTAAGAGAAAATTGTAAACCTTCCTCACAGCTTTTATCCCAGATGAATAATTGTTTTGTTTTGCTTTGGTCATTTTGTTCTTGTTGGTGTCATCTCTGGATTACTGCTGCAGAACATTATCTGAAACATCTGACACTGAAAATTTGTCCCCGTTGCTGTGTTTCCTGCTCTCTTAACATACCCACACCTTTTCTTGTGATAATGTGGGGAATTAGCCTGATAATCTGGGACTGGACAACCAGCCTCAACGGAAGAGGGTGATTTTAACCCAGTTTATCACCTTAATCTGTATCATGGACCAAAAGGTTGTTGGCAGCGGTGGGAAGGTAGGGCTGGGAGAAGGCAGCCACCTTAAGTTGCCACCTTAAGTTGCACGCAAAACTAGAGAGGAAGAGGCAAAATCAACACTTCTAATCTTGAGTTCACAACTTACAAAGGGCAAGGCTCTGAAAAGCTCACGACATTCCAAGCTCTCTGTGTTATTTAGCACAGAAATGGTTCCTCTCAGCTGCACTCCTCTGTCTGGCTTCCTGTACCACCTCTCCTCTTGCTGTCTTTACATTAAGTGTGACATTGCCCTTGGAGATGCCCACAACTCTCCCTGTAGAGATCAAAATAAATCTACCAATGGTTATCCTATGCCAAATCTGATCTATTTTTTTTAATATATGGAATATATCCATTAAAGTTTAATAATGCCAATTGCTCATTGACTTCTGCGTTTCAATTCTGCATGCCAATTAACATCAAAACATTTCCCAGCTCCCTCACTGACAGGATCTACAGCTGAGAAAGCATTCTGTGAGTAAAGCGGAAAAGTAATGCGTTGGGCTTTTTGCTTTGATTAAGAAAAACAAACCTGTCAAGGCCTCTCCACAGCAGTGGATGACTGCTACTATAAATGTTTGTAACAAATACTAATTGAGCCTCAATGTGATGTGCATGAATACAAAAGAATAAGCTAGAAGGGTTGAAGGAAAAGCGTGCACCAATTGTGCAGAACACTGATCTCATTCAAATGACGAGACAGCAAGGATGGAACACACTCTCCTGAAGATACAATGACAAAGATGACATGAACTACAGCCATCACACGGCCCAATTAAAAACTGAAGGGCAGTCTGGCCCAGGAGAAGACACTTGGGAAGAGACGAAGTGAGACTGGCACCAAACAACACCCACTCTGGAAGGGTGTACAGCTCACACCCAGCACCAGTTCGTTATCTCCAGTCAAGAGATACTGCTCCTGAAGTGATGCTCACAGCGCACACGCACACAAAAGTGTTAGAAAGGAATGTTTTACCTCAAAACGGTCATCCTGCAGCTCTATACCAGCACATTACAAACTTGTGCTCAGCAGTTCAACTGGAACAACGCTTCAGCCTTTACAGCTTCTAACAGTCATCCAATTCAGAGTTCATGGATGTTGGCAGAAGTCATTACATCCTATGAGCTGAATTCTTTTACAGCAGCTATTAATTCCCAAGGCCTGACAAGATAAGGCTCAATGACAATGCAATCCTTTGAAGGGGCATGTAAGTTGATGGTGGAAAGCTGCAAAAAAATGTGTTTGTATTCAAAAACATAAAAGGATTTGTTTGTATGCAGTTCTCCTTCATACCAATCTGAATGGCAATCGAGTTGCAGTTCCAAATTACCCTGCCTTGCTTACAGTAGCTAGGTGGGTCCTGATTTCACATAGTGATTAAATGACATAGCACGGAAATAGTGCAATGGGCCAAGGTGGTGGCTGACATCCTGCACAAATACCCCAGAACTGTGTTTTGTAAGGACGGAACGCCATGGAGACATTAAGAGCATGATGAGACCCAACAAAGTATCGTGGATTGTATAGACAGAACCCTGGCCCAGGTGTTCTAAATTGCTTTTAACTGCAGGAGAACTTTCAATCCTCGAACACAAGAAACAAATCTGCAGATTTGGGTCTGAGAACACAGATTTGTGTCCAGATGGCTTTCTGCTTGTTGTGAACCATGTGCAGATGTCCACTGTGGTTACCTGGGTCGGTTTTTGCACCCCAGCTGGGATCATGGGGAACCTTCTGAGCCCCTCGTCACATTGAAGTTCATGATGATGCCCAAAAACCAAAAGGGTGATATGGATAAGGAGCACTTGTGAGAGCAAACCTGAAGGTGTAATGTTAGTAGCAAGCAAGCAGGACATTTGGACAAATCAAATTTGGCTTTTCAGCAGAACATATTTCAGATATTTTATTTTAGAAGACTCAAGTAGTGGATTTTGATGTATACATCAGTTACTGAGCAGCCCAAACTAGGTTCACTTTCACAAAACGTGATCATCCAGCAAAGCTGCTTCCTTCCTCCTGAAAAGGCAAATTTTGCCATGGATCACCAAGCACTGTGCTTGCTCCGTGCCACCACTGGAACAAAAACACTGACCAAAACCCATGAAACCAATGCAGTGCAATTCAGGGAGCTGAATTAACTCCGCAGCCTTAGCACAGCCCTAGGATTTCGACAAGGCCAATTAAGCAGAGCTGAGCAGAGCCAAGCTGATTGCACCCATAACTCTGGGTTATGGATGCTGGTGTTTGCTGATCGCTCTGCAGTTTGTTTAGGTAACAGAGCTGTGTCTCTGGGCTGAGGAGATAAGGAAGTTCTGCTGAGTGTATCAGGGAAATAGGAGGTCCTGCTTGGATTTAATTACTGCATTTGTAACATACACCTGGGAAACTCCTGCATACGCAACACGAGTAATGTAGATAAGCTGAAGACCCGTTGTGCAGGCTATGCATTATAGGAGGACGACCCCTATGCATCCAGCGCTGCTTTAAAGAATGCCTGCTTTCTAACACTCCAACTCGAGTCTTAGAGACTTTCCCGATCGACTGATTTAAAGAATGAAGTAGCAGCTGGCCTTGCTGCTTCCTCCCCATCTCCAGGGGGCCGGCCAACAGCGCAGGTGAGCCATCGCCTCAGCCCGGTGCCCGCCATCACCTCACGCGAGACGCCACCTCAGCGCAGCGTGCTTCCTTCCCGCCCTTCGTAAGCTGCGCTCCCTGCTACGCTATCGGCGTAAGGAGAGCAGAGGGTCGCCCGGCGCTATCCGTACGGAACCTGCGTAAGGGCGACGGGCACAGACGGGACGGGCGGAAGGGGCGGGGGGCAGCGGCGGAAGGGAACGCAGCGCTCCGGGCCGGCAGCAGGTCGGACCCGGGCGGCGAGAGGGGCTGGGACTGGGCTGAAGGGTGGGGAGGGCGGACACCTCGCTTCAGGCTGTTCCCTGAGGACACTGTGGCGGTGTCCGCGGGCTGCGCTTCTCCTCACGGATGGCTGCTGTCCCCTCAGCGCGTTTTCCCGCTCAGCGTTTCTCTTTGCCTCTCCGCAGCTCTGGGTCCTTTTAGGATTCCTCCTTTCCCAATAGAATTGCAAGAAACCGCATCTCAAGAAAGCAAAAAGTGTGAGAAACAAGTGCTGCAAATGATATTTTTAAAAAAAAATCGCTTTCAAGTGGCATTTCAGATGATGGCAGTGCTATAGGTTTCTGAATCACGTTGTAGTCCTGAGTTCAGTGCCACCAGCTGTACAACCTCAGCACATTTTCCCTTTATTTCCCATTTTCCTTAGATATTTATGAAGAAATCGATATCTGTGTACCATTCACAGCTCTCCTCGACTGAAGAGGTGACAGAAAAGGGCCAAGCGAAGCTGCCTTTCTAAACACTCAGCATCACAAATCACTGTTTATTTCCAATGCTGCTTCCCATAATAACTTAATACATCTGTGTTCAGAGGTGAGTGGACATGCCAGGTTATTTTGCGTGAAGTTATTGTGACTGTGTTCCATAATTTCCAGGCAGTCATGTTGAGTCAGGCTCTGGATGCTTTAGGAAGATCAGAGCTCAGGGAGTGGTGTGAAATGGATTTTGGTCACCCATGTGAGGGCTTTGGAGCTGCTGAGGTAATAAAAAGTCTTGGGATTTTGGCAGGGGGTGAAATCCTGGGAAGCGTGGAGACATCTCACTGTGCCTTCAGAGCCGAAGCCCCAGGCATAGTGCTGTGTGCTGAGGGGAGGTACAGTGCCACCTGGACCAGCACTGATCCCTGGTGGAGCGTCACCTGGCCCTCCCTTCCTCTGACTGGAACAGAAAGAACACTGTTTATTTATTCCTGAGGACTTTGTGCTCCCGTGTTGCTGGAATGTGATGTTTCCATGGAAACGTGCTGAGGTTCCTTAGACCTGTGTGCTCAGACCATAGGCAGCATCAGGAGATGCTTGCTGCGGGGAGGCTGGGCTCTCCTGGGGACAGGCATTACAGCAGTCCCCAGCCTTTTAGTGATGAATGTGTGTTGGTTTATACACCAGCAGTTACATAGTACAAGCCTTGAGGAATATGAATACCTTCAAATACATTTCTGAGTGAGACAGCAAGACAGACAGCTTACCTGGAACATCATGACAGATAGCATGGAGATAATACAGTCTCTACAAAGAGCTGCTCCTCTGCTGCACTTCTTTCTTCTGGAATTCTAAGCTACCCCGTAAGTGGTATCTGAATCTTCTGAGATTGAGTGCTTGGTTAATGCTGTTACAGCAGGTTGTCTCCAGTTCCTATCAGCAGGGTTCAGAGGAAAGTATCCAAATAGCAAGCACAAAATGGTTTGCCATTTGTGATGTGCCCTTTGGAAATGGATTGCGTCTTGATGTAGTCGGTAGAACTTTCAGGTGATGTAAGTGAGCTTTGAAGCAGACTTACTGACGTTCAGTTGTGAAATGTGCTGCTGTCACCTCTGCCTGATTTCTGTCCTCTCTGCTAGCTGCTTGGATTAGCAGCCAAAACTCCCTATGTACTCAGTGAGGCTCCCAGGAGCCCTTTGGAGCAGTTCATTTGGAAGCGTGTGATCACGAGCTGCTTACATTTTGGTGTTCTGAAAATAATATTTGGCCCAGCCTAAGTTCCACGTAGCATGGGAACGTTATGTTTAGGGAAATGTAGTGGTAGGTTGTATAGGTAAGATTAGACTATAAACAAAGCATAGCAATGGCTTGGGAAATAAGTGGTTTCATTAACAGTCCTAATCAGAGGCTGCAGCTGGACTCAACTTTCTTAACACTGTCAGCAAAATGAACAGAGGAGCAATTTGGGTTGGGGATGAAAGAAGCAAATTATTTCCCAGGCTGGTCCCTGTGCCAGGTGCAGAGCTTTTATTTTTCCATCTCTTTTTCCACTAAATACGTGAATAATATGCCTGAATGGAGCCCAGTCTCTTTGCATCTTGAAGTAGACTTCTCCTTTTGAGAAGCATTGTTGATTTGGTGCAAAAGAACTAAGAACTGGTGAACAGAAAGCCTCCTATTGTCTGTGGTCATGGCATCGTGTTGCAATGAGATACACAAGTTGGGCTTTGACAGACCTGCATTGCTGCAGACCAGCAAGTGTGGCAGTGAAAAAGCAAAGGCAATTTGTTTCCTCGATTTCTGGTTTCCAGTTGTTATGTTATTTTTTTTCCCTTCTGCTTTTTCTTCTTTGAACTTGCAGGTAAAAATGGCTACAGAAGAGAAGTGGAAAAGTTCGGCTTCGAAGCAGAATAGTGGAGCTGAACAAGCAGAAGACAAGGAATCGTGTGTGCTGCTGAGCCAGCAGCTGGGTGAACCAGGAAAATTCACTTATGCAGCACTCTGTGGGATATCCCTGGCATGGCTGTTCCCTGAAAAAGAACAAAGGTACTAAATGTGGGCACAGGGAATGAGCACAGGAGGTGGCTTTTGGAGCAACTCACACCGAAGTGGTGTCAGTCAGTGTTGCAAATGGGATGGATTGGGTTTAAAAAATAAAGAAAGACTGAAGCATATCCCAGGGAAGCAAGGACCGCTCAAGGCTTGCAAAAATACTCTGTTACAGGGCCTCACCTGCCTCTGTTGCCTTACAGCTCCTTCAGGACAGAGTTCATTGAGGGCTTGGTGAAATGGCTGGACCTGCCTGATGCTGTCTTGCCTGCCATGACAGCGTTTGCTAGTGGCTTAGGAGATGAGGGCACAGAAACTTTTGCCCAGCTTTTGCTGAAGGATCCCACTGTGAAAGATAATCCTGTTGTCATTACCCAGGTAAGTTCCTATGTTCCCCTTGCCTCTGTTTGGTTTTACAAAAAAAGATCTGTTACACTTACCTGTTTGTCCAGTTCTGTTTGTGCAGTTAGGGAAGTAAATCAGAATCCTGATATGCATTTTCTTCTGTGCAGCTCTGTGGGTGCTCAGCAGTCTATCCATTCACAGCACGTGGAAGTGATGAGCATGAGATGCAGTTACTGCTGAATTAACATTTTCTGTCTTTGATGCCTTTGCCTTAGAGAGAACTGTCAAAGCTTTGACTGTATTGCTGCAATCTTTTTTACACACATGGGCATTCTGCAGATTTTGGTGAAACGCTGAACATGAGAGGCCCTATTTTTCATTCCCTCTTACTGTGAGCAAGGGGGATTTTGGAGGAGCAGGAAAATGTGTATATATGAGGAGGTGTGTAGAGGGCCAGTAGTTTTACAGGGTTTAATGTTCCTTCTCTAATACAAAACATTTCTACATATGTGAACATGAACAAGGCTGCATAAGTAAAGAGATGATGGAACTGTTCCTTCTTGGTTGTGATGAATTCCCTTTATTTTTCTCTTCTTTTGTGTCTCCTAGCTGGTCCGTAAAAGGCATCAGAAGATTTGCTCCAAACATCAGTATGTTATAATGCTCAAAATATTATAGCAACCTCACTGCAGTGACAGAGATTAATGAGCTTAATCAGCTTAATTAGTAAGTTGGGGCGGATCTGAAATAAGAGCAGCTGTTTTGATTTATTATTTTTTTTTTAATTATTGTGTTTGCTCAGAAGCAGTAAGTGTACGTTCAGTTCTTTCAGTGTTGAGATGACCCAGCATTTCCCAGGCTTGTTTCCCTAGCTCTGTCTACTCCAGGATGAATTCTCTAGAGTTAGGCTGCTGCATTTAATAAGAGTGAAATTTTGGCAAAACGTAACTTGTGCTTGCTCCAAGTTTATGTTGTGTTAGGTCTCCGTGTGCTTTTACAGAACAGGCTCTGGATCCTCAGAGATCACAGCCTCTGGGATTGTGCAATATTTTCTTAGGAGAACGAGGTACTTGCCATGGCTCCTCGTGGAGCACGGAAGCCTTTGATAACGGTTCTTTGATCAAATGAAAGCAAAGATCAGCAATAGCTATCAGCCTAATGCCTCAACAGTTGGACCTATGCAGTCCTGTGAGGTGATTGGTGTTGTCAAATGAAGCATATAATTAAAGGTTGCTGCAGGGCAAAGCATGAGAGGCTTGCAGGATGTTGGTGGGAAAGCATTCCAGCATACGGGAAGCTTCAAGGTACCAGGCTGAGATAAGCTGAGATAAACTTTTTCCTTATTACCTGAAAATAAGCCACAGGATCAAACTTTGTCAGTTCTCCATCTGTTGCTTTATGGCACTACTGTTTGTTTAACAGTAAATGTTTATTCCAGGAACACGCTTCACTGCTCACTGTGTTCAGTGGCAGGGTCCTGGTGCCTTTAATGCTCGTATTTTTCAATGCCCTCTACCAAGGGATGATGCACAGATCAGGAGGTGAGCTCACCACTGATTCAGTGAAAATTTGAGGATCGTGGATTTATGCCTTCATTTGAATTTACTGCAGGTGATGAATACATGCAAACGCTGTCTTTTTGACAGCAGTCATAACAAATAGCTGTGTGTGTGGTATGAGAAAGCAGTGATTCTTGTCCGGATAGGAATCAATTTATTATTTGCATTTAGTGACAGCGAAAGGAGGGGAAGAAGTTGACTTTGCTCACTTTTGTTTCCTGATAGTGGATGAGAAAACAGAATTCTTAATGAATCTTTTTTCTTCTTGCTTTGAGCAGACTTAGAATGCCCATTTTCCTGTGTATTCCTTATTGTTATTTCCCTCCCACACGAAGTGGCATTGCAATGTGAAACCATCTGTGAGGAAATAGATTTTGGACTCGTAGCAATTAATAAAATACTGGCAAAGACTTGTAATAAAGATTGCTTTCCTTTCTTTTGTGAGGTTTCACTCAATTGTGCATGGTGGTCCTCAGCACAATTAAAATTAAAAACCCCTCCACTTCAAAATGACCAAACCTCAATAGCTGCTGCATAGAGAGAGGAAACAAACAAGTTGTGAACTAATCTAATCAATGCTGATTGGACTCCAGGTGACTGCATGGTAGTACGTGCAAAGCCTGAAGCACTGAGAAATACTTGAGTATGCTAATGGTCACAAATGCAATCAGTTGTTCCAGTTTGTCACCTGATTACCCAAATCCATCTCTCACCTTTTGAACTACACGTGTCTAAATGCTTAGGCCAGATTTTTGAAAGAAGTTATTTGATGTTGGGTGCTGCTGAGCCTACTGGATAAATCGTGTAGGAGCTGAGCCATGACCTATGGCTCCTTCACAAGACCCAGTGAGCATTTATTGCCTCTGAACTGGCTCTGTGCAGCACGGCAGCCCTGCTCAGGAAGCTGCCTGCATTAGCAAATGACAGCAGCAAGGTCAAAAGCTTCACCTAACTCTGGACTTCAGGTTCCACTCTTGATCAGCTTTCTGCTTAGGCCTCACAGCCTTGGGCTTTCTGCTGGGCTTTGTCACCTCTGTGCCAGCCCCTCCTGGCGGCCCTGAAGCCTGATGGGCTGCACTGCACCAGTTGCAGTGCCTGGGGACTGCAAAACCCAAGTTCCATTCCTCTCTCTGCCTGGGGGATTTACGGTTCCATTTCGCACCCCTTGCCAACCTGCCTGGGGAACTGTCTGCATTCTGCACAGAATGCTAACTGTGCCTGGAGCTAAAAAGAAGCCTCCTTTTTTTTTTTTTTCCCCCCTTTATTGTGGTGGCTTTCAGAACACGAGAGTTCTGATTCACAATGACAACAGTTACACTAGAGATAGCAAACCAGCCCTCTCCTTTTCCCCTGGCCACTGGGATGCAGGAGGAATGCTGTCTGTGTTGTGCACAGCCCAGATCAGCAGAATCTTGAGGAAACATTTATCCTGTTGGATCTTGCAGGGCAGGCAGGCAAAGGATGGGCAGAGCCACATAAATGTTTAGCAGCAGAGCACCTGAGTTGTTGTGCACCTGAGCAGTGTATCTGTAGAAAGCTCATATGTAAATGTTAGGCAGCAGCAGAGCAAAGGTTTTGGAGTCCTGCCTTGTAAAAAAGCACAGATTCTGCCACATACATTCAGCTGCACTGACCCTGTGGTTTCCCTCGTGCTATGGAAAAGCTTTTCTCCTGTATGAGATAGTTGACTCTCCTTAGGTTAAAGTGCTATTCAGAGCACAGGTACTGATATTTGACTCAGTGTCTACAGTCTGCCCCTCTTCAAGGACTGGGTTAAAGGTGCCTCGTTCTCTGTGCTTCTTGTGTAGCAGATTAGAGACATTTTTGCAATCCAAATGTTGCTTATGGATCTAATAAACATAAACTCTTTGGCAGCATCCTGTGTCTTTGAATGTATTTTTCATGTTCTCAAGGGGTCAGAGGATTCCCTATAAAATTCAGCTGTGCTTTAGGCTTGGAGGAGAGCAGCTAGCTAGACTGAGCTAGTGCTTACTCTTTTAGTTACGTAAAGAGCTTAGAATTTATTGTTATTGTTATTCAGTGACAATAAAAGAAGAGAACCTGTGTGACCTGGTGCAGGGAACCTGCTTTGGCAGGGGGGTTGGACTCGATGATCTCTGGAGGTCCATTCCAACCCCCACAATTCTGTGATTCTGTGAACACAGCAGTAAAACATCAGAATTTCTCATCTGAGGAGTACTGACCTCTTTCATGGATTTGTCCATGGAAGCCTTATATTGAATTGATCTGTTTTTCCTATTTATTTTTCTGATGGAAAGCCAACGTAGCCCCTCGATCTTTACAGACAGCTAAAAATCTTGTGATTCCTATTTTTGAGTACTTAATCCATAAGAACTTCATGCTAGTTCAGCCCTACTCCCTAGAGCTATGAATTCCCAGAATAGGGGAATTCCAGGAAATAGGGGCCACTGGTCCATCTAAGTGACATTCAAACCTATTAGAGCTGAAAGTTCGAGTTGGTGTGACTAGAAGAGCAGAAGGCATCAGTGCAGCTGGGAGCTTACAGCCTGATTTCTCCAGACTTTGAAGTCCTGTGTACTCACAGGGTGTTCAATTGCAACAGGATTGCTAATAACAACAACCCAACAATCAGCTGCTTCAGCACATACCAAGCAGGCACTACTCTCCCATCCTGTGCTTATCTGCTTCTGTCCAGCCATTTGTACCTGCAAATCCATAATTGTGCACTGGAAGCATCTGGCTTTGCTTTGTTGATTTGTAGCTTCCTGCCTTCCCACAGGCAGAATAGACGCTCTGCAGCCATGAAACGGTGGTGTGATGGGATTTCATACTTCCATTTTAAGACCTCTAGGTGTTAACTTCAATATTCTTTTTTTTTCCTTCTTTTTAGGATCTTTTGTCCTTCTCTCTCAGAGATGGTAAGTTTACGTTAGAGTTTGTGCTTTGTAAGGCTAACATCAGCGAGTTTGTATCTGATACTTCAAAATGCTCAAAGAGCTCAGGGTGCCAATCAATTTTATCCTGCATTCCTTTATAACAAAAGCAGCATGCTCTTCCCCTGTGGCCACTACAGGGAACACAACTGATACTACTTGTTAAAAACTCAGCAACTGGTCACCTCTGTAGCTTCACATGTACTGGCATGCAATTGTGTGTAATGATTGAAAAGCTCTGAAGTTGAATACCTAGACTGGAATGGTTTTCTCCTCCAGTGTTTCCAGGGGTGCAGGTGACCTCTCCTTCCTTTTGGAAAGCCACAGAGCTGTTATGAAAATTTCAACCCTAAAACCCTCTGCAGATCACTTGTTGCCTAAGAGGAAAACAAATATATATTCAGGGAATAAATTCTGGTGTGAATAAACATGATTCACGTAACTTCCGGCTTACAATGTGTAGCATTGATTAGTCTGATACATTTCATGCAACAGACTGCCTACTGCGCAAAATGTTCATTTTTACAAGAAGCCTGTTTTATACTGCAGCTTGCCTTTTTTAAAAGCCCCGTGTTGTAGCATGTTCACACAGGAAAGAGCTCCCTGGCTGCTGATTAGCCTATTTCACTTGAGAACAAATACCACTTTTGTTCCTGTTTTATTTTTAATGGAAAATCAACTATTCAGTTATTGCAAAACTGCCTGTTTTGCTAAGCTGGAATTTAAAACAAATGTATTTTCAAGCCTTGGTGACTTATTGCCAAGCTGGCTAAGTGAGAAGCTAAGCTGTGCATTGCAGGCAGGAGGCAGGAAGGCTACTGTTAAGAATCCTACTTGGGTTTGCATGTTGTGCTACATATCAGGGATGAAAGGAGGATAAGTATTAACCTTATTTCCCTACTAAGCACAGATTTTAAAAGTGAACTCATTAAAGCCTACTGAAGCAGCTTAGTATCTTGGTAATGATGGTAATAAATAAATAAACTGAACAGATTGCCAATGGCCATATTTGGCCTACGTGCAGCACATATCAGAACCATACTTTGTAGTTGTGTCTTGCTGGTATCTTTATGCAACCCTAGAGAAACTCTTGTGCTTTTCATCACAGAGTGCACCGAGAGGCCTTTATAAAAGCCTGCTATCAGCAAACAGCAGATGCTACTGAGAGAAACACATTAAAAAAAAAAAAAGAGTTGGCACCAATCATTTTGAAATCTGCTATATCTAAATGATTATGATTATTTTTCTAACAACATTTGTTTGTACACCCGGGAGTAGTCCTGTCTCCTGCTGCAGGTTGTGTGAGGTCGTCCACTCCTCTGCTCCTTGTCCTCTATCAAAGACAGTGAAAACCTAAAGATTTGAGATCTTTTCCTGCCTTATAGGCAGTTACCTGGTGCAGTGGCTCTGCTGACAGGATGAGGTTTGCACTGGGGAGGGTTTTCCTTTTAGAGCTCTCTTCTTTAGACAGTAACAATTGTCTTCAAACACGTGAAAGATGAAGAGGGCCTGAGGGAAGGAATATGCTTTTGTGCAGCATGGTCCTCTAGTGCAGCTGGGTTTCTCCACTTGTTATTTAATGTGGTGTGATGAAGACTGATGGATTTCCTGGTCTTTCCTATGTTTAAGGGTACTATGATGCACGAGTGAGGGTGTTGATCTGCCATGTCAGCTGGCTGCTGAGAATCCCCTTGGAGGAGCTGGAAGCCATGGAGGAATCTCTGCTTGAAAGCCTGAAGGAACAAACAGAGGAAGAGTCAGAGTAAGAATACTTGGCTTGGCTAAGGGATGAAGAAGCACTGCTGGTGGTTGAAAGTTTAGCATCAGTTATTCTGCCTAAGTCCAGGCTCTGCTCATTCTCCCTGTGGCTTTTAACTCAGTCATTTACGGCTTGATGAGAGTTGCAGGGCCCTCAAAGCACTTCAGCTGCACTGAGAGCCAACAGTGCTCAGCATCTGTAAAGTCAGAGCTGCAACCCAACCTTGCAAGCTGGCAAATGCACACACCAAACTCCTTCATCTCCTTGTTCCTATTTTGTCTCCTAGACTGTAGATAATATTTAAGTGCACCAGAAAGATCTGTATCTCTTGGCCTAACACTCTTCAGATAGAAACAAATAGATTTACAGAGGAATTGTTCCCTCTGGAGAAACCATGACTCTGAAAGGCAAACAGGCCAGATGCTTGCTGACCCGGCAGTGTTTTGATTATTTCCCTTACTCTGCTTTACAGAAGGGGATGGGTCAATGTGAATATATCAAGGCTAAAGCCAGGCTGTTTCTTACAGGCCAAACTCACACCTCTGCAGTAATGCCTCCTGCAGAATGAAGTTCCTGTAAAATTTCAGGATTAAATCCTCAGTTGTTGATTTTCTACAGATTTGCCCACTCTGCCTAAAGAGTCAGCTAACTCCTGAAGGCAGACCTTTGAGGGCAACCACTGGCATCTTTATGTATCTATGGACTGTTAATCACCTGACTTCTCTGCTGTTAATGTAAGATGAAGCCTCTTAACTGCAAGTTGTTATATTCAGAACTGCCAAACAGTTGGCGTCTCTGCGAAACACAGTCCTTTGCTTATGAGCCTGGAACTGTGTGTAGGTTTAGCAGTGTGTGAGGCAGTAAACCTGTCCATAGGAGACTTTCAAGGAACTGTTTAATATTTTGGTGCCAGTTCAGCACAAAATGTTACAAGGTTAGCCTGAGGCCCAAAACCTACTTTAATCAATGTCTCTGACGCAGAACATGTTCAGACATTTTGCTGGGGTGCAGCAGGTGACAGGTACCTTTCAATTATGGCTATTTAAATGAAGTGTAACTTCATAGCGCACTGTAAAAAGGGAAAGTCAAAATAATCTCAAGGATCATATGCTGCTAAAGGGAGCACCATCTGTAATGCAGGAGCAAGGGTTGGTTCTGATGGGCACTGTTTTGCTGTGGCTTATGAAAATAAACTCAGTCTTGAGCCTGTGACATGGAACAGGACACATAAAGAGTGGAGCCTGGCTTACACAGATGGTGCCTTGATACATAATTCTCTTCCCTCTGAACTGTGGCTGCTGAAGTGGGCTGTAGTGCAGCCCCAAAAGATGTCTGGTAGCGGCAGGAGTGACTGCAGAAGTGTGCTGCCTACGGGTTGTGATGGTACACATTACACATTACCAGGAACTGGTGCGACTAAAGCCATTGATTTCACTCTTGTTCTTTCCTTAGAGGCCCAAATTGCAGCCATGGAAATAACTGTTAGACAGAAGAAGAAAATCTCCACAATAAGAGCAGTTCACAGCTGCAGAGTCAATACATTGGTTACTACAGCACTAAAACTAGCACAGAGCTGAGGCTTGTGGGGAATTCATGACTCTTTGTTTTAGAGTCAGAACTCAACTGGGAAATGAAGCAGAATGTGATCTCGCTGCTGCTTTGACCTCACAGATTTCTGGGGGCAGGGAACACAGTCTTAGGATCTGCTTTGGATCTTTCCAGCTCTGCCCATCCACTGCAAGAATAAGAACAACCAAGTGGATTTTTGGCAACTTCTGCTTATGCATTATTTACTGATACTTGTAATGGGAAGTTTTGCTCTTGCCTTTGCTCCTGTGGACACGTCCTGTGGCCCAGCGTGTGCCAAATTAAATGTTCAGTGTGGTTATCTATAAAACAGTGCTCCAAACATTTAAATCCACATTACTTGTGCCAAGCATGTTCTGATTTGCAGGTGTAAACTTCTCTTTTGTAGGCAACTCTATGAGAAACTGGAAAATATGACATCAGTTGTTTGCTAACATGTATTCATGCTACTTTTCATCACTGGAAAATGATCTGTAACACCACCTATAACATTTCTCCAAATGTGATCAGCAGCAAATCCAAGATCGCTGAGAAGAGGCAGTTAGTTGCCATAGTGGAAAAGGGCAGTCAGGTAACCAAGGGGCAGCTGTGATGTAGAAGCTGTAAGGAAAGCAACCATCACCAGCAATTCTAGCAGTTACATACAGAGAGCAATGACCCAAACTCCAGTTTGACCATGGAGTCATGGAAGGTGAGCTTCTGTGGTGCTAAAGATGTTGCCATGCAGGCTGCAGCTCTCCAGGCAGCTACATTTGGAACTGGGGAATGTGCAAACAGAGGTAATGTGCAGTGGTTTTCTTGGAGGATCACTGTGGAGATGAAATCCCTGTGCCATGCAAGTCAGTGGGAGTTCTGCCATTGACTTCAACGAAGCAGGGATTTCATTTTCCTCCTGCTGTGCTGTACAATGCTGTGTATTGTTTGGGACTCATCTAAAATTGTCTTTATCAAAATTACAGAGCGCTTCGAGGGTTCCAGGAAGGATTAGGCAATTATATGGGTAATGAAAATCCACTATTAGGTTGGGATTAAGAGGGAAAATATCCAAGTTTGGAAGTAAGATAAATTCTCATGTTTCAAGGCCCAGATTAACCACTGAACAGGCAGGTCAGAAGGAAACTGTGAACAACTTCACTATCCTGTTTCTCTCACTTTCCTCTGAAATGGAAAGTACTTGTGAGAGGTAAACCAAAGACAGTAGAGATAAACCAAAATTGGTGCCTAAAAAGTGACATTTTTTCTTTTTCAGTTGATTTGCCTGTTTTGGGTAAGCTTGTTAAAGTACAGCTTAAATGTACAGAGACAAATGAACTTGCAACTGTGTTTAATACTATTATGTTATTATATTGTGAGGTATAATTAGAGAACAGCTAAATATAAAGTCTGCTATTGGAAAATAGTTTGATTCCAGCTCACTGTTAGCTAGCACAAATTACCCTTATTCTCTGCTTCTGCTTCTACTTAGTTTTCTTGTGGTTTTAACCCCATTTAACTTTATTTCTTGTTCCTAAAATATTTTTTTTATTTTTTTAATGTCTTCTGATGTGCTTGTGGGGGAATTCAGGACCAAATTCTGATTTTTGTAATAGTAACATAATTCAGTTTGTTTATGAGCAGTGGAAGGAGATGTGGCCTTTGGTTTTCAGGTCTGATACAGCAGCTCACAGGTCTGGTGGCCAGTGGTCACTGCTAAGGATCATTCATCTTAATGAATACCATTCACCTTAATGAGTACCATCAAGTAGCATTTGGCATGGCTGGATGAGGTCACTGGGTCAAAATCAGTTCCTGAGTTGAATTGCACTTTCTCTGTAATCAGGTCTTTAAAACAAGTCTGGTGTATAATAGAAGGGAGTAAAAGTCACGGTGCGTTTTAGGTGGTTTTCTTGATGCTCTGTTGCTGAAACCAGAACAGAAAGCAGCATAGAACTGCACCATTAGAAACAGTTATAATTACACAGCTGACTACAGCAGACATCGTTTACATGTGCAGGGTTGCTTTCACTTAGGAATATCTGATCTGTTCCAAAGATTTACACAATGCTGTGTAGCATTTACATGACACAGCCATGATTTAACCTGATGTCCTCACATCCAACCCTGCGCTGATATGCTCACAGCCTCAGGGAACTGATCTGCCCTAAAAACTGAGATGAAAATTGACAGCTGTGGCAGTTATCTTCCTGTCTGATGGTATCACAGACGCTGCTCAAAGTCCTGTCTGCACTCAGGGTTTACTTTTAATGAACATCAAACAGTTCCCCTCGCACCATCACACAGCTATGGACTTCTAATGACAGAGGAATGGGAAACCAACCTTAATGATTCTATGGAAACTGCCTTGTGTCTGCTCTGCAGCTCACCCTGGTGATGTTTGATCTGAGCTAACCCATCTCAGCATCTTTTCTGTTTGTCTCCAAGGTTAAGACTCCTTCTCCCCCATGTGCTACAGAGGATGCAGCATGGATGGGGCTTGGTGTGGTGAATATTAGTGTAAGAATGGTTTGCTTCAGGAGGAGCACAGCTCCTGCTGGAACTAGACAGAGTACTGCAAGCTGTAGGGTGCAACGATCAGAAAGGTTAACATCTTTATTGTAGTAATTTGTGTGGGATCAGACCAAATGTCAATTCTGCATCCCTGAATACTTAGAAATTGAACTGTGTCAGAGAGGACCTGGAGGGTGCAGTATCAGCCTTCCCTATGTGGTATCAGTAGATGGTTCTTTTTGTCAGTTCTTTCTCTTTCCCTGAAGGCTGAGGTCCTGAGCTGTGTGCCCATCAGCTTTCACTGTTTGCCTTCTGCTTGGATTCCTCCCTGCAACCTGACTTCAGAGCATCTCACAACAAATAACTAGTAATAATGGGCCAAATTAGCCTGGCAGTTGTTCTGCAGCCTGGAGGTGAGAGTCTCCCATGCAGTCTGCCAGTACATCACAAATGTAGAGCCAATTCTTTTCCATTAGACACGCAGAATTAACTGCATAATGCAGAAATAGCTTTCATCTTATAAAAACTGCAGTAGATTTTCTGTAAGCCACATAGGCAGTATAAAGCTACTGAAATGTTTCTGACTTTGCTTCTTTTTTTTTTTTTAACAAGCTTCACCCCTGTTAGGAAGCGTTTTCAAAGTAAGTAACATCTGTTGGCTTTTCCAAGCAATTAAATTGTTCCAGTTTAAATCTGTGGCTTATGTCCGTGCTCATAAATCTGAATGTGTTGTCACGGTCCACACCTGCATGGTACTTTTTACTGTTCCCAGTAGGGAAATTACACTGAGGAGGATATAAGCAGATTGTGGTGCAGCGTTGTTATCTGCCAGGCTTTGCCATCAGCTTTTATGCTTTTAATCCCCCTGCAGAACTGCAGAAGTCTCAAGAAAAAAGAAGGAAAGAAGAAGGAAGCTGAAGAGATACCTGCTGATCGGCTTGGCAACCGTTGGGGGTGGAACAGTGATCGGTGAGGCTGCCTTGGGCTGTCAAAAGCTTGGTCCTGAAGTGCGAGGGGGAGAAAGTGGGGTTCTGGCTTGCACATTCAGCAGCAGAAGCCAGGCTGTGATTTCAAAGTGTTCACTGTGTTGTTTTTTTTCTTTCTTTTTGCCAGGCTAAAGGTAGTATGTCACTTCAGGTTCTGCTGTGCAAAAGTAGAACTGAAAGAATTAGTTGTGAAAGTGAAAGTCCGTTGGGTTTGTTGGAGCATTGCATGGAGCAGTGCATGCTGGAAAGTCAGTTTAAAGATACTGGAGAGAGACTGAAGAATTTGGATGATGTTTGCCTGGGCCACAATCTATCACATATTCTTCCTCGACTTAAGTTATTCTTTATTTTTACTGAAGTCAGTTAAAGAATGCGTGCAGAGATTCAGGGCCTGGGGATGGTCTTAAGAGCCCCTTTACCAGGGATGCAAAACAGGTCACTTTTTCAATAGCATTAGCAGTACTCACCCAGCACAGGGAAATGATTGTTTTTTGCACTTGGTAAAGAGACTGTTGAACTCACTTGCTCCTTCTCAGGCTTGACAGGAGGTCTTGCTGCCCCCCTGGTTGCTGCTGGGGCTGCTACTATCATTGGAAGTGCAGGAGCAGCTGCTCTTGGTTCAACTGCAGGAATTGCTGTCATGGCATCCCTTTTTGGAGCTGCTGGAGCTGGCCTTACTGGTAAGAGAGTGACTGCACATTTCACAAGCACTGAGGCACAGGATCGTGTTCCAAAATGCAGAGCATGACCGAGCCCTGCAGAGCAAGGAAAGTGATTGGAAGTATGATCTCACAACTTTGAGATGGCTTTTATTTCAAAACATGCTTGATGACTAACTAGGAAAATAGTGTTTGATACGTGGCTGAGTAAAAGAGATGAAAGCTTCCTGCTTTGGATTAGAAAGGTGCAGCAACAGAGAGCAGTAGCTGTTACACCTGATGCAGGATTTTCTGCAAAGCAGCCTTTTGCTGAGATACCCACAGATCATGAGAGCTCAGAGGGATCATGTTGGCTCCATACCAAGTAATACATAGATCTGCAGAGGGTCTTGGAAAGAGAAAACCTTAGTCATGAGCCAAGTCATCTCTTATGAATTTCTGTTGTCTGTTCTTGTGCGATTTCTGAGATCTGTGTTTCTGCCTTGTGTGTAGGATACAAGATGAAGAAACGTGTGGGAGCCATAGAAGAGTTTGAATTCCTCCCACTTACTGAAGGAAGGCAGCTTCACATCACCATAGCAATTACTGGATGGCTGTGTGCTGGCAAATATGGTAAGAACAAGATGAGAAAATGGAGAGGAGCCTGGCAGTGTTTGTGCTGTAGTAGCATCGTGCCTTCCACACACTTACATAGGCTGTTGAATAAAACAGATCAGCTGTTAACATAAGACTTTGTAACCCAATCTGCAGTGCCAATCAAAACAGAGGAAAGAGAAGGTGCAGTAAATTGGTTGTACTTGTGGTAGGATTGGTGGTAGTGAGAGAGCGAGACCGTTTCTGTCAGTAAATCCTGTCTGGTTTTCCTAGGAAGAACCTGGTTGGGGTGAATGATTTCCAGCACTAGAACAATATGTCTCACCTACCTCTGAGACCTTATGTTTATCCTCCAGCAATTAACAGAAAACAGTGTTGTTTTCTTTCTCTCCATCTGCCAGCTAATGAGGTTTATTGGCAAGAAAGTTGTGTGAAGCAAATCCCATTAAGCACAGAACTCAGGAAGTGAACTTAAAGGCAGCAGCCTTGAAAAGTTTGTATTGTTTTAGTTTCTAGTGTAGCTTGTCATATAAAATATGTCAACTGTCTGCTGAGTTCAGCAACCTGGCTCAGCAGCTGCCAATTTGTTCAGAGCCATCATAATTAACACTGGATATCATTAATGTGGAAGGCTTTCTCTGTCCTGTTGCTTGTTAGATTGGAGCTAGCTGTCAGAGTAAGGTTGTTTTCACTTTGCAGTACTTTGGCTTTACTCATTGCTTAGCAGGGCTCCAAATCTCTGGTGTTGGAGGGCTTCCAGGCACTGTTACAAACACAAGTGCATCCCTTCAGGAACCTTTTGGTGTCTGTTTGCCCTTAAAAGGGAGCTACATATGACACACATTCTTCTTCCATAACAAGCAATCTGTTATAATGTCTAAAAAAGCAAAACTAAAACTGTCACCCATTCTCTTCCTTATAGTTGTGCCTATTTGCACACTTGCACGACTTGTTAACACAGAGGGAGTGAGGACAGGATTATTACAGAACACGTTGTGACTTTTGATCTCCCACTGTCTGCCTGTCTGTACATCCAGAAATACAGCAGGATATTGTGGTGAGATCTGGCATAGGACTTACACATGCCACTTTGGTCAGCAGCTGCCTCAACTTGCCCTGCTTTGTTCACAGAACGAACAAAGTCAACGGGTTTTAATTAATTAAGATGAACAGAGTATGGCTTAAAAATTGCTCTTGCAGCCAAAAATTAGACATTGCGCTGTGTATATTATTCATTCTTTCTTAAGCATTCAGGCCCTGCTTTTGATTAGCCTCTGAAGGGGAAAAATTAAACTAAAGTGGTTAAGTTAGACGGCAGAATAAAAATAATTGCAGTCTAGATCTGCAAATACAGATTCCTCATTTTCCAACAGAGCCACTAATGCAATCCTTGCCTGCCTAACTAAAGTGTTTGGAAGATGCTCTGTGGTAGATTTTGAAAAGATTTTACATATTTTCCATGCCTCTGGACTCAGTCCATGCAGCCATTCAGCACTTGGTCTTTCTCTGAGGCACTCCTTTGGTCTGTATGAGAAGTTGGAGCTGCAGGGTTTGGCCTGATGTCTGAGGATAGGAGGAATGTCCTCAGGACCGACGTAGTTGACATCAATGTCCATCTGTCTTGGCAGGCTGAGCTACCTGAGTGGGTTGTGAAGTCTCAGCCTGCATGCAGTATCTCAGTCTGCACTGAAGACTTTGCCAGAGCAGCTAAAGCTGTGGGATTATTCACAAAGCCAAAATTTATTGTAAAATAGTAGAACTATGGAGTCTAAATCTAACAGTATTTTTAAATGCAATTCCTGATTATCACAGAATGTTCCAGTGCCCTCCAGGTTCTTTTCTGGCTCTTTTTTTGGAGCTGTCTTGCCAGGAGTCAGCCACTGTTGTGCTTTCAGTGAACACGAATTCAATGCCTGCAACTTTTCTCAGGAAGCTTCACAGCACCATGGAGCAGCATGCTGCATTCGAGTGAGCAATACTGTCTGGCCTGGGAATCCAAGTACTTGATGGAGCTTGGCAGTGCCTTGGATACCCTGGTGAATGGTTTTGTTAACATGATGGCTCAGGAAGCCCTAAAATTCACTGTTTTGTCAGGTAAGAACCCATATTGTACTGGATCTGTGTTTGTACAGTTTCACTGTTGGTGTTTATTTAAAGGAGCTTTCCTGATCAGAGAGGAAGGCATATTGGCATCACCCTGCAAAAGTGGCCTGAGAACCTTCTGTACCACACCTGTAATTCAGAATTGCTTTCCTGGATTGCTCTGCTCTGAGTCATGGACTTGTTCTTTTAAAATTACAGCTGGAAACACCTTCCTTCACGTGTGCGTTTATTTCTCTGTATTATTACACTGTGTTTTAGTGCTCTACACAAACCTTTCAAACACGCAGGTTGTATTCATGTATGGTGTCTGTTTGCCTCCATATCGGAACATCAGATTCTTTCTTATCTTTAGTCTAGCAAAACATTTCTCAGACCAGCTCTTGAGAAAGAAGCACTGAAAATGACAAAAGGCCATAGGTTTAGCTTTTAACTTCAGTGAACCATCTTGTTTTGCTGTTTCCTAAGAGCAATCCAGATTTGTGACTGTGCTGCACTGTTTGTTTTCTGTGTTGCAGGTATTGTTACGGCCTTGACTTGGCCAACTTCACTCTTGACTGTTGCCAATGTCATTGACAACCCCTGGGGAGTGTGTCTGCATCGGTCTGCTGAAGTAGGCAAGCACCTGGCACATATACTGCTCAGTCGACAGCAGGTATTGAAATTATCCAGAAAGGATGTCAGGAAAGGATCTGGCCCATGGGGGGAAAATTATAGATATCTTTCCCGAGGGAAGAAAATGAATAATAGCATGAAAAATGAAGAAAAAAAAAAAGATGCACGAAGGTGAGCAGCATGTATCTGGAATTAATTGAGTTAATTGAGGAAAATTACCAAGTCCCAAGTTAATCAAAGAACTCCTGCTAGGATTCATTCCATTTGACCCAAAGCTTCCCTAAATGAAAGAGTGATCCAGGTCATAAATGACAAGTGGATTGAACATGCCTTAAGCAGGCAGGCCAACTCACTGAGTGAAAATCTGAGCACAGAAGGAAAGGTAGGTGGGAAGGAGGAGAGAATACAGAGTGCTCAAAGTACTGTGAATTAAGGGGCACAAAACAGTGTAAGAGAATACCCTGCAGCATTACATGCAGCATGAGCCCTGTTTTTGCCTAAATGATACCAGAACACATATAAAACAGTTGAATTGAAGAATCCAGCTTCTCTCTACTTTTATTGATCCTAAACTGTAACTGCACCAGCTTTCATCAGGCTTCAGTCTGGAATAATTATGACCATGCCTTTGCAGTATTCTTGCAGAGTTAAGGAGGAAAATCCAGTGCTGAAAGGCAGCTAACAGAATCCTTTGAAACAGAAAGAAAGAGAGAAGAGCTGGATTTTTCTTCTTTTTGACGTGTCTTCTCTTGGGAGGAATTGGGAAGAGATCTCAGTAGCTTGCAGTTTCCTTCATTTTTATCACGCACACAGGCAAGGATTGCACATGCTGACCCATCATGATAAATGCACTTGTGCTTCCCTGCATTGCTGCAGCTGCAGAGCACTGGTGTGGAAGTGGCCATGAGCACAGATCTGTACAGATGTTGCTATTCAGGTGATTCCAACAAGTACTTTGTAAGTGCAAAGGCACAGTTACTAGTAAATTCCATGCTCATGTTGGAAACCTTTGAAACAAAAGGCAGGATATGAGCTAAAGGGAAAATGAAAAAAGCAGAGGGCATTCACAAATGGAAGAAGAGGGAAGAGAGAGCAGCGTGGTATCAAAGACTTGTAAGAAAAAAACATGTCCAAATGGGATGCAAGCTTGAACTAGAGATGAAATACAACAGCCAAAACAAGGAAGTGAAATGGACTGGTACCTGAAAGAAGGGATGGACATCATTAAGGCTCCCTGAGGTGGTTTATGAAAGTCATTTCTGCCTCCCCAAAGCCTGCTGTTGTTTGCTGGGCTACTCTGGCACAGGGGGAGGCAGTGTTCTGCTGGCCACTTGTTTCTCACAGGCATGCTAGTCCAGAATCTGTTATGGAGGGGCCCTGTGAGAGCTGTGGCCACATCATGAATGTAGAAACAAACTCCATTTCTCATAAAAATACAATCCCAGGAAAGGCAATAAACTTTATTTCATACAAGCCCTTGTTGTGCTGGGGCATTTGTTACTGCCCTTCAAGTGTTAACTGTTGTGGGAACACATACTCCAGTGTGCTGCAGAGCCTACACGAGTTAGCATGATGTCTGGGGAGTCCATCACACACCTGCTCCCTGGTTCATACAAAGACCATTGCTGCTGAGATTAAGCTCTCTTTGATCTTTAGGAAAATCTCATTAGACTGTTCAAAATAAAAGCTTTCCACACGTCATTTTTATAACAGCCACGCAGTGCTGCTGTGCTGCCATTCAGTCTCAAATCTAAAAGTGTCCAGTATTGTTGATTTACTGCTGCTTTTTCTGTTTATTGAAACATTTCCAGAAAAATGTTTGCTCCACGTATTAGGCTCTCTGTTGGAAATTTCAGAACAGTCTGTTTGATTTCTGTTTGAGTAACATCTTATCACTGGATTCTTTCAATGGATTTTCTAGCTATCAAAAATCCAAAATAACAGATGCTCCGGATATTGAACTGTGCAAAACTTCGGGGACAATCTCTTTGAAATTGACAGAATCTTAACATGCTTAAAAGACCAAGCACCAGCATGAGTGCTCTCTGTAGGGTCTTGGGAAGCCTGTGGCTGGTGTCTCTTTCAAGGTCTAGTGGAACTTTTATGGCTTTTTCTCCTTTCTTTCGTTGTTAGGGCAAGCGACCTGTCACACTGATTGGCTTCAGCCTGGGTGCCAGAGTCATCTACTTCTGCCTGCAGGAGATGGCTCAAGAGAAAGGTAAGCTTTACCTGGTCCCCTTCCTCTTCGTTTTCCTTACTGCTGATCAATTTTCCTTCCAATGAAATGTTCTTCTGCAAGAGAGTTTGAGGTTTTTTAGAATCAGAAACCTAAAAAAATGGTTTTGAAATGCGTTTGAGGCCAAATTGTCCTGTCAGTTCCACCAGTTCAATGGATTAAATCCACAGTCTTCATTAGAGGTGCTCCAGTGTGGCTGACAGCGTGGTTTGGTCACCAGTCTGTAAATAACAGCCCTGACATGTTGTGACATTGGAGCACTAGATCAATCTGTGAGCTGCCCAGAGCCACTGAGATCCTGGCAGAGGACGCCTTGCCTTTATTGGCAGCTCTCTGTAGCTATTGTATCTAATTCCTTGAGTCCTCCCTTCCATTTAAGTCATTGAAATGCCACTGTCATCTGCTATTTTCATGATAATTTTTCCCTGAAGTCAAGTATAAAACCATCTGTCAATTTATTACCCGTTGTGTTTCTGTTTATTAATAGAATCTATTTTTAATTTGAGAAAAAGAATAAAATCATTATGATCAGTTGATGTGAAATGCATCTTGGAGTCGAGTCAGTGCGAGTGTGTGTGTGCAGCCTGCCTTCCCATACGTAGCTCATGTGGTTCATTAACTGTGCAGCTCACAGAAAGTCTCTCATAAATAAGGAGCTCTGTGAAGTAAAATGTTCAATAAAGTCCAGGAAGGTGGGGTTGGTGTCGGGTGAGGACAAAGGAGGTCAACATGTTTTCTTTTGACAGCTGTATACCAGAACTTCACTTCTGGGTTAAGGCAGAAGTTCTCAAATAGAGAATTCTGTTCTCAGGATAAATCTAATCAAGTCCAGAATGATCCTAATGGAGTTACACTGAAGCCAGAATCCAGATCCTAGTCCTGCTCTAGATCAACTCTTTTTGTGTCTCAAGGATGTTAAGGGCTGAAGTATTTTCAGGCTTTTATTTAGAGGTCTGCTGTCTCTCACTGGAATAACAGGGGACCTTAGCTAAGTAATACATGAAAGGGAATCGTATGGGGTCTTTAAAGCTGGCTGCTATTCTAAAGAAATCTAAGCATCGTAATTATGGATCATAGCAGCTCCCCACAATACACTAATTTTTCAGTTCCTTAATTGAATTATGAAAGCTGAGCTGTTTGTGAGATGAAAAGCAGCATGTTTGGTGCAGATTGCCAAGGCGTTCTTCACATGCACATTCCAGAGCAAGCCACGGGAGGAATGAAGCTGAGACCTGGGACATCTGAGACTGATTTTGGTTTGGACTTGGTTGTCTCACACAAAAGAAATGGAAAGCCTTTTGCATCCAGATGGCAGTGGCATTTATGAGGACAAATAGCTAATTGTGGATTATTCAGGGAAAGACCGTGGCAGAAATTCAAAGTCTGTTAAAAGAAAACACTCTTCTGCCATTCAGGTAAATAATGTGTGGGATCCTTCCTTGCAAATGGCTTTGGAAGCCAGAGCTTAGTTTCCAGAAAATGACACTGTAGTCAGAGGGCAGCAATGCCCCATCAGAGACCTGTTATGGCACTGGGAGCCCATCGCTCTGATGTGTTCGTGGTGATTCCTGAGTTCCATCACTCTTCTTTTCCAGTGAGGACTCACCTGATGTTTCCTCTTTGCTCAGTGATTTGTACTAAAGGCACAGGAGAGCCTGAAAACTGGTTACAGCCTCCTGCTTAGCCTGGATCATCCACACCTTTACTGGGCAAATAATCTTATCAGTCAGCAATCTTCTCCCATCAGTAACGTTTTTGTATTTTTATTTTCCTGCTTTATACAGACTTTGTTTTTCTCCATCAGTATAAAAGATTTGCAAACTGTGAAATACGTTTCATTTATCTCGAGCACCAGCAACCACAGAGGTCACTGATCTGTTCTCAGATTTCTGTCAGCACTGAAAGAAAATGGGTGTTTTCCAGCCAAACCTGGACGTTTTTTTCTTCTAAGCACAAAATAAGCTGTGCAAAGGACTGGAGGAAAAAAAAAAAAAAGCTTCCAACACCTTGCCCAAATGTCCAAGATCCTGATGAACTGTTTGTTTATTCAGTTGGCTCACATTGTGGCCGTGGAATTTAGTACCTCGGTTGGAGCAACCTCCCTGAACAGGCACTGGGTTTCCTTTTCATTGCCCATGACTGTGGAAACACAGGACTTTATTGCTCACAGATTACACTAACAAAATTGAATTGCTCTTTGCTGTTCTCTTGATGGGTGCAAAATTTTCTTTGCAATAAGAAATAATACCAAGAGAGCTCTTTTGGACTGTTGTCAGGTGCTGGGATTTACGCTGTGTCGAGAAGGATGCAGGCACTGCAGGGAGCTCCAAGTTTTTAGTGCTATTAGGGAAAAGAAACCAGTTGATTTCTATTTGAAGGCATCAGCCTTTAAGCCAGGCATCACCTCTCCATCACAGCTTGTAGTGGTGCACTCTTACCTTCACTTCCCAGAAATTTTCAGCGTATTATTTTACAAACTGCAGACACCAGCTCAAAAATAGTTCAGCTCATGTCTTGTGGGCGCTGGTCTCAGCTGGAGAGCATTGATTCAGCACTGCCCATGAGGCTCCTGAGACTGCAGGGCTGAATTTCACTTAACTACTACATCAGGTGCTTGATGTCTGCTTACAAAGAAGAGTTAGAAATGTATATTAATATATTGTTTAAGAGCGTCTTTGCCTGTTTTCAAGCCTGTATCTGCACGGAAGAATGGTGTCTAGACTGAGGCTGTCTCTTCTTGTCTTCAGATGGCAGGAGTGGCAAAGCACATTAATATTTAAATTTTAATTTAGGACTGTTGCAGAGCTGCCCAATATTTTTCATTTTGTCATTTCAATTGAAATTTCCCAGCTGCAGCTGTCACATAAGAGAGGAAGATTTATGTAGGTCACTCCAAAAGTAATGCCTGCTGTTTATTTCCATGGAAAACACAACTGCAAAGAGCACAGTAACACTATTTGGTAGAGCAAATTTATCACCACCATTAGCTGTGCATTTTCTCCAGCACCACATCACCCATAATTTTGTGATTCAGGTTCAGCTCCTTCCGCTTCGTTTTGATTCACTGGGTGCTGGCAAACCTGTGTATGATGTTCTTTCTCTTCCCATGTGAGCATTCATGGGATCCACCTGGTGCAAACTTTGCAACATTCCAACATTGCCACCATTGTTTCCAATGCATTAAAAGACATATTCAGCTCCATACACAGCTCCATATCAGATGCCACTCTGTCAGGCTGCCCCTCTGCTGCCATCTGTTGCACGGTAACAAAATGTAATGGGAGATTAGTAGAAGGTTTAATCTCTACTTCCATATCCTCAACATTTGCCTCTGATGTTGTGGGCCAGCATGTTGTGGGCCAGCAGGAGGCATTACTTTTGGAGCAGCCCTCGCACTGCATGTCAACACGCCTATTCAGCAAATGCTGCCCTGTGCACTGGGGCACCTCTCAAGAAAATCAAACCAGTTTGATGGTTGGCAAATGCTGTCTGATCTGTCTTCTAAACCTGAGCTGTTCTGCTTTCACCTTAACAGACTCCCAAGGGATCATTGAAGATGTGGTGCTGCTGGGAGCTCCAGTGGAGGGAGAGGCCAAGAACTGGAAGGCGATCACAAAAGTGGTGTCGGGCAGGATCATAAATGGTTACTGCAGGTCTGTGTGCACACAGTGCCCTGCTTCACTGCTGTGGTGTCACTTTGAAATGGTTCTGCACATCTGTCCCTTATAAATGTTCTGTGAGCGCGTGTTTGTTCAGCTGGTGAGGCCACGGATTGAGCAGTGCCTGAGTCTCTTCTCTGCAGAGGTCTCTCCTTCAAATTATTTGGAGATGGCAGTCTTCAGGAGACAGTTCAAGGCTGCTCTGTCCCCAGTTATTGCCTGTTTGTGGTGCACACTCACAGTGGGAGGCAGAGGTTCTCGATACACAGGTCCTGTTCTTGCTATATCTAGACTGTTTCTGGTCAAGGTAGTCCATGTGAACAAAACATTTCACTTGCAGAGGGGATCCAACTGGGATGGCTGTCACAGATTTACTAAGGATGTGAAAGAATAGGAAGGTTACCTTGAAACTGAAAGCCGGCCTTTAAAACTGTGCAGATAAGTGCTGTGCAGAGGTGTGAGAGCTGCTGGGTGAGAAGAGGGAGAGTCAGAGGCCAGAAGCAACTGAAGTCGTGTTGCAAAAGCTATTAAGAATTCAAGTGACAGTACCAAATCTAATGACTCTGTTTTGGGAGATAATTGTGACAAGAGCACCATTTACCACACAATTAGAAGAGGGAAATTAAAATGAAGGAAGGAAGCAGGGAAGAGCATGGGAAAATAAACTGAGAAATAACTGGGCAAGAAGATTAGCAAAGAACATGTAACTGAGTAAAGACAGCTCTGGAGCCACAAGCCCTCAGATCAAGGACAGCTGAAATGCTGTTGGTCCTTTCCAGATGCACATGTGTATGTATTACATGTGTATAAGATGAGAAATTAATGTGTTACTGCACATCTAACATAGTATATTACTTTACAAAGAACTAAATAAAAGGATTTAAGAGCATTCAAGATTATAGCCCTCGGCGGGGCGCCCGGCCCCCAAAAAAAAAAAAAAAAATCATTAATCCCATCTGTCAGGCTGAAAAATGTTGCTTTTGTCTTTTTTGGATCACAGGACTTTTTATGGATGCTGGATGTGCACACCAGTTAAAATATTTCTTCATGTGACACAGGGAAAAAGCAATTGCTGCCTCCTGTCAATTAGTGACTGGGGACTTGGGAATGCTTCTGTATTCCTCCAAGAAGCCATAAATTACAGCAGTTGTTGCACAGAGCTGCATTTGCCCTGGCAAATGTTGGTCCTCCATGTGTTAAACAAGTATCTGTTTCAGTGCTAAAAGCTCAGCGTTCCATTTGCTGTAATGAAAAGGAAATCATTTTGTTACAGTTTCAAAGCCTGTCTATGCTGTTGGAGCACGTTGTATGTTCTTATCTTCGTGTAGGCAGTAATTTGGTTAGTCTACCCATCTACTGAGTGTTGAAGGAAAAAAGGTGTAGAAATTGTAGCATGCTGCCCACAAATAGGAAGAAGCAGGTGAGGAGGATATCAGGAAATACTCAGCTGCATCAGTTCTCTGCTTTGCTCTCAGCTGCTGAATTTGAATATTACTCTGTTGGCACAAGGGGCAGCTAGGGGAGGTTCCCTAGGTATGAGAGAAGGACTGTACAAACATTTCTTGATAAAGCCCCACCTGAATCTCATCACTCTGGCTCTTGCTCATACAAATTTTGTCCTTGTTCTGTCACTTCAGGAGTAGCTATATTTAGTTCACATGAATTACACTGAATAATACTTCTGCAAGATCAGATTTGGACACAATTTATTGAGCTTCAGGCTGCTGCAGCTCATCTCTTTCAGCTTTGAAGTCTGAAAGGAGGCAGGGAGTGAAAGCCAGCTGTCAGGGCTGTCCCCCTTGATTTCACAGCAAGGTTACAAATTCCTAGTGGAAAACCTTAACCAAATTAGTTAAGACTCATTGAGCATGTCAAAAAAAGCCAGCCATGGGGTGACTGATAAAAAAGTGACTGTAATGCAGTGTGGATGTGCTGCAAAGATTTTGCAGAGCTCTGCGTAGACTTGACTCCTGACTTTTAGCTCACAGCATTTTGCAGTGAAAGGAGCAGCCTCATCTGCTGCCCTCCCAGTCTGCACTCCCCTCACATCCAGCTTAAACCTGCTCCACAGGCTGTAGTGGTGTTCAGGCACCTGGGTTCTGCACAGAACAAGCAGTGTATTTCCAAAGGATGCATCACCTCCTCTCTTCATCCTGTAGCCTACCCTGATACTGCCACAGTGACTTACAGCAACGCTTGACAGTGGAAACAGACCCTTCCTAGTACTGTCACTGAAACTACATATTTATACAGCACCTATAAATCAGGAGCATGCTGAGGAGCTTCACAGCCCATGTCTGCGTCAGCAGCATTGGTATCGTTGGCCTCATCACATTTACAGCTCTCTGGAGCCTGCAGAACTTCAACCTATTAGTGCACTAAAAAGAATAAATGTGAACGTTTTGCAGTCTCCAAGCAAACACAAGAAAGGGTCAGATTTTTAAACTCACTGAGTGTGATGAGACTGCATCCCCAAATCAGGATTTAACTAAGACTCACACTCTTACCTCCCAAGAGTCTGTCCTGATTTTGGCAACTGCTCTGATTCCTGTGTCTGACAAAGCTGCAGTGGGCATTGCTCCAGACTAGACTGTGCTTCCCAGCCCTTCTGTTCTCCCTGTGCTCTGTGTAGTCACATGTTGTGCAAGTTTAGCGACAGGAGTTATTCACACTCTTCTTTTGCTCTGCTCCTAGGGGAGACTGGCTGCTGGGATTTGTATACAGAACCTCTTCTGTCCAGCTGAATGTTGCTGGCCTCCAGCCAGTCAAGCTGGACGACAGGAGGATGGTAAACATGGACCTTTCATCTGTAGTAAGTACTACTTCTAGTCTCACTTTTCCCATCTGCCCTCACGGTCATTGATCAGGAGGAAGCGTGATGCTGGGAAGGTAGGTCAGCAGCTGGGGAACGTGCAGCTACACATGGCAGCAGAGCAGGTACAGCCTGCAGCCTTATCTGGATGGCTCCTCCAGCACAGTGCCAGTTCACACGGGGATGATTGCTTGCCCTTGTACCTTGGTCCTGGGCCACAGTGACCCTGGTGCAAGAGGCAGCTTGCACTGACAGCTCTGTGGTAGCAGTTTGCTGGTTTGCTAGGCTGCGAGGCTGCTGTGTTTTGGGGTACGTGTTTTCAGGAGGCAGGAGGTGTTGCTTCACCTGTTTCACCTGTGTGCATGGTAGACACTCAGCTTCCTCAGAGCTGTCATTACTGATTAGCAGTATTCAACTCGATTATCGTATGCAAACTAATGATCTCAGTGCCTCATCGTTACTCATGAGCGAACTCTTACAGAGCAGATCATGCAGAACTTGGCTTCTGTGTTCGTAATCACTGGGATCTTGGGCGTGCAATCTTGTTTTCCATATCTTAATGATTCAGCTCATCTTTTACTCTGCAGACTGGACTGGAGGAGCACAAAGCTCAGGGCACATCTGTCATCATTCTTCCTGCTGTGACCCCTCCTGCCTGTTCCCACAAGCTGGTAGCACTGTCAGTGTTGCTCTGGAGCCAAAGGCACTTTTAAATTCTTTCAATTTTTTGAGAACCAGCCTGCTGATCCTAAAAATACCCAACTGTTACCAGCTCGTTTCATTCATTATAACTGAGCTATGAGCCCTTGCCAGAAAACACAGAGCTTAATGCCATACAGATAAAATAAGAACTTCACAGACCAAAATGTGGGCCTCCTAGAAGGAAGTGGTATGGTAGAACCTTTTAACATTGGTCCAGCACTGTAGCTGTTCTGGAATCTTTGCACTTTCCTGGGTTGCCTTGGTTAGCATTTGCACACACTCCCACATTCATTTTTTTCACTATCCCTGGGATTGTCATCAGTCACTTGCGAGCATCTAAATGGCTGAAGAAGCCAAGCAGTGATGACACTGGGGTGATATTTCCTGTTAACTTAGTCCAGGTTGCTCTCCTCTCTTCAGAGCCCCTCCTTCTGTTGACCTTTTGCTTTCTGACCCTCAAACCCCCTGGAGTCCTGCAGACCTGACCCTGCCCTCTGCCTCTCCATTCTTCCCCAAAGGAACCATTTACCATTCAGCTAAATGAATCATGGCTGCAGAGCTGCTATCTGCTGATCTTCTGCTGTTGTGCATCTGTGTCTGCGCTGCCTGATGCCAGCAGACAATCCCAGCACTGTTCTCATTTCAGAAAGAGCTGACACTTTCACTTCTTTAATCTTACTGCAAAGCACTGGGGGAAAAAAAAGAGCAATTCCCACAGCGAGGAAAACGTGTGTTAAGTAAGTGTCATTCTCTTGATCCATTTTCCAGAGCATGGAGCTTTATGAAAAGAAACAGAGTGTGTTCTGATGAACATTTTAAAAGTAAAAAGGGAGAGCAAGAAGGGGAAGGAAATATTCAGAAGCTCTGTGTAAAAAGTGACAAGTAAGCAAAGATGGATCTTGCTGCAAATGTAGTGCAGTTGCATAAGAGAAATATAGAGAGATGTTTTCTATAAATTGCAGAATACAAGAAATCTGCTTTACTAAACAAAAAAAATCTGTCTTTCTGGTAGAGGAAACAAAACGTAAGAACAGCTACAGTAGTTCAGACTAATATCCATCAAGTTCAGTATCCTGCCTAACAGAACATCCTCCTGATTTTCCTACAGAAATAGAGAAGATGGCACTGCACACCCATGGCAATGCATATTCTTATGTATACATGTAAATCAGGTATCTGCCTTGCAGAGAGCTTGTCATTTGGTGCACATTTCAGAGAAATGGAGTGTAATGGCTCAAGCAAAGGAGGACTAAGAGGCCTCTTTCAGCTTCCCAGTAAAGGTTTTTTCTTTTTTTCTTTTTTTTTCAAACCTAATTCCATAAAATATTTGGAGTTTCCTATCATTTAGATGTCTTATGCAGAAAGATTTATAACCCACAACACACATCTGACTTGAAAAAGGTCCTGAAGTGATGCAGAGACTCCGCTGTCTGTAGATAGTGCTGCCTGAGAAGTGTTCCATGGTGAGTGCCTTCTGCTGTGGGGTAATTCATTGGAGCCTATTGCTTTTCTGCTTCCCCTTATGAGTTTTTCTCTTTGAGCTTTGGCTCTCAAAACATTAAGAATAAATAGAATGACTTGAGAAATGGGCACATTCACAGCCCACAGAGATGGGGCTGCTGAAGAGGAGACAGCTTGATGCGGCGTTTCCAGTCAGGGTGCTTGGCTGTATGTGGAAGAATTTGGCTTGCTGGGATTGCAGAGATCTTGGATGCATCCTGAGATCACCAGAAAAATACAGTTCATTCTCAGCTTCAGTGGAAATTAAGCATCTGAAAAACAGGAGTGCTTTTCAATTAAGCTCTCACTGCTTTTGAGGAACAATAATGATGATCGTTAATTGCCTGCTTTTCAGCACAATGAGCAGGCACTGGGATGAGCTTATCCGTCATGCCTTCATTTCTATTTCTGCCCTCAACCCTCACAGACCATCCTGGGGCTCTGCAAAGGACCTGGAAAGACCTGCAAAGAGTGGCTGCGCAGCCACCCAGCTGCCGAGGGACCTTCAGCAAGGACAGCTGCAGCATTGGAGTCCTTCAGGTCCCACTGAAACGCAACCAGGGATAGGGAGGGATGAGCAGTGATAGAGAAATAAAGCTTGGGTGATGCAGGGTGCTGAGTGTGAAAGTATTGCAGACAGCTTCAGTATTGTGTCATCTCACAGTCCGTCCAGGATGAGCAATAGTCTGGGCCCAAAGGGGTTGGTTCTCTTTGCATCACAATCTTCCAATGAGTGGTTGGACCAGGAGACCTCGCTTTGAGCACAAGTTCACCTGTGAGGCATTTCTGGCACGTCTCTCTTGATTAGTTTGTGTTGGGGTTTTCTTTTTCTGGCTGTCAGTAAAAAAAAAAAAAAGAAGGAAGAAGGAAGAATGTTCTCCCACTCAACAAATGCAGTTATAAAAGCTTTCCTAATGGTTACAATGGGACTGATTTGTTCAGTGGATTTATTTGACAGCACCTGTTAGGGATACCAAGGAAGTGATTGAGCTGTAATGGATTGATTGCTGTTTGTTCAAGTGGGATATTGTAGATTACATTTTGCACTAACATTTGAATACTGCAGCACTGCTCAGAGTCAGAAGCAGAAGCTCACAAGTCAGGAATGGCTGCTTCTGTTCCTCTGGGCAGTTCTACTGCAGCAGAAAGCAGGGATGAACTCTCAAGCTTGGGGCAATAGGAATGCATGGCTGGAAGTCTGCTAGAGAGCACGTTGGCAGCTAAATTCTCCTTTTTGTGCTTTTCATTGACATGGTGTCTGAACGGCAGCTGCTCAAATCATGCTGGAGCTGATAAATTCCCATAAAGGGAATGACAGAAACGCCACCTGAGATTAAACCCCTCCTTGCTCAAGCACACAGCTGGATGGAGCTGTGGTTTGTACAGCTCACAGACACAAGTGCTTTTTTTTATCTCTAGAGCAGTTGCTGTAACAGGATGTAGCAGCAAAACGTGCTCACAGCCATGTTCTCCTGCAGCATCTCTGCATGACAGAAGGCAAAACAGCAGAGCTCGTTTTTAGAATAGTCCGTGTCTCACCTTGGCACTCCTTTGCTTCTTCCCTCTGAGCCACCTCAAAAGCTTTCTACCCGTTCTTTGCTGTGGGAACTGAGCGCTGGGGAAGCTGTCTTTCAGTAACTGAAAAGCAGGAATAACTGATCTCTTCCAAAAGCGCTCTCAGAGAGGAGCTTAGTGTTCCTGTTAGAAGAGAATGCAAACAGACTCCAAACAGTCTGACCTTCAGCCAGCCAGGTACAGAAAGACCAGAAGCAGATGACAAGTGTGAATCTTGTGAAATCCAATTGATTTGGCACTTCTGTGGTTCAGGCGTTTTCCCCAAAATACTTTAAACTGTTGTTTGTTAATTTCTAGTATTCCCAAGACTTGAAGCAAAGAACTAATTGTGGTTACAAAATGGGGATTAATTAAGAACACGGGGAGTTGGAAATGCAAAAGGTTGCCTGTTCTCGTTAATACCCTTATTCCACTTGTTTCAAATGAGCAGTGCCACCTCCCATGGTAACAGGAATGAAGAGGATCACAAGAGCAGCAGTGAGGTGCAGAACTTGGCTTCAGACAGTGGCTCCTGGAGAGCGTTCTCTCAAATCTGCACACAGGAAGGCAGACAAATCCAGTCCTCTTCACGGTGTCACAGGGAACTGATCTCCCCTGAAATAACTCCTTAGTGTCTCCTCTTTAGTCTCACAAGGTTTTCTTCTCAATCTATTCAGCATCCCAAATATGTGTTTCTTTTCTTCTCATCCCTTTGTCAGCTGGCAGAAGGGAAGTGCTGTTGGTGGTGGTGCTGGAACAGTTCTTTGGTGGCCAAGTTTGATGATGATTTCTTCCCAGAAGGATGTGCAAGTCTTTGTGAAGACAAGTCTAGTGGTTTGCTAGGCTGTAAGGGGTCTGTCCCTCTATTATTTGGGCTGCACTGGGATATAAAAGCTCACAGAGATGATTTCTTCCTCTTCATGTGTCCCTGCAACCCTGAAGTGGTCAGGCCTTAGTTTTGAGGGGTGTCTCTTGCTGTTGAACACATTTGGGAGCTCTGACAATTGAATCATATATTAAATACATGTTAAAGACGTTTTATCTTTAGAATTCAAGGAGTGGGCACTGATAGTGTTAATATATTGAATCAGAGGAAGGAACTGAAAGGCTTTCTCCAAAAAACTGCAAACTGAGCCATTAATAACTTTTAGTTTGTTTTCCCTTGGTGGCAGATGAAAACTCAAAGGGCGCTGCTCCTCCTTGCTCCATCACAGACGTACTGCTTAATCTTGATGTACCCCTTGGAAGGCAGGGGATATTTAGCTGCTCCTAAAAGGCAAAGAGAACCATTTTGAAGTACCCTATAAAAATTTGTTCTCATAAAGGCAGACAGTGCAGACTCTGTTCTTGACAGGTTTATAGCAAACAGGTTTGTAGCTGTAGGTTTTGCAAGCAGCCATCCCAATCACACAGCCGTTACACAAGGAAAACTGCCAGTGAAAGCAGTGGAAGTTTTTCCTACGTTGTATTAATAATGTTTGATTCTGGAAGAGTGGCTACACAAAGAACAGTCACGTGGATTTAGGAGAATTTAGCTTCCTGTTTCCTCTGTCCTACCTGCTGGTGGTTGAACCCATGCCTTAAAGCCACCCATCCAAAGTTTCAGTCTGGCATGGGAGACAGTAAAGGACAAGAGGCTGTAATCTGCACCGGGAGAATGACACTAAAGAGCACAGCTCTCACTGAATGACCCACTAAAAGAGAGAGGGCAGTTTGATTTCTGGCAGTGCAGAAGTGGGTGTTGTGATGTAAGGAGGAGAGTTATGCCCTCATAACCCAGGCGTTATCTTGGAAGCTGTTATCACTCTTCAGCCACCACATCATTTCCTCCTTTCAGCACGTACAGTCATTTCCATCAGCAAAATGGGAGCGGAGGGAGATATGAGCCATTGCCCCAGAGTAAGTGCTTGGGATCAGTACAAGTCTCATAAATGATGAGTCTTCTTGAGCAGTCTGAGATGAGGCACAGGACAGGAGCTGCAGGAAAAGTCATTTTGCGAATGGTGCAGCAAGAACTCATTCCAACTCACTGGAACTAGCCAGGTTCATGCTTATTTCCTGTGCCATTGAGCATAAGTCATGATTTGGTTTCCTGGTCTGAGATTTGGTAAGAGATGTTACCTGTGCTACGGGCAGGTAAGGAAGAGGAGGAGCTGGGGATGCCCTTCAGAGAATGCTGAAGCGTGCTCTGCACCCCAGAGCTTAGCTGGTGAAAACTGATCTCATTCCATGAAGCTGAAAATCTGGTCTGTTTTGGTAACATTTGACTTCCAGATCTCATTATTCCTGGAGGAAGAAGGGGAGAGGAGGGGTGATGGGTCTTTGTCAGAGTCACAGGGGAGGAGTCTCCCCCTGCTGCAGGCACAGTTACACCATCCGGATACGGAGAGTTCATCTCATCTCAGAGTCCTCATTTGCAGAAACTGAGCTCCTCTAAAACTTCTCCATCATCCTGACTTGATCAGTGTTGCATCGCTGGTGGACTGCTGTAGTTCATGATGTCAGATTTCTGGGTCTTCCAGGTGCTTCAGTACATTAATGCAGCCTTTATTTTGGGGCATCTCTTTTCCTCTGAGGTCTAAGAGATTATGTTCAAACCATTTCCCAGCTACAATTACGTGCCTGGTGTATTCCAGGCCTTTAAGACGTTCCTTATAACATCTAATTTAAGTACCTTCTACTTGACTTAGCACAGGCAGATAAGTATTTGATTACAGCCACTGTAGGAGTAAGTGGCATGTTTAGTGACATGGCTGGAAAGGCTCAGTGTTCACACACCACGTAGCTAAAGCTCTCCATCATAGTGCTCTTGGAACTGGCAGAGGTGGGTTGAGAGGAAAACTCTGTGAGTTTCTCAGCAATGCACAACTCCAAACAGAAAAACAGTGCTCACCCAGAACTGCCAACATCAACGTGTGCCCACAAAAGGTATCAAAGTTTGGTGGAGAAAAACACAGAGGGAAGTAATGGCATTGGTGTGAAACTGGCCTGAGCCCCCAGTTACAGCGGTGAGAAGGATTTGATCAGTGAGCTGTGGCTGAAAGGTGATTGTGTGTAAAAATTGCTGTCTTGCTCAAGTGTCACTGAAATTCAAGCAGAACTTTTACCAGTCGAGCTGGTGAATTATTCAATCCAAAGAATTGCAGTTGTGCAAAGGGATGACTTAGAAGCAAAGCCTATTACCTCTGGCTGAATCATGCTCTAATCCTTATTCCATCAGTTATTCAGAGCAGGAATAGAAACATTAAAGAGGAATAATGCAAGAGACATTGAGAGTCTTTTCAAAGTAACTTCAGCTCCACAAAGTTTTCCACAAATATAACTTGTTGCAGATGTCAAATCTACATTTTTTATTAATCCATTTAAATTCCAGCTTCTGAATTACTGGTCATGTTCACTGTCTTCTGTTCAGGAGAAGGTTGTTTCCAAAGAATGAATACTGGAGAATTGTGTTTCTGTGGCAACTCGAGCCAGTCACAGCCTCTTTCAAGGTTTGCTTGATGTTCTGATGGTTCTCATGATGGAATCCTCTCTTCCACTGGCTTTTGCATGCACTCCAACTCCAGCACCATTCCTCTGGCTGAGCAGTGTGAGGTTGCTGGGTCTTTGCCAAAAGCTTCCAGAAAACTCTGGGGAAAACAGGAAATTTTGGCAAAACCAAATGTCCTCTATCAGGCAGCACTCTGACAAGTGGGAGAAACTCCAAGCCTTCCAGCTTGGCCAAAATGCCTGCATTTGAGTTGATAATCAGCGTAGCTTGGGAGCCCTGCCATCAGCCAGACCTTGCCACCGTATGGAAGCAGAAAGCTGCATGGGTTTTGAGGCAGTATCCATGACTGAGGATTTTTGGAAAGCAGAAATGGAGGCATTTGAGTTTCTTCCCTTAAACTTGTGTTTGTCAGAAGGAAATCCTGCAGATGGTTCACTGGTGATGCCAAGATGAGGAAACTCTTGATGTTAATTGAAAATCGTTCCATCACTCTGTGAATTGATGGCTCCTCCAGCTGACTGATAGATCCACCTGATTGCTGTTACTGTCTATAATCAAATTGTCCCAAATTGGTGGTATAAATATTTGGGTTGTGTCCTCCAGTGACTCAAAGCACCATCAGTTACAAGAGGGGAGAAGTCACCTTAGCACAGTGATAAACCTAACCCACTGTTTTCATTTCCTTATAACAAGCATGAATTTGTTTGCTTTGGTTACAGGAGCACTTTTCCATTCCTTTTGTTTTGCTGTTCCTCCTGCACTTTGTTCTGACAAAGAATCAAGCAGCTGTTTATTTGTCTTCAAAGATTTTATTGTCCATTGCAATGTAGAAGTTCCCAGCACACCCAGCAGAAGCATTCAGCTCTTTGCACAGCAGATGGAAACAGGCTTTTGAGAAGTAGAATTGCTCAATTTTCCCACTAGGATGCCTTCACAGCTTGGAAATAGCAGGGAATTTTGCTTGCTGTTCTGTCGGTGATGGTTCAGTAAGATTCCAACCACTGAGGTCATCATCTAGTTCATCTATGACTGCTCCATGCCATGTCACCCAGTGCCACTTCTACCCCAAGCACTGACCACCACAGGTCGATTGTAGCGGCCATAGGGGTTTCAGAACACAGCAAACCAAGAGATCCAGCAGTCCTTCCCAGCCAGTCTGTTGCGTTCTTGTTTCTCTTCACCTTGTCCAACGCTGTGCTCGTTTCCTTCTTTAGCACCAAGCTCTGCTGTGGGGCAGCAAAAGATTTGTACTTTTGGGGAGAGCGTCTTAACAGCCGGTCCACGAGACCCTGGATGGTTATTTTAATTAACTGATCTGTTCAAAACATCAAGAGCTTGTTGAGCCATCTGGACTGATTAAAGTTGCATATTGCATTACTGACGTGCTGATTAAATCCTTCATTTTGCTCCAAGTCCTAAGTGCCTCCAAATGTTGCCACTCAGAGGCTGCTTCACGCAATTGGGCAGGAGCTCTGTGTTCTGCACTGTGCTTCCAGCTTTGGAGATCTGCAGACTGCTCTGTAGGAGGGTCTTGGCTGTAGTTACTTCTAACGTAGGGCTTGAACAGGACATCTGAATCAGAAAGGGCAGCTTCTGCCTTTAGCACGTAACAATAATTACCACTGCAGAGGAGGTTTTCTCTCCCTCCTGTGCCCTGACACGAAGGACACATTCCTAACATCTGCATCAGAAGGGTTTATCTTATCGTGGAAATCACCCTACAGATAAATGTCTGGTTATTTGCAACAACATACTGCTGGTTTTAATTTGGTTTATGAACTTAAAACCTTGTGGACTTCCAGTTTTATATGGGACTGATCAATGCACATTTAAATACTGCCTCGTCTTCCAGCCAACACACTCAGCAGTTGTTGCTCCAGTTACTTTATCTCGATACAAATGAGACGTTTGCTTTTACAAGGAAGCTGAGGCACAGGGAGGGTGTGTAATTTAACTGAGAACAGGGAGTTGAACTGAGTCAAGGAATCTCCTGCTTGGGAGTCTGTCACCAGAGCAGATCACCTCCTCCTTTACCCTCATGGCACTCAGAGTCTAGTCTTGTCACTCTGCATTTAAACATGCATTTCTCAGGGGTAAAGTGGTCCAGGAGCACAGCCATGTAGGGGGATTTCCAGAGAATACCACATTCTTCAGACCTGTCCCTTTCAGCCTGTTGGAGCTGAAGCCAGATCTCATGGCGGCGGTGGCTTTTGGGATAGAGGACTGGATTGAGCTGGGCTCCCCCTAGCTTTCCCCTAACTGCACTCCTCCTGTTGCTTGTAGGTCAGCGGCCACCTGGACTACATGAAGCAAATGGACACGATTCTAAAAGCTGTGGGCATTAAAACCAAGGAATGTCAGCAGGAGGAGAAGGGCAGCACCAGACTTTTCTCCCCTCTAGCCAAGAAATCACAACGAGCAGCAGGCAGTGAGACTCAGGAAGAGGAAAACACTGTGCAGGAGGAGGATGGAGCTGACAGTGACTGCCAAGCACCCACAACCAACACCAGCGTGAGCTCTGCACTGACACAGCCTGCGAGTGCTGGCACGAGCAGCGATGGCAGCCTGCACCCAGGAGATGAATCCTTGGCCAGCTGTGCTCACCGACAGGATTCCCCTGGATCTCTCTCTGCAGAGAGTTCACCTCCCTGCCCAGCTTGCCCCAGCAGTGCAAAGCAGGCAGCAGGTGATAACACAGACTGAACTGAACCTCCAAACCTCTCCTTGCAGCTGCCACGTGCATTGTGCCCAGCATCAGCTGCACGGAGCCGTCCTCAGCCTCCTGCCCTACACAGTCTGCAGAGCTTCGTGAATTGCTGCCCTGCAGCTCCCAAGGCTGCCGTGTGGCTGGGTGGGAGGCAGCAGAACCATCAGCAAGCCCACACTTTGCCTGGCCTGCATGGAGGCCAGTTGCAGCTCTTTGTGACGGGCAGGGATGCGCAGCACTAAAACTACTCTCAGAGCACAATCAGTAAAACCCACAGAGCTGAGCTGCAGCTTTCAGACCCTGCTGAGGGCCCAGCACATGGCATCACAGTATCACAGCTCTCACAGCAATTTCCCACAGCATCTCCCACTGACAAGAAAAGGCCGATTCTGGCCCAAATCAGTATAGTTCCTCAGGAAGCAGTGGCAATCCCCTCATTGCACAAGCTCTTTTATTCTTGAGGGAAGCAGCTGCCACCATTATCTTTCTGGTACCTAGCTCTTGGGAAAGCAGGTGGCTCTGTGGGTATCTTTAAGCATATTGTGGAGGGGGACTCATTAGTAGGTCATTAAAAGCATTTTTCCACTTCAGCTCTGCTAAGCAGGGGGGCGAAAGGCTGAGAGCCTCTGGCTGCCCTCCCCACTCTGCTGCAGGTTTGCTACCATGGCTCTGACACTTTCCAACCAACAAGGTTGTTTCCCTTCCTGCAAACTGAAGGTGATGAGTGTCTGAGACCTCGTTACCACTAGGAACATGCTTTGAGTCCCATAGGTGAAGGACAGCCAAAAACAGAATGGGCTTTTTATGACTTAGTGCTTCGTGAAGCTTTTTCCCTTGCAAGCCAGCAACACATGGAGACTTTCTTCTTGCCATCCCACACACATCTCCAGCCTTAAAAGCCCCCTCTAGTCATATTTTTAATTGGTTTAAAATAAAGCTAATACTTGGCATAGAATAAACATGAACCTGTTTGATTTCTCCCTCCTTCCATAAAGTGAATTGACATCCGCTCCCTTTTTGCCCAGTCTCAACCTGGAGGGACTCAGCTTTACACAAGTTCCTTTTCTGACTGATTTTTCTCCTCAGCCCAAGAAAATGCAACCTAGCAAGAACGTGGCAAGAGGATAAACTCCCTCCTGTGAGCACGTCTGGGTTTTTCAGCATTAAAACAAGTGCTGTGTGCTATGAATACCTTCCCACCTCCCGATCTGGAATGTTTCATTGACTCAGTGCAATTGTAGCTTGTGATTTTGATTCACTTGCAGCCCTGCCTGTGCCAGCAACCTCCCGAGCTTTCATACACCTTACCTCTGGATTATTTCTCATGCAGTCGAACACACAGCACAGCAACACAGGAAGACAGTGAATGAGACTTCGCCTGGCGTGCGGTTTTCTTCTCCTGGCCTCCTGTGTTGGAGGGATGCTTGGGGTTCACTTGTACAAGTGTGGGCTTCAGGAGGGCAGCCGAAACCTCCTGGTGGAGTACCAGTCCAGGAAGGGCACAGCAACAGCCGACCAACCCATCTCTGATCTGAAAGGCACTTGAGGAAGTATTAGCAGAAAAAAGTTGTTGGTGTTTATTAAGTGCCTGCTGACTGCATTGGAAAAAAAAAAGATTTCTAACAGCATCATCTTCAAATTGATGGGTTGTCAGAGCAAAGTGTGATGGCTGTATGCCAGAAATAGGAAGCTGTGGGATGAAAGCTAAAGGGAAGCTTATTTCGTTCCTTACTACTGTCAGGATACCCGTGGAGCTACAAACAGGCTGAACACCCACACCCGTGTGGAGTATCCAGAAAGCAGCGTTGAGCATTTTGCATCAGATTTAATCCCCCATAGAGCAGCCTGCTCGTGATTACATGGGATGGTTTCAGCATGCTGCAAGTCACTGCTTTCACAGGAAACTGACAGATACAGCCCAGATCAGGCGAGAAGATTAAGTCCCCAGGGGACATGATGTGCTGAGGACTGGAGCAGCCCCGAATCTTGCCCGTGAGTCACGGGACGTGCTTCCCATCTGTTTTTCTCCCCTTGATGTGAGTTAGGGGCGACCTGCTGGGCTGTACAAGCAGAAGCTGAGCTCCTCCCCTGGGCGCAGTAGACATACCCAGGCTGGCCCTCAGGCCTCAGGGGTGCCGAGCTGCCGGCGCTGCAGCTCCAGCTCTGGGTTTTCCATCTCAAAAAGGCCGACCAAGCGAGCAGTGGGGGCAGGCAGGGCGCCTTCAGCTGCTGGCAGCAGGCTGTGTTCATTTGCCACAGCCTCGGAGACAACGGAGTCGGTCTCAGCCTGCAAAGCGAAGACATTCTTGAGGGATGTGGCCACACGGGGCCCGCTGTTGGAGTTCCTCATGGAGAGAGAGATGGCGCTGGGCCGGGGCTCCCCGGTGCGCCGGCAGCAGGGCAGGTATTTGCCCATGGCTCTCTTGAAGTCCCTCATGAAGAGCGGGTAGATGATGGGGTTCATGGTGCTGTTGCAGTAGCCCAGCCAGGTGAGCACGTCAAAGAAGCCAGCAGGGACACAGTCACACACTGCCTGGGGGGGACAGCAAGGTCAGCGGCGACTGCCACTGGAAAAAAAAGCTCGCTCTGCCAAAAGAAAACCCAAGAACTTGCTTACCTGTGTCACATTGGTGACAAAGAAGGGGAGCCAGGCCACGAAGAACATGCCCAGCAGGATGCCCAGTGTCAGGCTGGCCTTCAGCGCCTTCTTGCTGTGCTTGTTTGCAAACCTCCTGCTCTCGCTACCAGCTGCAGGCTGACTTGGGGCATGGGGAACCTGCAGTGGGAGTTGGGGTGGTGAGTAAGAACTTCTCCCCAGGCCGGACCCTCCTGCCCAAGGGAAGTGGCATTTGGTGCTGCAAATCCTGCAAGAAAATCCCACTCTTACATCCCTTCTGGCAGAGGCGGGAGGACGGCCCACCCCACCACCTCTGTACCATAAATCAGGAAGAGGAAGCAATAGAAAACCTCAACACTGACAAGATTATTTTTTCCCCTGTAAAACAGGAGCTTTATCATTAAGTTACACAGGAAACCCAGCTCGGTCAGTGCTTTGGTGAGAGTAGAGTGTGCCCCGAAGAGGCAGCTCTGGCTGCTGAGTAGAGCAGCAAAATAATCATATTTTTAAAGTGGGACATCAAGCATTTCAGCCTACAAACACCGTCACTAACTCAGTTCTCTGTCCCTTCTTGCAATCTAGAATTCATTAGTATCTCAGCTTTGCCACAATTAGGTGAGGCCCTATTGCCACTCAGCTTCCTGCCCAAAAAGAGAACAAGAATCCATTTAAAAGCTGACACTGCATTTTCAGCCGGCCACTCACCTGAGCTGATGTGAGGCTCCTATCAACAACCTACAACCTGCACCCTGCTGGGACGTTTGCCTCATTTCAATTCAGCTGAAAAGTTGGTGGGTGCAGGCTCCCCGTGGCAGAGGAAAGCACCTGGGCATCCCCCAGCAGTACAGCAGTGGGGCCATCAGGCTGTGATGGGTTTGGTTGGGTTGAGTTGAATTTGGTTGAATTGGGCTTGGCGTGGTTGGGTTTGGTTTGCTCCATGGAGCCCAAAAACCCGTCACCCAGGGGAAAAGAAAACAAACATGTTTTGATATTGCCTGCCTCTCCTTTGATTCTCATTTTCCTTTTCAGAGCCTGGTGCAGCTCATCGTGCGCAGGAGGGCTGGCTAGGTCTGAGTCCTGCCTCCTTTCTTAAAAGAGAACAACAAACCAAATCAAGGTACTTCAATGCAATTAAGTTTGTCTTTTCCTGTAGGATATGAGGTCAATAAAGCCTATTAGAAGGAATTAAAGCTGTTAGATTTAGTGGCAATTACCTTCTCCTGGAGATATACAGACAGCCCCAGCTGCAGCCACGCTTTGGCTGCAGGAACACACGTGCTGCTGCTTAACCAGCAAGCTCAAGTAAAGAGCTATCTTGCAGTTCCTATTGTAGGCCAGGTAACAAAAACAGAACCTGGATGTGCAAAATAAGGTGCCCTCCAGAATTTCCTATTTGCTGTTTAAGCTCCTTCTCCCCCATACGGCTCACACCCACCACAGTCAAGATTTGCTAGTTGAAAGATAAGATTAAAGCCCTCTGGGATGACACGAGAGGGAGCGAAAGCAGCATTTATTTTGTACCACTGAGCATTTTTGCATCTGAATTTATTTCTCTGCTTCTGCTCATGCTGTTCCTGTGCTCCTGAGCAGCTTCAACGCTCAGCATCACTGGGATGAACGTGGGCACCACCGCAGAGCCACCGTCCTCCCTCTATGGAGGTGGTTGTTGCCCCAGATCCCCACTCTTATCCGGGAGAACAGGAGATGCTGCTGATGGCTGGCAGCGGTGGATTTGCTGCTTGCAGGCTGCAGGAGTGTGATGAGGGCTGTGTGCTCCTGTCCCATCACAGATGCATGGCTCCCCACTGCACACCTCCTCTCCACAAGGAGCCCACCTGCGTTCTGGGGCTGTGACACGGTGCATGGGAACAAGGCACATGCTGGAGCCCCCCATACTCAGATTCAAGCTGCGTGGGCTTCCCAGCCTTCCCTGCTCCCTGGCTCCTGCAGAGGACGCCGTCACCATTTCCCCACCGCCCCCCCAGCTGCAGCCCTTCACCTGCTCCATGCTCTCGGTGGTGGTGGCAGTGGCCACGTTGGAGGCGAGGGAAGCCACCTGCACGGCTTGCTTGCGAGCTGCCAGGAGGATGCGGCAGTAGGTGAAGGAGATGGCGGCGGATGGGAGGAAGAAAGTCAGGCAGGAGGCCACCAGGGCGTAAGGCAAGCTGACCACCAGCCGGCACTGCTCCTCGTCCCCCCGGGAGGTGACATTTGGAGACCAAACCTCGAATTCCAGCTTGTGCCAGCCCAGTTTGATGGGCAGGAAGGAGGCCAGAGCAGCCAAGGTCCAGGTGGCCAGGATGAGCCAGAGGGCCCTGCAGGATGTCATGCGCAGCTTGTATTTCAGAGGGGAGATGATGAGCAGGTAGCGGTCCAAGCTGATGACGCAGAGGTTGAGGATGGAGGCGCTGCAGCACATGACGTCGAAGGCGTACCAGAGGGAGCAGAAGTCTCCCCTCAGCACCCAGTGGCCGTAGAGCTGATTGAGCATGGCGGGGGGCATCACCACCAGCCCCACCATCAGGTCGGACATGAAGAGGGACACCAGGAAATAGTTGGAGGTGTTGCGGAGGGAGCGCTGGGTGACGATGAGGAGGATGAGGAGGGAGTTCCCGGCTGTGGTCAGCAGGATGATGAAGCAGAGGAAGGCGGCCATCCAGCTGCTCCCCACCAGCAGTGAGCGCCCCCCCAGCACGCTGGCATTGGGGGATCCCAAAATGCCCTCCATGAGGAGCGGGGCAGCGGGGCTGGCTCTGCAGCCGAGGACCTTCTCCACCTGTGCTAGGTGATCATGGCAGGCGCCGGCTCCAGGGGAGGGAGCTCCATCTCTCCGGCTGTCCTCCTTGCTGCTCTCTTCTCCCTCTCTTCCCCTGCTCTCTCTCTTCACTGGCAATCAAGGCAGTGACATTTCCAGGAGCCGATGAGCAGCGAGGTTCTCCTCCCTGTTACTCACAGCCAGGCTTCTGCTCGTCCCTGCAAATCCCCTCCGTGCCGGGATGTGCCCGGACAGCACTGCTGGACGCCGAGGATGCCGTGGGCACCGGGGGAGCTCTGGACAGGAGGACACGCCGGACTCTGTGATGCTCTGCACCAGGGAGTCAGACGGACCACGCAGCGCTGGGGATGCTCAGCTCTCAGCTCTCCGCTGCCTTCGTCCACCTGCAGGGCTCTGCCCCACCGACCTCCTCCGTGCCTGAGCTTTGCTGCTGCAGCCGGAGACGGCGAGGAGAGGCAGAGCAGCCCTGGGCGCGGGGATGCTCCCAGCCACGCTCAGACGCGGGGAGGAAGATGCAGGAGCACGGGAAGCTGCCCGGCGGTGCCTGGCCCCCGGCAGAGGTGCGTCGGGCGTGCGGGGATGTGCGTGAACGGTGTGCGTGCAGCAGCCAGCCAGACTTTTACCTGCTGCTCTGCGATGCACAGCGCAGGATGCAGAAATGCCGATACGGAGGAGGTGGGGCGGAGGGGAGAGGAGGAGATGCAGTGAATTGCTAATGAACACGGGGATTTGGGCTAAACTCTGCGAAGTGGCAGCCAGAGAGTTCCCTTCTGTGCCTTAAAGACACAGTCCGCACCGTGCTCTGCCTCCCCCCTGCTGTGCAGACCCCATGCTCACTTTGCAGGCCAACAGCACTCTGCGGCTGAGCCCGACTGCCAGTGCTGAGTGCAAGGTTCTGTCCTCAGTGCCGGCTGATGAGAGCAAAATTTTGCATAACCAGATACAAAGCAACAAAGCCTGCATCCAGTACCTGCAGCTGCCCTCTCAAACAGCAGCCAGAGGCAGGCAGGGGGCTGGGTGGGCCCAGGGCGACTTGTCCCTTCGGCAGCAAGGCCGAGGACCCTACGTGCTCCAGCAGCTCCTCCATGCCATCTTCCAGAAGATGCTTCCAAATCTCGAGGTGCCATCGTGCAACCTGAGCTCCCACCTCCACCTTTCACAGTCAGTACCTCGAGGAGCTTGGCAGACACTGATCGTTTTCTTCTCGTTGCTGACAGGGTTTGTCCTTCAAACGGGCTCAGGTCCCACTGAGGGCACCGCAGACGCCGGCACCGACCCCAGTGCTGATGGAGAGATGGGACAATGGGACACCCCTGCATCTCCGTGGCCAGAGCAGCAGTGAGTTGTGAGGATGTGCCTGTTTGACCCTAACACACTGCCTGTGATACCAGTGGGAAACAAGAACATGAATGAAGGGAAGGAACAGAACTTTGTCTCTTTATCGAGATCTGCTTCGCTAATCTGCTTTTCAACAACTGTCCCACTTTTCCTAGCAGCTGAATGGGAGTGCCTGGCCTGGATGCCATCTGCGAGCAAGACAGAAGGGAGATGCACAGCAGGACTCATCTGTGTGTGTGAGGAACACGGTGCTCCCCCCAGCAGTGTGCCACTCCATAGCTGCTCTCCTGGGAGGATGAGCTCCCCTGGGTGCCTGCGCGTGGCTTCTGCCCCTCTGCATCTGCAGGATCTCCTCCTGGGACGCTCCCATGCAAACCTCCCCAGCCGGCCCTGCGTCACGCTGTCCTGGCAGGCAGCCCGGGGCAGAGCACACACACGCGAGGCTCTGATCGCAGCAGGAGGTTGCTTTAGAAATGCGTTTGTACCAGGAAAGCCTCACTTCCTCGTCCCATCTGTGCTGGGAACAAGCAAGGAAACCCACCCTGAGCCCACGCTGTGGCGGCCTCCCAGCTGGGATAAATCACTGCAGCGGCACACGTTTATCCCAGCTGGGCCTCGCTGCTGCTCCAATGCCCCGCTTCCTTCTCAGCACCGCTGCACCCCAAGCTTGGAGCATCTCAGCTTCACCGCAGAGCTTCTGCTCCAGAGAAGACTGAACAAAGCCTGAGCACCTGAGCATGCTGCATTCCCTCCAGCAACTGGAACCTTACGTGAAGTCCTGGTCCAAGCTTGTCTTCCTCCGGCCCAGAAGCGCTCCTGGAAGCTGCAAAACGTGCTGAATCGAGAGTGTCACCTAGTGGCAACAGAACCGACCGAGGTCGCACGAACCCGCAGGGAGCCCGTGCACAGCCTACGAGAATGGGACCAGAACTGCAGACACGGGCCAGGTGCTGCATCCCTGCGGTTGGTTTTCCTTTCAGCAGCTCTCCCTGCTCTTGAAGGGAAGGCAGCAGAAAGCTTAAGGGAACCGTGGCTCTCCTTGTGCTCTCCTGCTGCACTGCCTGGTTCTGACATCCAGCTTGCTGCTGAAAACCAGACAGGCATCAGAGCGCCCAGAAATGGAAGTCAGAACTAATTTATTTAAGAAAACAAAACCAAAAACCAACAAAGAACACAAACCAAAACTTGTACAAAGGAGAGGGAGGCGTCGGTTACAAGCTCTGGAAGCTTTTGTCAGGACAGTGCCAAAGAAATTAGCTTTATACAACAGAGAGAGGGGTAGCAGGAGGGGCCCCCACGCTGAGCCCAGCCCCGCATCTGCAGTGGGGTCCAGAGCAGTCCCTACAAAGGTCCATCAGCATCCCGGGACTTGTCCCCCTTCTCCCTCCACCACAATTAAAGTGCAGCAGGGAAGGAGGGGAGAGGGGCCAGCTCCCACCAACACCACCCCAGCACAGGCTGTGAAATGTGAAGCCGCAGTGCCCGCGGCACAGTGCAGCTCCCTCACCCTTGCGAGCTATGTGGTGGCCCTGAGGACCAGCAAGGAAAGGGCTCTGGCCACCACGGCTCCCAGCAACCTCACACACAGCCACAGAGGCACAGCCAGGGCAAAATGCTCCCTGTGAGTTACCTCACACAAAGGCACGGGGGTTGAAGTAGGACCCAGCGAGCGCCAGGAGGAACAGCGCGCCCATGCCGAGCCCAGGCACCCCAAGGCAGTCAGGGGAAGCACGAGGAAGAAGGGAGACCCCCATCCCACAGAAGAGATGTGCATCCCTTGTGTGGCTGCAGGGAAGCCGCGCCCTTCTTCCTCCAGACCAGGCAAGAGCCACGTACAGAAGAAAAGCCCAGAGGGCTCATCGAGGGCTCCACAGCAGGCTGAGGATCCTGCAGACAGCCCTGGGGAGCCCGGCTCGGCTCCCACTCTCTGCCAAAGCCCCCTCTGCCCACGTCCCCGCTCCTCTCAATATATTATTACTATGATGTGCAAGTAGTTTTGCATCAGAAACCCCCAGCCCTCCTGTGGCCCCGCTGCTCCAGCCCCACGTCCTGCCCGTGCCTCAAACCGCTCCTCCAGCCCCAGGGTGTCGTGGAGAGCAAAGCGTGAGGGTAGCTATTAGACAGGAAAGCCTCTACCACCCCCCTCCCTTCCCAAGGCCCGGCCCTCTCCCTCGCACACACTGCCTGCCCGCGTTGCAAGGACAGTCCGCGAGGGCCGGGTCACTCGTCGCCCTCCTCCTCGTGGTGGTGGTGGCTGGAAGCGGGGGGCTCTTCTACCTCCTGCTGGTGGTGGGCATAGTGGTGGGGGCCGGGGCCCTCTGCGGCCATGTTCTCCTCCGCGTTCAAGTAGACGTTGAACAGGGCTCCCTCGTGGCTCGGCTCCTTGCCGCAAGCCTGGCAGCTGCAGTGAAGTATCTTCTCCACCAGCTTGTCAACCCTGGGGATCTCGTCGTTGCCTGGGCAGTCCAGTGTCACCTGGGGAGAGGGACGAGGATACAGTGAGCGCGTGGGCTTGATCCCAATGGCCATCTTGACCTGCCCCATGCACAGCAGACTCAGGGTATTTTAAGCTAGAAATCGTGGCTTGCTACCCAAATAGTCATGGTCACAACACGAGGGTGCTTGGGAACATCTTGCAGCTGCAGAGGCGCTGTACCAGCTGGGGAAATGAAATGGCTGAGGTGGGACCTGCCCCCAGGCACTGCAGGCTCAGCAACATCAGGGTAACTGCAGAAAGCACGGTGCCAATAATCTCAGCTAGTTTGGCTTGAGCCATCTGCCAAAATGACTGCGTCCAAAGCAAAGCAGAGAGCTGGAGGCAGTGCCCTGGTTGCCCAAACCTCCCTTGGAGACAGCGCTTATGGTCCTTCCAGGATCCATGTGGCAGGAAACAGATGCTGGGAGGTCTGGGGGTGACTGGCAGGAGGTGACTCTTAAGTCAGGAGCAGGTGACAAAGGGGAGTGGTGGAGAGCAGAGGCACGCAGGATGAATAATGCAGGGACTGGCAGAGGATGCTTCTTCCTACACCGACAAATGCACCGTGCATCACCACAGTCACTCTGCTCCCAGCAGCCCCTGCCACCCAAGCGTCTCAAGCCAGGGCAGAAACACCTGAGGCAGCCTGGAGGAAACTGCGAGCAGAGCAACCTCAGGGAAAGAGAATGACTTCCCCCAGAGAGGCGGCAGTGCAAAGCAGAGAGCAGAAAAGACAGAGGAGCAGGCAGGGATACTTACAATTTCCCACATGGACTGCGCCGGCATGCAGGAGTCGCAGTGAACCAGGGACTCTGTGGACTGAGGGAAGGTGTTGGGGACACTGTAGCTGAAACACTGCCCCAGGCAGGCCCTGTGGAGACAGCGGGACGGAGGAGGGCTCAGGGTGGCCGCCTGCTCTTCCCGACGAAGGCAGGGAGAGGTTTGGCAGGTAGGATCCCTACCTGTTCTGGATGGACTTGGACTCGCAGCCGCTGTGCCCCACGATCTGGGTGATGTTCTTGGCCTCACACCAAGCGCTCTTGTCCGGGAAAAGGGCGAGTTTGTTTATGGGAGGCGGCGCAGCCAGGAGAAGCGCTGGGAAGAGAGCTCCGACCACAAAGCGGAACATCATGGCCAGCTCTGCCGAAAATCTGCAACTGGAGCCAGGGAGCAAAGCGTTAGCAGGAGGGAAAACAGGCAAGCTGACCCATCTCCAGCCCCGCGGCAGCTCCTGGCGGGGGCGCGCACACGAAGCGCTGCTCAGGGAGCGGGACGCGCCGCTCTGCCTCTCCCCTGCAGCAAACCCTCTCTTCCGAGCTCCGTGCCAGGAGTAACAGCAGCCTTTCCACCACATCTTACCCAAGGACAGGCTGGAAGGAGTTTGCAAAACAAAAGCGTCGCCACCGCAGCCTGCGCCAGGTTGGAGAGCTCGCAGACCGCAGAAATGTTTGTGTTTGAGGAAGGCGCAGACTTGCCCGCTTCCGCTTCTCCCACCTTAAAAGCCAAAGCCACAAGACTTCCCAGCAGAGACAAACCGCTTTCCCAGGAAGGAAAACCGCTCTTCTCCTAGCAGCGCGCAGCAGGTGTCGCTGCAAGGCAGCGGGGAGACGAGGAAACCTCACTGCGGAGGCAGGAAAGCACAGAAACGGCCAAAGGAGCGCTGATGTTTACAGAGCCGTGCCCGTTCGGCGGCGCTGTCCGACGGTTCTTCTGCGGATGGGTCCGCAAACAAGGGGGGTCCCGTGCCCGCCTGGAGGAGCTTTGCTCGCAGCGGTGACGGCCGGGGAGGTGGCAGCACCCCGCAGAGATCCCTGCCAGCTTCCGTGCGGGCCGAGGTGCCGGCGTTAACTGGGGTCACTGGGGAAAGGCAGATGGAACAGCATCACAGGAACAGGGACATTTTTTCCTTCGTGGGGTTTGGATCGAGCCGCAGTGAAAGGCAGACGTTTGTACTTTCTAAAATATTTGTTAGACCCGTGTTATTTGTTATTTCCTTCTATTTGTTTATCCAGACAAAGATCCAAAGCCCACACTGGAAAGACTCCCATTGATTCCCATGGCTCCCAGGCCCAGCCCTCTAACGGAAAGGAAGAACGCCGTGTTTATCAGCCCGGGCCACTGGGGTCAGCTCTGCTTGGAGTCCTCCCAGCCGTGCACTCAGCCCTTCCGCGCCATCCTCATCAGCCTGAGGGCCACCAAGTTTGTCTGGACTGCTGAGGCTTTCAGAGCTCAGCTCTGCTGCTGTAAGGCCATTACAGGGGAGAGGGTCCAGCCCTGGTAGCCCTCTGCTGAGGCTGAGCTCCGGGTCTGACTCAGGAACCCTTCTTCACAAGGGACACAGAGCGAGCCGCCTCCCTGCCCTGCATCCCAACACAGCAAAGCCCCCCTCCCTGGCCCCACCATCTCTGAGCAGAGCAGGTCGGGGTCTCTGCTAACTTTTCTTACTTGCTGACCGTACAGGAACTGAAATGATATAATGTAGCACCACTTCTGTAGGCCTGGTCCGTGCAAAGCAGGCTGTGCAGGTTTTGCTTGGAGAGGAGCAGAAGGTTTCAGCCCCTGAACTCACGTCGCCGTTAATGAGAGCAGTGTGATTAAACTTTTGTCCTGCAGACAATTCTTAGGGCTCATTTCCCTCAGAATTCTTTCCGTTTCACTAGGCAAATTCTGAAATTTTCTGCTGAGGAAAACGCAGCTGAGCTGCACACACTGCGTTCGCTTGGTTTTCTGAAGCAAGCATCACTCATTCCTCAAATGCCAGCGGCTCTGTGCTGAGGAATCCCACTCCCAAAGGCAAGACCGAGATCAGAGCCGGGATGTGACCCAAACAGCAATTGCAAACCCCCTGGGGAACAGCTGAAATTCCTCAGGAGTCAGCACGCAAGTTCACTTCCACATGCCCGATTAGAAAGCAATTTCCTTCCTTGCAAAGAAGGTGGTGGCTGGTTTTTTTTCCAGGTTTCTCTGCATGTACACATGGCGGCAAAGAGGCAAGCAGCTCCAATGGAGCATCCTGCTGCAGCCTGGCTCAGCAGATACCAGGGATCACCTGGAGCACCTGGGATCCTGCCTCCAATCCCGAGAGGAAGGCGGGTGAGGTTGTGCTCTGCTAAAGCACAAACCCTGGCCTGGAGTCAGGAAAGCACTTAAGCACATGCTGAAGCCCTCTGCTTTCCTGAGCAAGGGTGCCTTCACGACCACGGCCCCAGCAGTGTGGGGCTGGTGCTGTTTGCAGAGGGGCTGCAGAGGCACCAGGCACATTTACAGCAGTGCAGCTGAGTTTGGGAGGGAGCTGGGGCTGGAAGCAGCCTGCTGGCGGCTGTGCCTCGTTCTCTGGCATCGTTTGAACCAGCCGAGCAAACAGAGCTGCCATGAAAACCATCCATCTGACAGCAGCCACAGGGCGGGGGACAAAAGCACCGCTTTCCTTCTCCTCCCTGGCTGCGAAGGGAAGCGAGAAAGGAAGACGAGGTATCCGAGCAGGTTTGCAAACCCACCATTAAATAAAGGCACTGAGCACATTCCTCAGTGACAAGCTAAATTACATGGTGCAACCCCTCAAGGAACAAGTGTGTGCTCCCCAGCACTGAACCCAAGCCTGGCCTGCCGGCAGGGCCAGCACCACCCTGAGCACAGGGCCTTTCTCCTCTCCACAGCAGGGCACGGATTTTTCTGGTCAAAGCTTTCCAAGCAGAAAGTTCAGCTCAGTTCTGCAGATCATCAGCCCTGAAGGTCTCCCCTCTTTGGAACTACAGCTTCCCCTGCCGCCCGTCCCCAGCTGCGTTCCTTCCCTCCCTCGCGGTGCCCAGGCTCTGCCCTGAAGACACCTGGGGTCGCTCCTGACCACCAGGATTCTGAAGCCAGAAGAAAAATGCTTCTCTCACAGCCCCGCATCCTCTCCCTGATGAAGGAGCAAAGAAATGACTCAGCCCTGGAGCCTGGCACATCCCGGACTCCGGAGACAAACAACATGCGTGCAGCTGCAGCCTCGGAACCCAAAGCCCTTTTTCCAGCCACAACCTGCACCCGCGGAGCCAAAGGGCAAAACATCCGCGGCCAAAGGGTGTCAGCTCACGGCAGAGCCTCCTGGGAGCTGGGGGTGTGGAGGTGGAGCTTTGGGCAGCCCTGAGGACTTTCCGAGCCCTGCAAGGAGAAGGAGAACGGTTCCAAGGATGCCTGGAAGCAGCTGGGAAATCTGCATCGTCCTGCCGGCCGGAGCGCAGCAATCACAGCAACTCCCTGCGAGGCCGAGCTCCCACCACCCAGCCCACAGCTGTTCCCAGCCATTTGGAAACTGAACACTTGGGGAGGGAAGTAGGAAAAAAAAAAAGATCTAATCAGTGTTACCCTGTTTTTCCAGAGGGGAGGTGTAGACTGTGATAGAAGACGAGCCTGCAGGTGGACGTGGGGAACGTTTCATGAGTGGTTTCACGTGTTTATGTGTGTTTTTCTCAGCCAGGATCTCGTAGTTTTGCCAAAGGCATAAAAATGGTGACACGGGTATGCGGTGCCCATGGCCACACACACGGCATCGCAGGCTGTGCGAGACAAGGAAGCCCTGAGCTTTATAAACATCGCCTAGCTGCGGCTCAGAGCCCGCTGTGCTGCATGGAAACAGAGTCGGCTCTTGGCCACAAAAACCAGAAAGCACCAGATCCTTTTGGGGCTCCATTGCTGTGCCAGCCGTGTCCCGAATTAACGTGAGCAATGACATGATAACATCACCAGGGGAGAGGGGAGAGATCAAGCTTGAAAGTGGTTAGAGGTAATTCTTCAGGACAGCAAGACAGATGAGTGCTTAAGTGAACGCAGAAATCCCATCCGAGAGCTCAGGCCTCGCTTTGCCGAGCTGCAAAATCCGGGAAGAAACAACAAAACAAAAAGGGAGCACCCTGAGATGTTTAAAATGCACAAGGACAAATCCTGAGAGCTGCTGCTAACGGAGCAAACGCTGCCTTGCTTCTCACTGTGGAACATTTCTCACTGCTCCTTGCAGAAGCAGGAGGTGTCAGAGCTCCCCGTTCTGTAATGTGCTGATTTCCACTCCAGCACGGCTGGCTGATTTGCAGGGATGAAAGCGCTGCAGCACATCGAAATCCCTCTCCCCTCCAGAATTCACTTTTGGCTTCTCAGCTGCGTGCCAAGTGCCTGAAAAACCTAACTGATGCAGCTGGAAAGAGAAACCCAAGCTCCTCTGCCTACAAGAGTCATTGGAAAGCTACTTAACGACCGAGGCTTAGGACGGGGTCTGAAAGCAGCACTGCTGGAAGGACACGGACGGCCGTGGTGGAGGCGAGAGCAACGTAAGCAGCTTCTGGAATCATTTCAGTGGGTTGATCTCTCCAGCATCGCAGCCACGGCCAGGAAAGCGCAGCGACCTGAAGCGCTGCCCTCTGCCCCGTCTCTCCTCCAGGCACCCACAGCAGCACTGCAGCTGCACACCGTGCTCACATGCCCAGACCTGAGCGAGGCTCAGCTCCCGCCCGCCTTCCACCCCACGCCGGTGTTTCCCATGCGCTGCCCCAACATCACACACCGCGGTCATTCAGTTTCACCGTTCCTACACCAGCCCGTGTGGAAGGGGCCGCCTCGTCCCTGCACACCCCTCTTTTTCGGGTGAAGCCAGCGCTCCTGAGGCCAACAGTGAAGCTGGGAAGGGTCCCAGCGGCGCTCGCTTTTCCCGGTGTGAGATTTGAAGCCGGCGCAGCCGCATCCCCGGGTGCTGGCTCCCAGCAGGCCCAGCTCTGCTTTCACTTAGCGAAGCGGGACCGGCTCCTCCGAATGACTCCGCCGGTGCAAATGAGATCAGAATCTGGCACCGCTCATCCTACTCAAAACAAGCCTAACTGGAACCAGATAAAACCAGTTTGAGTAAATAGTGGCCACCGGGATGATGATTTCTTTTTGCTGAGCACACCCGCGGCGCAAGGCCGGCTCGCAGCCGGGGATGGGTGTTGTCTCGAATGCCAACCGCGCTCGCTTTCGGCTTGGCCGCTCATTCATTACCAAACTTGCATAAAGAATCGAGCCGTGCCCCGTGCGGCGCGATCGGGTTCCAAGCTGACAGCGGGAGGTGGGAAGAGGGGGCAGAACGGGGACGGCTCCCCAGCGACGGTCCTGCTTGGGCCACATGCTGGCCGCAGCCAAACCGAGGGCAGAAATGCGGTGCTGCTGTTCCCCCCGCTCAGTTAATCTCTGTTTTGATCCGAAATCCATCGCCTGCACTGTTTGCCCACGGCATTCAGACGGGAGAAGACACAGCGGCGGCTTTCAGGGCCAACGGAACCGCTCGCAGCCCCGCTGCTGTTTTCAATGACTCCCAGGCGCTGGGGCTGACCTCACACTTGACATTCAGACGGTCTCTCCAAAACTGCAGCGCTGGGCCCAGCACACGCAGTGAAGGTCGATAAGAGCCTGATCAAAGCGGCCGAGCCATTCCTCCCTCCAGCTGCACTCATTTCCCCGCCGTGGAGACGCAGCCGGGCGCTCCAGAGGCTGAGCTTTGAGGGAGCTCCGTCACCCTCTTTGCAAGACCACAAACTCCCCAAGATGGAATTCCGAGCTGAGAGGTCAAGCCAAGAGC